ACAATACTTCCATTTTTTGTTGAACCGTAACACATTTGAACCGTAACACAATTCATGACACTGACCGTATGGGCATTTAAATACAGTACATTATTGTGTTCCGACTTGAGATCCGTTCGATTTTCGAACGGGCCTCAAGAACCAATTGTGTTCGTAAGTCGAGGACTATCCGTTTTGCTGTATCAAATAAAAATTACACCAACAGAGACGTGTCACTGTTGTCATACGAGTATATCTTGCAGTGCCATGTGTTTTGTATATCATTGCCTCGTGTCCTAATATTGGTTCAACAACGACAGCAGCAGCAGCAGCACCAACAACAGCAGCAGCAACAGCAACAACAGCAGCAGCAGCAACAACAACAGCAGCAGCAACAGCAGCAGCAACCTCCCATCCGATTGCAATTGGCCCCCAACCCACAGGTGTGTACTGAGCTTTCTCTCTACCGTTGCTTTGGGGTTACAAAAACAGCCTATGTGGGAAATTCAGGCTTGCATGAAGAAAGATCAAAGTACCAGACAAGTGTCGGAAAAAAACGCTCGCTCTTTAATTAGGGATATTGGTCATTGTGTTTTAATTGAGCTCTTCACACACTGATCAGGAACGAATGGTGATCGTCCTCCGTGCAGTTGTGCCCTTCGGCGTCAGCGCTTGTGTTTGTCGCTTGGACCGTTCTCGCTGTTAATTTGCTGCTTGTCCAAAGGTGTGCTCGCACGCTTGTCATATTTTCTGTTCTGTGATTTGGCTGAGAGCTGTTATCACGTGACTTGCTTGCGGGCCCCCCACCACCCCATTCCACCCCCCCCCACATCCCCGCTCCGTGATCCCCCTGACCCTTTCTGAAGATTGGGTTGAACCGAACTGCTGTTGGGGGCCCCCGTCCCCAGAGGTTTCCTTCAGGGGTGTCTGTCCCATCATCAACTCCGCCACCCCCCTCCTCGGGGGGCTATACCCAGAGCTCTGCTCCTCCATCAATGGGGGCCCAATCGAACACACAGGTACACGCATGCACGCGCATGTTTTGAGGGGCTCGGACCAGCACGCTGGCGAGCTGATGTAGACGCACGGATAAGAAAGGCGTGTTACTCTCTCCGTCGCACGAAGGGGCAAGGCACTGCTGCCTGTTTTTTTTATTGTCAAATGTTTGGTGAGTTTCCCATTGTTTTGCTATGACCAGTTTTTAGAATAAAGTTTTAAGAATTGTATTTTATGATAGTGTACAAGCACAGCTTGCAGTGGTCTACAACTTCTGTATTAATTTCAAGGCATCTTGTCGGAGTTATTTGCTGTTCGACCAAACCGTTTAATTTCCTCTTCTTTGGAAGCCAGTGATTATCTGATCAACCGTCGTTATGGCTGTTAGCGGTATTCTTCTGCATCTCCAGCAGCATGCATCAGGTTCGCATCCCTGTGTGTGAAAGTCTTAACTATTCCCTGTCTTAATCTACCGCAACTAGCCTTTTACCCGTCCCTGGACGGAAGCTGTAATATTTACGTAAAGAAACGTCTGCGTAGAGTTATTTATTTTAGTAACTTTCAATAAAGAAACGTCAAATTTAAAGCGAATTTGCGTAAACCTTCTTGCTTATGATAGCAATGACGGGGGGGGGGGGGGGGGGTTCTTTTGCGGTGACGTCATGTACGGATGTAGCACTGTGCTGCGTTTTTACTTTCTGTAAAGAAACGTCATATTTGAAGCGACTAGGAAAAAATATATCTTCCCACTGAACCTTCTTCCGCGCGAGTGTAAAAATCCACCCGCTCATGATTATTTTATTGACGGGGGGGAGGGTGGGTGCAGCATGTGGAGTGACATCACGTGTGTTACACACATTTCTTGGCTATTATAGTAGTAATTCCTGAGAACCAACTTACTTTTTTGCCAATACCTCTTGAAGTTAACAAGGACTTAATTGTGTATGAAATGTATTATGACCACATGGCCTATACTTTCATTCATTAATTTTCACATTATGTCACCCTGCATGTTTGCATGTATTTTTAAGTGTTTTTTTCTGTGTTTATACCTACCTGGCTGTTACAGTCTGTTTTTCATGCTTGGCTCTGTAATTTGCTCTGTATATTGTAGCAATAACAATTCCCTTAGGCACCAGTGCCGCACCTCCTGGCTATCACATCAAATTCCGTTTCTTTTATTTTACCAACGATAGATATTGCTAATATGGAGATGGTCCTTTTTACGGTGGGGTGGGGTCTATTTTCCCCATCAGCGATTCAAATTTCTGCATCTGCAAAGTGTTTAATTGAAAATATATATTGGTCAAACAATGGCCTTTAAACAGGAAAAGCAAATTGTCATATGGCGCATGATTGTTCTTGATTTATTTCGCACACACATTGGGCCATCATAATCATATTTTGAGAGGCATATAAAATGTGTCCGCAGATTCACATTTATGTTTATTATTCTTCTACATTCATGACTCGCATTGATTTTCTATACTATCTGGATTTTCATACATAAATATGAAATTCTGCGAACCATAATATTTAGACCACGTTGCTTTTACTACTATCTCCCCTTCAAATTTGTGTTTTTTTTGTTGTCATCCCTTCCGTATTCCACGCGTTAAATTGCTCCTGGTCTTTGTGATGGTGGTTGCGGTGTTGCAGTGCGTGCGGAAATTTCCGAGAATTGTTTTTGTTTCTGCCGTCTCGATTGCAGCAGATGATCCAGTCTCCACTGATGATGTCGAGTCCGTCGCCTGTGCCGGCTCAGAATCAGGTGATGCCGCCTCCGCCCTCCCAGCCACAGCCATCGCCACAGTCCACACAGAGCCAGCCTCCCAGCAACATGAGGTACCGGCGTGGGGGCAGCTGCCGCACTCTACAGGCTTTGTCTGTTTTTTGTTCAGTGTGTCCTGAGAAATAATGTGGGTAGATACACGACGTCTCGCATATATTGGGTGTTTTTGGAGATGACTAAAATTTTTTTAATGATCGGAATCTGCACTCCCGAAGTGCAAAACTTGAACAGAAAATGCTGACCTGTTGTTATCTGCGTCTCCACTCCCCACGGTAACATCACACAACCAGTCAAACCTCGTTTCGTATTGTACTGTACAGTACTATACAGAGCGTGTCTGTATTTTGTTTAGTGATTACTGTATCACACTTTCGTTATACGTTAATATTATTATTATTGGAATAGGTTTTACCCTTTTAACTGGCACAAAGACTGACACCTTTATTCAAGGCATCATGTTTGCAAACATGTTTGCTGACACCTTTATTCAAGGCATCATGTTTGCAAACCTGTTTTCAGGTTTTCAAACATGATGCCTTGAATAAAGGTGTCAGTTTTTTGTGCCAGTTAAAAGGGTAAAACCTACTCCTATATCTTGTTACTGGCAAAGGAGGTCTCAATATTATTATTATTCTCCAAGTGTTTTAATATAATACAAATTGTTGAACACTCGAAAATCACAAGCTGTAAGTGGGATAAATTTGGTCTTCAAAGAGAAAACACGCTGGATATACTGGGGCACCCCACCCCTGTATTAGCCTGTTATTTCTACGACACGCTGTATGTGTGTTGACATTAGAGTCAGGACCGATAGTGTAATGGTAATGCCGTGCTGGGATGACTGTGACCCTGGATTTAATGCCTGGCTATGCACAACAGCAATGGAAATTGATATCTGAACCTGGCCAGGGTTTCTTCTTGGTAGGCTCAGCTTAAAGATCATTGCCTGGTTCATTGTTTCAACATTTTGTCTATCGAAGCAAATGTTGTTGGGTACAATACCAGCCACACAACTCCATTCGGCCCATACATATAAGGACCATCATAGTCCAATTTCGTGAAAATAAACCATATTAAAGGTATTTATAAGTCAATAATTTTGGTTGCGAACACATACATGTGTTGCTTTGGAGGCAGAGGTTCGTGGATTATGTGCATTTTTTTAATTGTTTTTTGAAATAAGAGGGCCCAGAACAAGTTCAATTATCACTCGCCACTGATGTTAACCATGGCTGGAAACCGAACCTATGTCACCGGGTTCATAGCACTGTGCGTTACCGACTGCAAATATGACATACCGTATACTCCCAAACTTGTGCCCAGTGTCAATAAAGTAATATAAATCTGGTCACACATCTACGGAATTATAAAACGCATCGCCAATTTTAGCTTTAAGGTACAGGGAAAATAGCATGTCTTATAATCGGGAAAATGCAGTACATAAAAACCTAATGTGTGCCCTGCGATGTTTAATCGTGTGCCCTGCCGTGACCGCTTGCATGTGTAACCCAGCTCTGGGGCAGTACCATCTCCTGGCTTCATGCCTAGCCCATCCCCGCAACCGTCCCAGAGCCCTGCGCCCGCTCGCACCCCGCAGGCCATGGGCGTGCAGTCCCCGGGGCCCCTCAACACCCCAGGTGAGCGCTGCGCGCCGGTAACAATAGAAAAACTGAAGACAAACCACGCTAAAGATACACTACACCCAGGACTAGCTACGCTGCGCAGCCAGTCGGAAGGAGAGTTACGACTTACAAAGGCCTCTGATGCACTGCTGTGCATCAGAGGCCTTTACCTAGTTTACACAAAATGTATTTAGCACATTTAGACAAAGTTGTGTAATGGCAGATTTGTTTACGGCTGTTGTAGCCCCCTGTCTTTACAATCAACCTTTGGCAAGAGGTAATTGTACATTTAAAAAATGCAACTGTATTTGAAAACAATTGTCCATTTGCTGGAATGATAACCTTTTTGTAAAGATGATCCAATATGACCAAAATTTCAGTATATGGTTGTGTTGCTATTATGTGGTTACCCAGTAGAAAATGGACCAAATTGAACAAATGGTAACTCTGGGAGACGCACGCTTGAAGACAAGGGACCTGTCTCAGTGCTCCAGCCTTACCGGTCCGGTTAAGATGAACAGCATAAGTTGGAGATAACATTGAGGAAGAAAGTGAAATAGGAGGGCGAGGGACAGGGGGTGGCAGGTTGAGGGCAGTGACATACAGAAAAGGGAAGAGAGAGCAACACCACAGCATGACTCGGGGCCAACAAGGCCAAGTGCAAGGGCATGAAGCAACTAGGACCCAAGGAATCTCATCGGCAGCCAGGGCAGCGCCGACGAGTCCCAGGGCACGCTCAGGAGGGCCGATGCTCATCACCACCAATGAGTCTCATAGAGTAAAATCGTGCATTGAATGAATCCGTTGGTTGGAGTGTGTTATAATAGTGCCATTCATTTACTGGGGAGTTGATCCGGTAACGGCGCATCGCGGGACCAACAGGTGCACCGAGCCCGGCGGGGCGCACGCAGACGGAGGAGCAGCAGTACCTGGAGAAGCTGCGACAGCTGTCCAAGTACATCGACCCGCTGCGCCGCATGATCAACAAGATCGACAAGAACGAGGGTGAGGCACACGGCTGCTTTTGTAGTACTCTTTGGTTCTATTGGGTAAAGTCACGTAGGTGAAAATAAAATAACAAAAAATCACGACGTTTCGGCCACAACACAAGCGGCCTTCATCAGGTGAAGGGACGAGACTGTCTGGAGGACAGACCTATACGTCTCATCCCTTCACCTGATGAAGGCCGCTTGTGTTGTGGCCGAAACGTGATATTTTGTTATTTTATTTTCACCTACGTGACTTTACCCAATAGAACCAAAGAGTGGATCCTAGCAGTCACGAAAGCTTTAAATCTAGAATTGCTTTTGTAGTTCTGCTGTAGACTTAATGGTTCAGTCAAAATAATTATCATAATGAAACGAATGTCACCACTTCAAATAATGCACCTCCGATTAGCATGGTTGGCTATGTATGGCGCGAAATAAGTTCAACATACATCAGTAAACATACATAATGCATGCATGAGCATATTAATGGTTGGTACATTGAAAAGTGGGGAAAATTTCATAAAACAAACAGAACAGTTTGTCTGCAACCACAAAAGGCATGATAAGATTATTAGAAGTCTCAGTAATCTAGGGATGTCTCACCATTTTCTTGTAGAAGGGTCCGGCATTGGATTATTTGGCCACGTTTTTGTTTTTAACCTGAGGAAGGTGAAATACATGGAAAAGCTTGACTGAAAAAGTCCACACAGATGGGTTGCTATGTTAACCCCTTTGCTGTACTGCCTTTTGGCCATCTCACAGCCCAGCTGGTTTGAGGTTTCATCTAATCTGCCTCCAAAGGGCTGGATTGCGGGCATGTACCACTCTGCTTAATTTCATAGCGACTGCTTGATGCTAAAGATTGCAATTCTAATGTGTTTATAATCTTTGTTAAATGAGTGCAAATTTAACCTAAAATACTTGATGTTTTAAAAGACATTGCATCATAATGACAGGGATGTTTAGAAATGTGTATCTGATATTTGTAACATTGTTTTGTACTGCTGTCATTAATTTGGAAAGCTCAGTTATAAGCAGTTATATTTCTATACGGCATAATTAGTATATTGAGCTCTCAATTATGCAGGGCAATGGAGAGGAGGGGTGGCATGGTTACAATAACATGGATAAGACAAAACTTAAGTAAATGAAGCTAAAAACTTTTTTTTTTGCTTACCTATGTATAATGTTTATGGTAATGTGGGCATTAAGTTAAGAGTGAGGATCAGCACATTAAAGTATCAGCATGCATCTACGAATATATATTTCACAAGCACAGTTAATCCGCAACCTGTATAATCTTCCCATGGATAATTAAGAGTTAACAGTAGCTTCATTGTTGAAACCAAATCTATTACAATAAGCCTTTGCTCATAAGTGATTTATGGCTTTGTCCGAGTTACAAAAACAGACCGTAAGAAGGATCTCAGCAAAATGAAAAGCCTTCTGGACATTCTCACGGACCCGAACAAGCGGTGAGTGCTGCCTACGTTTTACATTTTGTCTGTTTGGCCCTCACTGTTTCATTGAGCATTTGTCTTGGCTCTTTGTTTCGATGAGTACATTTATAATATGAGCTGGGAATAACCAAGCATTGTGTTGTGACTCACAGGTGCTCCCTGCAGACACTGCAGAAGTGTGAGCTCGCACTGGAGAAACTGAAGAGCGACATGGCCGTTGTAAGATAATCTTTATAAATATTTTGACTTAAAGCTTTCGTGACAGCAGGGATTCATGTTCTTGGTTCTTTCGGTAAAATCACGTAGAAGGGAAACAATAAAATAATAAAAATATAAAACATAAAAATTCTCACGACGTTTCGACTGCAACACAAGCAATCATCAGGTGTGAAAACCAGAGCAAGAAAATTTTGAAAAAAGTGGCGTTTTTTTTTACGTTAGCACCACGGAGAGCGATTTGGCAGTTATTCAGATGGACGAGTCCATCTATGTTCGGAAAAGAGGAAGGGGGAGACGAAAATAATGGATGCGGTCTGAAAGCCACCGTAAGCGTGATCAATTAAGACCCGAAATGGTTTATCAAATCCTTCCAATGATTGCTAAGCCAGAATCCATCTTCTCGGTTGAAATTGTCTCTGTGTTGGTATATGTGGATAGCCTCATTAACGAATCTCTCATGGTAGCCAGATGGCTTGCAGAGAACCTCTGTCTTGGAGAAGTCAATGTCATGTGAGCCTACTGAATTATAACAGTGATCTGCCACGGCCGAGGTGTTGGTCCTACCGTGTTTTAGGTCTGCTTTGTGTTCACGGATGCGGTCCGAGACATGTCGTTTGGTTTCTCCAATGTAACTACTACCACAGAGGCAACTTAGTTTGTAGACGCCAGGGTACTGTATGTCCGGAATCACATCTTTTACAGACAGAACCAATGGGCTCCCCCTATCGGCTCCCCCCTATCTCCAGTTGTAGCCAACATTTTCATGGAGAAATTTGAGACTGACGCCATCCAGACTGCCACTCTGCGCCCAACCTTATGGAAGAGGTACGTGGATGACACTTTTGTCATCTGGCCACATGGCCGGCCTGCTCTAGAGCAATTCCTCGACCACATTCAATTCCATACACCCAGCCATCAGATTTACCATGGAAGTCTAAAAAGATGGCAAGCTACCTTTTTTGGATGTCCTACTAAAAAAGAGACCTGATGGTTCAATGAGCCACTGTCTACAGAAAAGCTACCCATACGGATGCTTACCTGAAACCGTGTTCCCACCACCATCCATCCCAGAAGAATTCCCTCATCAAAACTCTGCACCATAGAGCCCAATGCATATCCGACCAGGAACACATAGCCAGTGAACTCAAGCACGTACACCAAGCTCTTAAGGCTAATGGTTACTCCGACTACACAATCCGCAAAGCTATCACTCCAACCATGAAGAACGACCCTCTTGAGCCATTCAAAACCATCACTTTACCCTACATTGCAGGGATCACAAAAAAGATCTCCAAAATCTTGAATAAACACAAGATCCAGGTCCGATTCAACACATTACATAAAATCCGTGATCTGGTTCCGTCTGTAAAAGATGTGATTCCAGACATACAGTACCCTGGCATCTACAAACTAAGTCGCCTCTGTGGTAGTAGTTACATTGAAGAAACCAAACGACATGTCTCGGACCGCATCCGTGAACACAAAGCAGACCTAAAACACGGTAGGACCAACACCTCGGCCGTGGCAGATCACTGTTATAATTCAGTAGGCTCACATGACATTGACTTGTCCAAGACAGAGGTTCTCTGCAAGCCATCTGGCTACCATGAGAGATTCGTTCATGAGGCTATCCACATATACAAACACAGACAATTTCAACCGAGAAGATGGATTCTGGCTTAGCAATCATTGGAAGGATTTGATAAACCATTTCGGGTTTTAATTGATTTATTCACGCTTATGGTGGCTTTTAGACCGCATCCATTATTTTCGTCTCCCCCCTCCTCTTTTCCGAACATAGATGGACTCGTCCATCTGAATAACTGCCAAATCGCTCTCCGTGGTGCTAACGTTAAAAAAAAACATTTAAAAATAATTTTCTTGCTGTAATTTTTACACCTGATGATTGCTTGTGTTGCAGTCGAAACGTCGTGAGAATTGTAATGTTTTATATATTTATTATTTTATAAATATTGTTATGTGCAACTGACAAATTGTGTAGTTGTTCTTCGTGTTTGTGGATTTATTTAGTAACATAATGCCGGTATTGGAGCCAGCCGCATGTTATATAGGGAATGTCTGCACGTTAATGTTCATATAAGCATTTTTTATTGATTGTAGGGAAAGACTAAGGCTGTGAAATGTGTCAAGCTGGTCACTTTTACTATGGCCTCATGCATATTTTGCTCACTGCACATTATGTGTCTACAGATTATAATAACGTAGCATTTAGTTTATGATGGGTGGTTTATACATGTTTATGGCATATAAAATTGTGTGCACACATGCAGTGGATGGATTTTACTTGATAACCTTTAAAATCATTGGCGTATTAAGTTGCTTAAAAATGAGCACGACATTAGATCAATACGTTTCCAGTTGCATTCTCAAAATATTTTTGTCAGCGTTTACCAAAAATGTTTATTGCACGTGTGTGTGTGTGTGCGTGTGTGTGCACACTTGCGTTCGCTTGCAGCCCACACCTCCGCCACCCCAGGTGGTGCCGCCCAACAAGCAGGCACCCTTATGCCAGCCGCTCCTTACCGCCGTGCTGCAGCAAAGCCGCTCGCCCCTCTTCAACCACTCGCTGGCGCGAACGTTCGGCCCCGCCATGCTGGCCATCCACGGGCCGCCTGTCTCGTAAGCAGGAAGTCCCAACCGCTACACCTGACCAAGACTCGGCGTTGCTTTGGCCGGAAAAAAATCGATGTCGGCCTATAACCAAATTTCCCAGAATGCACCCGATGTCGTCACTTATCGTAAGCTAAGCGGGGTTGAGGTTGAATAATTCGTGCTTAAATTGTATGAAAAGCTTGTCTATGCTGTAATTTAAATTTGCTGCTGCTCTGCGGGCAGGGTACCAGTGTCATCCCCCAAGAAGCGCAAGTACGAGGAGGATGAGAAGCAGACCATACCAAACGTCCTGCAGGGGGAGGTGGCCAGGCTACATCCAAAATTCATGGTTAACCTGGACCCCTCCCATCACAGTAACAATGGAACGGTCCACCTGATATGCAAGCTTGGTGAGTAAACATTGAACACTTTCACATGGAATACAGTAGGTTTCCGGGTTGTGGGTCTTACGTTAATCCGAACCTTACGGAAATGCTCGCAGAAATCAAAATCAATATTCGGAAATTGTTGCGTTAGTTCCGTAAGTGCAAATAGGGAAGTGCACTGAGGTTGCGGATGAATACCGTGGAGCGAGGCGTAAGGCAGGCAGCATCTTCCCCAAGGCGCTGGTGGTTAGCCGCTCTGCACTCTCAGTCACGCTGTTACAATGTTACCATGTGTATACTCGCCACATCGTCTCGTAGTTTTCTTCATGTGAAGTTTATTTAACTATTTACTTACGTACTTTATTAAACACAATTACACTTCGATTGCTTATGGTCTCAGCCAACAGCGATCGGAGAAATTCTAGGCCTAGCCTAATGCACTGTAAACGAACATTCAGAAGCCACTGCTTTCTGTTTACAATTAATATTAAAATGTTTCGTGGTATTCATAAACAAATGGATACAGTATGTGTTCCATTAGTTTAACTTTGGGCAGTGCTAGGGTAGATATTCGATTAAATTAAATAATCATAGTAAGTGCAGAGCGTATGTACAGAAATATAGGCAGCGATATAAAACAGACGACAGCGTGATACAGGACTGAGAGAAAACTAACGAGTAATCGGGTAGGGGAGGCACAACTGTTTCCAGCTATGGGATTTTATCTTGATTTTGGAATAACATTTTCCAGTTTCCAACATACACAAAATTCGCGTTACGGATCGTTTTCGGGAACATAACCCTTCCGTAACCTGGGAACTGCCTGTATTATTGAGACTTATTTGTACATGTTGATAAAAACATGGTTTTCAAGGTCCTCTATGAAGTATCATTTAAATGCTGTTTTATCTGGGGTAATGAGAGAAGTGCCTGGATGAAAGAAAAAACACAGAATGTATCAATGCAAATTAAGCAAAAAAAAGTATTGTGTTCATACCTGTGTCATGTTTTAATTGTTTCTTAAAGTAATCGGTTTACTTGCTGATATGGTTGCAGTCATATGGTCAATGAGTCACTGTCCCTCATGTGAGGAGCAGCTGATAATGACGTCAGCATACATGTAAAACGCACCGATAAGCAGTTTATCTGCAACCCAAACAATCTGCTCAGGGATAATCGACAGTTAACTGTAGCTGGAATCTGTTCTTGTGATTGTCTATTATTGCCATCTTCATCTGACACTTGCCTTTAAATCGGAGCAGAGTGAATATTCTAATTATTTTGCTATACGCTGCATTTACACGCGCACACACATTTTTTTTCTTGCAGAGGATAAGTCTCTTCCGATGGTGCCTCCCCTGCAAATTAGCGTGCCGGCTGATTATCCTGACCAGAGCCCCGAGTGGGTTGACCTCCAAAACCTCTACGGTGAGGCTGCTATACAGAGACATATCGTTATTTATAATAGAAAAAACAAATGCAATGTGTTTTGCAAATGGATCACTCGTTCGTGTGTAGCTGAGAAGATGGTTCAGGTGCATTTCAGGGGATTTTCTCAGATCTCTGAAGCTAAGCTAGAATTTTGGCCTGGATAATGCTTTGTTGGGTGATTTCCATGCATAGCGAGCATTGCGGGGTTGCGCAGCTACGTTGTGGGCAGCAGAGGAGAGTGCAGCAAAACCCATCGTTGCACTTATTCATTCCTCTCCATTCGCCAACCCGGACTGACCAACATGCCAAAGTATAGTCAAGTAACTTCGTTAAACCTGCATGGCATGGGCAGGCCCTCATCCAGCAGTGGTTGACTCAAGGGCTGTACATGTGCAATGGATACAAATGAGGGCAACGTGATTAATGTCTCATGTGCAACTGATGCGAGTGTATTTGGGGGGTTTCGGGGGAGGAATGGTCGTGATGGGACTGTTTGTCTGTTGGCGACAGAGGCGAGCCCGTTCTTGCGTGCCATTCACGACATGCTGGAGTCGCGCATCATGAAGCTGCCAGACCGGCATGCGGTGACAGCCATACTCAATGCCTGGGCGCTGAGCGTGCGGCAAGCCTGCCTCACGCTCACCTGACTCTCACCTGCATCCAGCGTCTGTTTGATGTACTCGGTATATGCTTACTGTGAAAATTGAGTGTGGGGGCAGTTAACAGAATTATGGATAATGTTACTGTATTCAAAGTACGACTTGATGGGTCTGTGTTACCTGTCCTTGATGGTAACTGCAGCGTTACATCGGGTGATTAGACGTACAATCATGATAGACTTGGCTCATCATGTCAGCATATTTTTTTATTATTATTGTTGTTTTCACCTTAAATGACAATTTTAACACAACATAGGCCATCAGAATTTAAGCAGGAACACATGCTCCAGCATTTTATTGCATTGCTTACAAATGCTGTGCAAATCAAATATATGATTTAAACGTAATAGTTTATCACTTAACACTCCACTACAGTGGCATTAAATATACCACTCGACTCTGAAAAGGCCACATTTGGCATTGATCAGAGTAAATAATGTGCATGAGCGCAACGCTGTACCTGCACCTTGCATGCCATGTGCAACAATTGTACATAAATATTTCCTTTAATTTTCAAATCCCCCCATTTCTTTGAAAAAACTGATAACACTTGCACAATATGGTGAACATTATGAAGTGTTTTCAAGAATATAAATGACAAATGTAAAGAAAAACGTTAATCTTGTATTAAACTGGGGGAAAATTCGGTGATTGCATTTTGAAACGTGTGCTATTACATGCAACGTTTTTGTATTCTTAGCTGGGCAGCATCTTTTGGCTGTCCTTTTCCCTGCCATCCTGTGCAACCTCCCTTCTGAGCGGCTGCACAAGTGAAGGCAGGGACAGCTTGGGTTCCGTTCGCAGAGGCCTGTCGTGAAGGGGAAGAATGTAAATAGCAGAGCATCAATATGTGAGTGAAATCCCAAAGATTGGGTACACTTCCACTGTTGAAAGTGACATTATCCTGGCACCAGGATCAATTCACTGGACATGGGTTATGATCTTGCTATTGAATAACACTTTTTTGTAAATCACTTGGGGGTGTGCCTCAAACTCTATCTGTATAATTATGGAATACCATTTGTGAAACAAAAGTACATAACATGGCTGTTGTAATTTGGAGAGAGGCATGAGCAAGCTTGTAATTGCTGATCCACCCCTACTGGACATCTGTGAAAAAGAGCTTTACAGCTCATCAGATTCCTCCAGGATAAATAAATATTCTGAAAGCAATGGCTTGGCAGTAATGAAGGCTAGCAGAGATGTTTTGTAATTGCATAGATCATTAACTACCTTTCATTGCTGAAAACAAAAGCCTAGGTAGGTATATGGTTATGTGCATAATTTTTTCACTTGGAATTTGTATTTATAATCTTATACATAATGATAATAAAGGTCCATTATGGTTTGCTTTTCGCCCAACTTACATTTTTTTGACTGGATTCTTGATGGGTATTTTAGGTAGTCTGTTGGTTGTTTGCCTGAAAAAGTTGAAGACAATGAATAAAAGTAGCACCACTTTTCAAGTTGCAAAATCATATGTCCAGGGCTCGGGCAAAATTTTAACTAGGTAATGCCCAGTGACCTGGCAATGATTTTTGAAATGCCATTGAATGCCTCAGTTGAATAAAAAGTGGAATGTTTCATCAGTTAAACCATCATTACTTCAATTGGCTGCATCTGATGGGGAATTTATTTAACCCAAGGCAGATATGTTATCTGTCCAGCCCAGTGGGATGGAGTGTGTGGGAGCGGCGTGAATCATTTTGTTTTTACAGAAATAAATGTTGCTGTCCTATGCTTTCACGGCTATGCCTCTCACCTACCCGAACCTGCTGCACTGACCAGCACTGTGACTAATCACAGTTTAGGGATGCCCTCATCCAGGGATGGATTGACAAAAAGGAATGTTAATTGATAAATAAAACCCACCTAACTATGTCCTGTTGCTCACTCAACTCCATCTCTACTGTTTGGAATGTGTTGCAGCAGAAAGTCTGGATCTAGTCTAGGTGTAGGGCTAAAGAAAAGACTAGGTCTAGTGCGATCCCACGTCGAGGAGCATAGGAGGTGGAGGACGGGGGTGTGAGCGCACCTGTGTGCACTTCTCATGAGTGACATTGCTGGTGAGTTTTCCCCTTGGTGGAAGAAAGCCGTTGAATTAGCATTAAAACGACTTACACCCATACCACGTGGCTCCTGGTGTGGTTTTGCCTGTGGTCTATTGTGTCATACCAGCGATCGCCCTCCACGCAGGCTACACACCAACACGTTACAACATAACATCTATACCAAAGCTAGTTTAAATCTATATTGTATGGAGGGAAAAAAACACCCTCATTTGGTGTGTTAATAACTGGGATTGGGTAGAAGGCTGTGAAGTCGGAGCTAAAATAACTTGTATTGTAATCTGCTTGGTACCATTGCTCATTTGAACGGCTGGAGAACAGAGGCTTGGCCACAAGCACGGAGTTGGCAGGCAGCCTGTCCGCAATGGCAGCATTCCTCAGCTTGGTCTTGAGCTGCAGCAGCTAAAGAGATGGGGAGTGAGGACAAACATTGATTTTCAGGAGAGCAGCCAGACTAAGCAGGTAGGATTTGGTTATCCATAGATTCAGGTTATCATTACAAGAGGTGACCAAGTGGTACAGAGAGGTCCGTGTACTCGATCCAGCACAGCTGAGATCCTGGGTTTCAATTAAACAGATTTTCAAGTTCAGTGAAGTTGACAGTCATCCCAGTCAGTGGTGTCCACGTAAAAATAGAATCATGTTAAATTTGGTTTATCACTTAATTTAGATAGTCCAGCCCTGACACTGCTGTGCAATGAACAAATGCCTGCAGTAGGGTGTGACAAAACACATCTCATGTGTATTAAAAGAGACTAGGTCATTGACCACATATAAAAGAGGCGTTTTCATAGAATGGTCTTGCTGGAAATCAGAATACACTGGATCATAGAGACCATGCAAGCAATCGTGATTCGATATCATACTTATACATAAATTATGCAATTTAAACTCAATTATTTATTTAGAGTGATTTGCTTACCTTTCCTATACTATGCACTCCTATACTTTTTCATATGTTGTTTGTTGTAACTTTCTGACCCACCCCTACTGGATATCAGAAATGTGTGTAACGCACGTGACGTCACTCCACGTGCCGTACACCCCCCCCCCCGTCATTAATAAAATAATCATGAGCGGGTGGATTTTTACACTCACGCGAAGGAAGGTCGAGTGGAAAGATTTTTTTCGCAAAGTCGCTTCACATATGACGTTTTTTTTACACAAAGTGACGGTCAAAAATAAATCTACGCAGCACAGTGCTACATCCGCACGTGACGTCACTGCAAAAGAGCCCCCCCCCCCCCATTACTATCATAAGCAATACTTTTTTTACACAAATTCGCTTTTGACGTTTCTTTATTGAAATTTACTCAAATAAATAACTCTACGCAGACGTTTCTTTACAGAAAGTGACGGTAAAAAATAAATATACGCAGCACAGTGCTCCATCCGCACGTGACGTCACTGCAAAAGAGGGCCCCCCCCCTCATTAATAATCATGAGTGGGTGGATTTTTACACTCCCGCAGGTCGAGCGGAAATAAACAAAAATTACGCAAATTCGCTTTAAATTTGACGGTTCTTGATTGAAAGTTAGTCAAATAAATTATTCTACGCAGACATTTATTTACAGAAAGTGATGGTTAAAAATAAACGCAGCAGTGCTACATCCGTACGTGACGTCACTGCAAAACAGCCCCCCCCCCACATTAATAATCATGAGCAGGTGGATTTTTACACTCCCGCAGGTAGAGCGGAATTTTTTTTAACGCAAATTCGCTTTCAATTTGACATTTTTTTTTATTGAAAGGTAATCAAAGTATTCTACGCAGCAACAAAGTGTATTTAGTGTCTTTATTTCTGCAGCACTTGAAACAAAAGGCAAGTCTAATTTTTTGCTTCTAAATGATAAAACAAAATGTATACACATCTCCGTGAAATTCCCAGACATTGTATCAAATTCAAATTGATTACAACCCCAGCGAGCGAAGGCAGAAGAAAATAAAGTATCAGAGCAGTGATTTATAACGAATTAAAAGGTGAGTAAAATGCAGTGCTACAGTGACATGAAGTGAGGTGTTTTATGACGTAGTTTTGTGCAAGCATCACTGCCATTAATTCAGTGCTACAGTGAAATGCAGTGTAGTGTTTGATGACATTCTTTCGTGCAAGATTCACTGCCATTAAATTTACACAAGATACAATTATACTCTGTACTCTCTGGTTCTTTCGGTAAAGTCACGTAGATAGAAAAAAAAAATACAAAATAAAGCACGATGTTTCGGTCGTAACACAAGCGTCCGTCTTCAGGTGAGAAAATGATCTGCTGTTGTGGCTTCATGTAGGGGGGGAGGGAAGGAGGGGGGAGGGGAAGGAAGGGGGGAGGGGAAGGGGGGGGGAAGGAGTTTTTGTCGTTTTTTTCTCGACTTAAGCATAACTTGAAAATATAGCATAGAGCAAACACAGTGTAAAATAGGCCTGACAGAGGATCATGAAATGGCTAAAGTTAGCTGAATTTAAAATAAATGAAATACATATCAAAACTGTAAAGTGAATGAAACATTGAAAGTGAACAATAAAAAGGAAAATAAGATGTGAATAGGTTTAATAAGACTGACCTTTAAAAGAAGCAGGAAACAGGAGGCAATCACAAGCAGCAGAGGTAGGCCTTGGGAGACTAAAAAGATGAAACTAAATAAAACTTAGAATGAAGTGCTTACAATACTTTAACATAAAACAAATAATCATATAAGTATTAAAATATAAAAGAATAAAATAAAAACAAGTTTAAGAATACCCAGGGAGAACAGAGAGCAGGCACAGCTACACTGGCAGCCATGGTTTTCTGTGTGCCTTTGTTCTTCTGTGACCCATGCTTTGTGAGAGTTCTGAATAGATACATAATCTCGTCACACGACACTAATGAAATAGGGGAAAACAGTCAAAAAACATTTCCATTAAAATACCTCACCAACCCGTTATATAACCATTTTCATCAATGCCTCCATCTCATCCAGTACAAATCCATTAACTCTCAAGACAGCTAGACTGCTACAGTCCATCCCATAACTAAGCAAACCCTGACTGCACTAGAATGTATGTTGGACGTCTTTCGCACCGTACGTAGCCAACCATGCTAAATCGGAAGGTGCGGGAATGTTTGGCCCCCCAACATCCCTGCAAATTCGTTTCCCATCTCAAACCTACCATTCCTTGGAATAGTCCGAGAATGAGTTTTCTATTCCACCTCTGCAAAAACCTCTCCCTCCATTGTCTGCCAGCCATGTAAGAGTGATACCTTAATCCATGCACGACTTGATGTACCTCGTCAGCCTGCTGCTGGTTGACCTTCTGCAGGCGCCGAATCAACTGCTGGAATTCTAGAATGGACGCGGGGCCGGCGAGACCTAATGACGTCTTCACAGGGGCCACGCCACCCTTGCCTGCCTGCACAAGCAGCATGGGTGATGTCTGCTGGACTGTGTCCGCCCTGTGAGCCAAGAGCACACAAAGGGCCACTCTGTGCATTGTACAATGGTGCAAGTACTCCATTGAAAAGTCTCACGACTTGCTCAACCACTATATATGCCTTTTGTTCAATAAACAGGTCCCCGCAGGGTGGGCTGGTAGGAACATTGGAATTTTGCGCAATTTTATTTTTACACCCCAACAGCACGAGATTTCACTTCGTTAAAGTATTGAAAGGGGACGGACGGACGGACACATTAATCTATTGCAGGCTGGTACACTCAGTTTACAACTTCGTTCCTACCAGTATTACATCACCCTCTTCTCACTCAGTGTGGTTTCATTTCTTTATTTGAAAACTAAGCCCTTGTTAATATGAATCCATTTTGACAGGTTTATTACAGCTAATGATAAACTTTTTCTCACACCCCACTCAACTTGCTCATTTTCATTAAAAGCATCGTTTGTCATATCTGTGACTAAGATGTGTGTACTCCTTTAAGAACACCAATATTCCTCTCTCATTAAGTTATTAAAATATATTTTCAATTGTAAATGGCTGTTTCCTGATACTGTACCACATTATAGTAAATTTTGATTTAAAGCTTTCGTGACTGCAGGGATTCATATTCTTGGTTCTTTCGGTAAAGTCACGTAGAAGGGAAACAATAAAATAATACAAATATAAAACAATAAAATCCTCACGACGTTACGACTGCAACACAAGCAATCATCATCAGGTGTGAGAATTTTATTGTTTTATATTTTTATTATTTTATTGTTTCCCTTCTACGTGACTTTACCGAAAGAACCAAGAATACACATTATAGTAGTTTACATTTAAGTCCTTCAGGCATAAGAGTACAGATACATTGCTAATGCTGCATCCCTTGTCACATATGAAGATTGAGAACCTACCTTTGACAAGCAGTATGTATTCTACTTATAACTCCTAAACAGAGTTCAGGAGGTTAGGGTGGCACACCACCACCACCACCAATTAATATTTTTTCAGCATACCCATTTCACAATACAATAATCGGTGAGAAAAGGTAACGTTTAAACTTACAAGTTTACAGTTGCAATAAAAGCAACATCAAACATCAACCGCTTGACAATGAAGCGAAAAGGTGACGTACCATGCCCTGTCCATCATCGCAGCTTGATGTGGGGGTCTTCGTCTCAGCGCACCAACAGTCACGTTCACAGGATGAGCACTAGAGTCTTCAGACCCCGTGACTTGGTGATCATTTTTTATTGGCTGCGCAACCTCCTTTTCTGATCTTGTTTGATTTGTTCTTTCTGTCCCGGACCCTTTTGAGTTTACATCTGCATCACATAGGATGAGCATATTCTCGATGTGCAAGTCAAAAGTATGATCTTTTTTGACAATTTTACAACCATTAGAGAAACTGCCAAAGATTATGCACCGTGTGACCCAGAATAGGGCAACATTTCCAATGTAAACGAATCAATGTCCAAGCACATTATTTGTCAAATTACAAATAAAATCAAAAGTATAAATGGGTTAGATAGGTGAACAATAGTGGTAGGTTTTGCAGAAATTAAATCTTACACTATTAAAATATCTGACAAAATACCATAGTTTATGTATTACTCACCGCTGAACTGCTCACAACTTTCTGAGCGACTCCGTTTGGATTCATTGCTTTCTGATATATCAATAGAACTTCTCTCTATCAAGAAAGTGCACAAGAAACAAACGTGTCAATTTTCTTAAATTCACCTAGCATTCTTTATTTCTGCGTGAGGACATGCAGTGATATGATTCAATATCATGAATCTATTCTACTTCCGTTCTAATAACCACGTATATATATCCTCGATCCTAATTTGTTCAAACTAACAAACTCTGGCTACTTTCAACATTTTGTGTCTCGAAAGAAGTCGGGTCTGTTAACGAATATATTTTATACAACTGGGCCGTGTTCTGCACTAAAATAAATACAGCTATTACAACTCATTGAGTGTGGAGAACTATGTGTTAAATGAATAAATAGACCTATAAGCCCATAGATAAAAAAGCATGTTAAGAGACGAAGCAAGGTGTATTTATTCTGTTATGGTAACTTAGGAGTGTATGAGTCAACGTGCAGCGGTGGAGTCACTAATTAACTACAATACCTTCACTTGAATTCAGGTCCCTCTGGTTCACAATCAGCATGAATTGCAGATCTGTGGATTTAAAAAACACATTTATCAAAGTGTGCAACCACGTTTTAATAATACACCGTCAGAAACAAATGTTGAAGGGAAATATGTGATTTCAGTATTTAAACAATGATCACTATAAGTCACTAAGGAAATGAATTCTTATTTTTTTACAGTCTAGATGCAAGTTTCTCCCTCAAGAGTTTTTCATAATTTACAAAATAAATCAATCTGAAAATGTATTTCCAAGTCTCTCTGTTTAAAGGCCAACTCCAGAATCAACAGAATCAAAGCACTGCGTTGCGCACAAAGTGCATTAAAGTGTCACGAACAACTTCGTGTTACTTAAGCGCCCATTTCCACGCTTAATATGCCATGAACGTGCTTGATGTTGCACCCGTGGCACCACCACAACCCCCGGGGTTGCCATTCCGGCAGCAGGCAGTGCTGGTCAGTGGCGTGGCATGGATACGACGGGCATCGGTGCAAAGAATGGGATAGGCTCCTCCACTCTCCCCTGGAACCTGAGCCCACTCCATCCCCATTTTGCCCCTGTTGGGCCCTGGTGCAACTGCACCACTTGCATTGCCAATTGCTACACCACCGCACTGCCCTGAGTGTTAATTTGGTTAATGTTTTATTTTAATCTTAGGCTAGTCCACGACGACCTGTGGAATTTTAGTGAAGTCAGGATTTCGGTTAATAGTTATCTTCGTCTTGTCGACTAAAGCAGTCCCCTACGAGTTATTAAACGTCGGTGTGAGGAGTGTGCAATTCCCCCCCCACCTCCGCTGACTAAAAATAAAGCACACTTTGTCGACGAATATTTTTCACAACTCATTTTTGTGAACAACACGAACACTCGCTGGCCTCACCCTTGTTCTCCCGCGTGAGTCGATCGACCTCGGCGTGCAGCCTCTGCAGCATGTCCGCGTGCTCCTTCTGCACGAACTCTAGGCTCCGCTCGAGCTGTAAAATCCTGCGGCCAGCCAGGCTCGATGCCTCGACACCACCGGTGGCAGTCACCTTGCCATGCTCGAGCCCCCGCTCGGACCTTGCAGAGCCCGCACCAGACTCTGACCTCACATCTCCTGACCCTTTCCTGTCCCACCCACCGCTGCTAACAGCCAAGGTGATGCCCTCTGCCGTGGCTGGCTGAACGTTGAGACGGTGGAGTGGCCGCTCCCCATCCGCAGGCCGTGGGTAGTGGGCACGGTCGAGGCTGGTGACCCGGCTCCAGTGTGGCAGGTTGCCCACAGGAGGGAGGCTGGCACTGGACATTGTGTCTGTTCCTCCTTGATTGAGGGAGCTCCGAGCTTGCTTGGCGGGAGTGGTGTGTGGAGGTCGGAAGAGCCGGCAGAAGAGAGGCCGTCTCAACGACGACGGGATGCGTCCATCTCGCCCTGAGCTCACGCACGCACGCACTTTGATCTGTCGGTGTAAAGACGGCATGGGTAATTGAAACGTAAAGTCTAATAGTTACGTTATCTTTTGTCACCCTAAAGAGGATGTTAATAGTTTCTGACTAAAGCCGGAAAACAAAACGCATTTTAATAGGCAATAACATTAAGTGTGTTGATTGATGACAGATAACAAGGTGTATACATGGAATTGCGGATAACAATATTTTTGAATGAAATGACAGATACACGGCTCAAATAAATAACATATAACAATGCATATTAATTAAATTATAAAATACGTTCAATTAAAATTGCGAGTGCAGACAGGACTTGTGGAGCATGGCTTCGCCTCCGATGCTTCCTAGTTTGCGCCCCAGTGAGATAAGCAAATCACACGACACAATCCTCCACTGAGATAACAGTTTATATCAATATATAAGATAACTAGATGTACTACCCGACTTCGCCCGGGACTTGGATTTACGACGCCCGGCCGCCTTTGTCCAACCAGTGGCGATGTTCACACACCACACCAGTTAATAGTTTGATGCTGAGTCGACCTAGGGGAGGCCCAGGAGCGGTTGAAATAATCGTCACCAGTGGTGAGCGTGAGCGGGAATCGATTTGACGTCACAGCTCACTTGCCATGCAATAAAAATATATTCATAATAAAGGTTTTTGGGTTAGATCGCGTTATTTATGTGTCGTAACCCTCCACCACCCAACACAGCCAATCAGCAAAATAAAGTGTCACGTTGACAAAAGACAAATAGTTCACTACTTTAGCCCACTGGTGTGTTGAAGAGTGAATCCACAACATGTACAGTTTGAGTAGTACGACGTTGCGCTGGTAATTCCATCCAGAATCATCGGGCAATTCGCCAGAACGGTAAAGCCCTCTCCACTTGCTCCCGGTCTTAAATAGAGCAGCAGGGTGACGTCATCATTTAACTCATTCAGGTGCAGTGATCAGAGGCGGACGGGGGGGGTATTGTAATTATATAATCGATTGGTAATCAGTCAATGGTTATGATTAGTAATGAGTTGTAGATTAGTAATTAGTTGTAATGTGCGTTATTGTGGTTATATGCTACGTTAGTAATCCGTTAATTAGTATGCGTTTCCCCTAAAAGAAATTGTAATATGTATTATTTAATAATATGCTTCCAAGCCGCACTAAGCCTAAACATTATTGAGCTCCCCCCCCCCCCAAAAAAATACCAAAGTGTATTTTATAATTTTTGCATGGTGTACAGTCTGGAAAGTACCCACATGGCAAATTTCAAGTTTGTTGCATGTCGGGAAGTACGCTAAACATTTTGAACAGACACACACATTCACAACTTTGCCTTTTATATATATGCCAAGTGCGAACACGTGGCAGGACACCTCCTGAAAAGGAGCCGTGGGACTCAGCGAGGCTTTCCTCAATGCGTTTACAAGCAAGACATCAAAAGGTATCACACGTTGTGTTAAACTTGTAGTTTTCAGGCCTACATTGGTATTATTATTATTTTATCATGATGGGCTTTGCTCTTCATTTACACATTTGATTTGCTGGGTACATAAGCGTAATGATATGAATAAAAAAAAATACAAAAGCACGTTACACTATGAACGCGTTACATTATCCAAAATACGTTACACTAAACACACATGGTAATACACGGAACATTACTAACACATTACATCAAGCACTCGTTACACTATGAACAGGTTGCATCTTACGTTACACTTCAAACACATGACACTCCAAACACATAACATTACAGTGCAAACACGTTACACTATATACACAAACGTTTTACTTTACACTAAACACATTACACGTACAAGCATAATTTAACCGTGCGGTACAAACACGTTCCCCTTACATTCACACGTTACACTATAAATACGTTACGCTAAACTATAAAACACGTTACACTAAAAAAGACACGTTCAACTATAAACGCTAAACCACCTCGAAAACCTCGTTACATTATTAAAAGCACGCCGCTGAGACTTCGTCGTCTCGCGCCTCACCTGTGAATCCAGACTTTAGTTAATCATAACAATAATAATCACGGCTATCGTAACCTAACGACGCCATCAGTAGTATCAGTAGTAGTATTATTATTGTAACAAAGTAACAATTACCCCTACCTAGCGAGCGTCAATAAAACGCCGACGGCCTAAGGCTTCACGAAACCCTCTCCGTTGCCGTGGAGACGGCGCGTACCATTAGCTGCCTGGCAAAACAGTGGGCTCCCTTCGTTCATCCGCTATCAACACGCGCGTTTCTATTACCGATAGACCGACAAGCCGCTTTGTTTCCTTTACCCGGGCAGTCGTTGTTTCACACGATTGCCAAGCGGTTTACGTTCAAGTTGCCAACTTCGAAGCGTTAACGGTGGGTGTCTTGGGTGGGGGAAGAGTCCATTCACTCACAAGGAGGTGGGGGGGGGAGACGGACAGCTCTGTGTGACGTCACTCACGACGCGTCACCGGTGTAGGGGAGGGGGGTACTGCAATTTCCCACCCCCTCGTCCATCACCCCACCCAATATGGCGACCGCGTGAAGAGTCGGTTTGGTGACGTAAGTGTCCTTTGGCGATCTCCGAACAGCGACCCATTACTATTTTATTATTATTTTTTTAATTCACTTTATTTTCATGTTTATGATTTTATTGTTATTATTTTGTTATATCTACGTGACTTTATCGAAAGAACCATAGAATATGAATTCCTGCATTTACGAAAGTTTTAAGTCAAAATTTAGCGAGCCATGACGTCATCCCCCGCCCCTCCTCCCACCCACAATTCAAGCGGCCATCTTAGGCGGGGGCACGACCCATCCGCTAACACGGGGCAGCGATGCGTGACGTCACGCAACCGAATCGCAGCACCTCGCAGATTAACGCCACCGGTCTCCCCCACCCAACATGTCCGCGGCGGGGTTCAAAGCGGCGACGGCGGTGGCCGGAGCAGCAACGACGGAAGCCGCCGCCGCCACCGCGGGCATTCAGCGGGCGATGGCGACCCTCGTGGCGGCGCGGCGTGGCGCGTCCTTGCTCGGTAGCCGCCTCCCGTGGTCTCCCGCAGCCGCCGCGTACGCCACAGAGACGCGAGGCGCCTTCTGGAGCAGGATCAACTTCCTGAGGAGAGACAAGGCGGCGGCGGTGCCGGTGGCGACGCCGGCGCAGGCGGAGGAGCAGGAGCGGCAACGGCAGGCGGTGGTGCTCGTGCCCAGGCCCGAGCCGCGGAGCCGGCGCTACGACCCGCCCGCCGACCTGGAGCAACGGGTGCGGCGAGCGGTGGGCGAGGTGTACGGCGCGGGCGACGGCGCGGGCGACGCCGCGGGCTCGGGAGCGCGAGATTGGCGCCACGTTGCCGTGGGCGCCGGCGCGAAGAAGTTCGAGCTGCTGGCGCGGTTGGCGGCCGATTTGGGCGGCCACCGGGTGCCCAACTCGCGGCTGCACGAGGTGTCCAAGGCGGGCGACGTGCTCGCCTTCTACGGGGAGGCCGTGAGGGACTCGAGCCGCTTCGAGGACCTCGCCTCGATGCCACTGCCGCCCAACCTGAAGATCCGATGGGAAGAGTCCCGAGGAGAATGAAGGAGGAGGCGAGATGGTTACCATCACCACCCCACAACCGAACTTCTCCTTCAGGGTTTACAAGTTTTAGCGACCCCACCAATTAACTTGTTTCAAATGCAAATTGTATGCTCCGCGCAATCCCGATGATTGCTAAAACGGTGTATTCAAATTACGATATTGTGTGGAGGCTTGTCCCCGGTCTGATGGAGGTAGCGGCGATTAGAATTAAGATGACATCGTGTCTATGCGTATTCTTAGTGGTCTTCAAAAAATCATCAGGCATGTACCGCGCTTGACGGCTTAATTTGTATTTAAACTGAAGTTTGTACATTATGAAAATACGCACCTTGGTGGGTCGCAAAAAAAGATGAGTTTGGGAAACACTGCAAACGTTTAAATGAAGATTCTGATATCATAGCCAATGCTTCTGATGCCACACCACCTTACATGCCAAGTCACAGCTTTTGCACTGAACTTTTGACCTCCCAAGGTCCGTGCATGGAGTCAAACATATTGTGGTCTCATATAGGGGAAGCAGTGGACACGCGACCTTAGTCTTATTCCACCTTCATCGTCTGATTGTTGGTCTATTGAAACGGGATATTTCACCTGTTAAAGTCGTATCCAATTATATGGTTTGTTACATTGTTAACTCGGGTCCCTCTTACACATGCCAACATGGTTGCATATTTCCCTTTGGTCCCAAGCCACTCCCGACGCACTTGGTAACATTAAACTGGCTCGTGGAATACGTGGTCGGGATGGTTGGACTGGTCAGTCGTGTGGGCTGTTATCACGTACAGTGTAGCTAATTGTGTTGAGTGTGGATTCATTTATTATACTGTATACCATTGTTGACATTAAAGAGGCCAATTAACATAGCATCACATTTGGCTGCACTGCGACCACCACGTGCAAGTAAAACGTATTTTTCACTGAAAGCTGCCGTGACGTTTTAACAAGTTGAAACGAATGCGTTAATTGGCTGTACATTAGAGATGGGCAACCCAAAGCCCGTTACTTAATTTGACTTTACCCGCAGCTACATGAGGCCCCCACCACTTAGAAATGTCCCCCACGCGATATTTATCTGTCACTGCTAGGACCTTAGCCATACCAATCGGGTATTAAAATGGAATTGTTTCAACCTGACAACGCTTACGTTTTCAGTGCGATCGGTCACTTGGCGCACCTCTTGCAATGCCAGGTGTGCAATGTTCGAAGTGTGCGCTCGGGAAGGAAAAAAGTTTCCCACTCCTGGTGTGCACCCATTCCTCCATGCAAAAAAGTGGCCGTTAACCCATTTACTGATTCAATGGGGATTGTTTATGAATAAATAACAATTGGGCTTGCAAATATATAATTTCTTGCTCCCGATAATGCTCTGCCATCCCACATATACCAACATTTTAAGTCGACGTTAAGTAATTTTACGGGTCTTTATAATAAAACTGAAACTTGCACCTTGCTGGGCTGGATAGACCACATTTTGGGATGCTCTTGTCCAACAGTAGGATCCTGTTCAAGCGTTGTTAAAGGTGGCGATTTTCTGAATGTCTTTGCGTGTGGCCTAAGCAGACAAATGAAGAGCTCGTATACCTCAGAGCTGTGAATATTCATGTTCAAAGACGTGGAGATAAGTTAGTTCCCATTGATGAAATATGATTTAACCAACCAGAATACTTGGAGGTAAACTTTTAAGACAAGGTTTGGTTGATGTATGTATAAGTGCATTTAAATTATGCTCTTCAGCATACGACCCAGCATTCCTGATGACATGTTAAGGTATACACATTAAAACAGTGTTTTTTCATGAGACTTAACTTCTGCATTGGTTGAATTTTTTTATTTTTATATTCTAAAAACACATGAAGAAAGCTGTTTATAAAACATACTTAACAAATCGATATTCATCTTATTAAAATAGATATGAATGACCCATGTTTCATTTCAATTACAAAACAAAAAGTAACTCCGCTTATAACCTCATGACAAGAAAATAATGCATTGTCAAGAATAAAAAAATCCTCATCTCTTTGTGGACATAAGCCTAAATAGCAGGCATGTAATGATCCACAAACCAGTCCATGAATCATGATACAATTCAAGAATGAAGTCTGTTTATCCACCTCATCGGTATTCTCAATTTTTTGCCATTTCGTTTTATTTGCTCCATTAGTCCAACACTTGCAAAAAAAAATTCGTCATGTCAATCCACTGCATGACTTCAGACATTTACTTCTCTTTGCCACGCTTATCAGTAGATTGGTCAAGTGGGGGCCATGACTCATTTAGATAGCATATGCCAATGACGTTAGACACGTTCAGGAATCAAACCGAGAGCTGACCACTGTGCCAACAATCCATACAGACTCGCATGGTGAAGTAGTCAAATAATCCCAATGACCAACACGGCATGGAAAGGCGTTCATCTGGCAGTGGATTGACAAAGGGCTGTAAATAAACACCAGCATATAATCTGCACAAATGTAATCATTAGCTGCAATTTTTAGCGCAAACATTGCGCAATTAAGAATCCGTGACTCAATGCATCGTTACATGCCCCCTACTAAACAACTTCGTCCAATTTCAACGGCCGTGAACTGACAAGGGGATGGGGGGGGGGGGCGGCAGTGCAAGGTGTAATGTCGGTTGCTCAGTCAATGTGCGACCGCTCCCTGAGCAGCGTCTTGATGACACCGTACCCCAACGCCGCCAAGAGCAGCAGCAGCATGAACGCCAGGGGGTCGAGCGACAGCACGCGGGCCAGCGCGTACAACAGCAGCAGGCCCAGCATGTTCCTGTAGCTTGCAAGGAAGCGCAAGCTCAGGCGGGGTGTATGCGCTGCCGCTGCCGCCATTATCACTGGCTCCCGGAATGAGGAGGAGGAGGAGGAGGAAGAAGAGTTGCTCTCTGTTGATGGGAACCTTGGCATGGACGCGACCCTGGGCGGACAGAGGTAGTATCGCGAGAGGCGGCCCAGGAAGCCCGGCCGCCTGCACAGCGCCTGCATCTGACTGTTGTACTGCAGAGGGAACATTGGAACAATCATGGGGCAGGACAGGGGTATATGTTAGGTAGACTTGACAAAGGGCTGTAAAATCACTATCATACCATTGGCACTTAATTCAATTCTGAAATGCATGACGATGTATGTATGAACTTATTTCGCACCGTACGTAGCCAACCATGCTAATTGGAGGTGCAGGGGAAGGACAACAATCTAGACGCACATAGTGAGCGTAATGATGGATTCACCACGCACCCTACCGCATAGATTCAATGTTTGTCCCAAGTGAGGGAAAACATTAGGGAAGGTGAAATGGAAAGTGGGGGGTTGGTGTCAGCATTGACCAATGGGAGAGAGCAACAGCGCGGTACGGCCCTGGACCGAGACCAAGTAGAGGAGGATGAAGCAAGATCAACATATCACACTCAATTCCCTCCCGTTGCCCTCCTGTATTTGTGCTTTGAGATGCTTTTAACATTATAGGCAAGTTATGAATGTAAGTTGTTGCAGAAATTGGGGCCAACACTGGGGAAGGTGCAACAAGGCAGGGTGGGAAAAGGGATCTGGCTCGGTATTGCTCAATTCAAGCACCACCAATGTGAACACCAGTCGCATCATATGGAAGTCTTTGAGTTATGGCTTACCCGGAGGTTGAGAGCGGATGTCAGACGATACAGCAACCGAACGAGCGTGGGGTTTTCGTAGCTTCTGATAGGCTGCAGTTCGGGGTCTCCCGAATATTGGATGTTGAAGCGACGCAGCCCATTCATCAGCTGCATGCACCAGTAACAGAATAAACATTACTACAAACAAGCACGTCGTATTTAAAAAAAATATATCTATATTCATGACCTAACATGTAGCCTAATTAGATGGAATGTATTTGCAGAGGAGTTCTGGATGTGGGCACCGTGAGCCGGGCCTGGTCATGTACACCTGCAGTGCCAGTGCTTAGAGAGGTAAAGGTCGGTGGATCACATAGATGTTTGTTAAATTCCCAAATCTGCTGGGCTGTGAGATGGTCGTACAGCAAGTGAGTTGTGACCTCATCTGCGTGGACCTTGGAGTGCCGTTCCGTTATGCAGATGTTTTCTCCTGGAATTCCAGTTCCCAGATCGCAAACGCTCGTGAATGTAATTGACTAAACATCCCAATGTTGGAGATTCTGTGATGGTTTAACGGATAAATATGAAAACAATTTATTGACGATTACAAACAAAAAATGGAACGTTAGAGCACGTGGGGTGGAGTGGTAGTGTTGTGGTGAGCACGAAGAACCCAGCAGCCGGAGTTTAATTCACCACCATGGCTAACCGACACTAACACGGTGAAATATGGTGAAGGAACCACTACAACCGGCACCGCATGTGGGGAAGCCTTCATCCAGCGGGGGACTGAACGAGAGCTCTCAACTACTATAATTACATCGAGTGACTTGGGTGCGGTACCTGGTAACGGCCGAGAGGTGTGAGCATCTGACCATCCTTCCCCGGCGCACAGTCTGGAAGCTCGCCGGTGCCAAAGTCTGGTGCACCAGGGCCCATCCACGAGTGTCGAGGAACCACAAGCGCCGCGTTTATCTGAAACGAGCAAAACAACGCGGCTCATTTGCGGCGTGGGAACTCTCCCACGACCTGCCTTGGCTCCAACGGTGTCGCAAGGACCCTTTTTGGAATTAAGATTGCGTTTTTGACTGCTCCTGTAAAGTGTTTTGAGATATGGCCGCACTTTATGACAGTGAGAAAGCGTGTGTGCTTGAGCCTCTTACTAAAAAGACCTTGTACAATGTGGGAACGATGCAACACGAAATCGCCCGCAATGCACTCGATCTCATCATTTCTTGTGAATTCATCAGGGTTGAGCCTGGATAGTGCTTGGTTGGGGGTGACAATGATGTGCAAACAAGCTCTCATCGGGCTCGCATTACATGGTGGGGCAGCAAGACGGCAGTGCAGTAGAATTAAATTTTGTACTGTGGTTCTGTGCTACCACAACTTTTCTCCTTGCTTTCACTCCATGCTTGTGCCCTCATCCAGCAATGGACTGAAAAGACGGCTGTACATGTACTTCTACTTTAATAATACATGATCTTAAGATGTTTCCTTGTCTTTCAACGAAAAGTGCAAAAAAAATGACACCACACCCTGAATGTCTGCGAAAAGAACTCGATGGACTTCTGCAGGTGTTCTCCCAGCTTGCGCGTGTCCACCGCCTCGTAGTCGTCCCCGTTGGCGCTCGCCGACCCGTACCCCGAGTCCCACGTGAGGCCCAGCATGGAGAGGAAAGAGCGCCCGCCGCCCGGACCGTTGCTGCCACCGCTACCACTTGAAACGGCCTCGCCTGCCCGATTGGGTGCCGTCATCGCCGCGGCCGCCTGCCTCTGGGCCTGCTGCAGTGCCTGCACCAGCTGCAGGACGGCGGTGCGGCCTTCCGAGCCGAACAGGGGCGTGTAGGTGCGCTCCTGGCCCTCGAGCGCGCACACGTGCAACCGCACGCGAGCCGCGCCGTCCCCGGGTAGCGCCTGGCGGGGGGGGGTGCGCGCCGCCGCCCCCCCACCGCAGGGAGGAGGGCGGTGCTGGGGCCGGGGAAGAGCCCCGTACCGCCGGCGACTGCTGCTGGCGCTGGGGAGAGATGTGCTCAGGCTCTTGCAGCAGCTGCTCGCCTGGTTAAAGGGAGTGCACAGGGCGATGGAAATCAGAATGGCGATCGCTCGCGTGGGTAATAGGAATATACTATGCTGTAGGCAGCATAGGCTCATGCTCCACACCAAAGCGCATGAACGAGCATGGTGAAGCAAGGCTAAACAACCCTCTTATGCTATTGGGTGGCCCAGCAGTGACTTGACAAACGGGACACTTACATATAAAAAATCGTACAAAGCAACCAAAATCGACAACCCTCAAGACTGTTACAAATGTACGGTCCAGATCGGAGCAGGTCCAGCATCCCTGTCGCGCCCGTAAGACGTGCGACGCACCTTTCATGATGAGCGCGCACAGGTTGCACTGCGCGTATACCTTGGCGGCCCGGTACGCCATGAGTGTGTGCCGCGCCGAGCTGAGGTCGGAGCGCAAGGTGCGGCCCACAAACACCTGGAAGAGTCGCGTGTAGAAGAGCAGGTTCTCCTGCACGAACACCGCCCTGCCGTAACGACAAGCACGCAAGCACAGGACGCGTTACGTCAGAGGTCGGAAAAGACCGGGTTAACATCCGTCGGGTGGAGCAGTGGCTTAGTGGTTCACGCAATGTCGCTATTAACTCGGTGACCTAATTTCAATTCCCGGCCATGGTTAACTTCAGTGGCGATTGAAAGCAGAGTTGGTCGTGCCAATTCATTAAATCACAGATGTTGGCGGTGTGCATCATTACATGCCTAGATCATCGGGATCCATACAGATTAACTATCATGCATTCAAGTTCTTATGTATTCACACGTGACTGGAGCTTAGATTGATCTGTGCAACCTGCACACTGATTGGGCAGCCGTCGTTTGAGCTAACGACCTGCTATTGGGCAGAGGATCAAAGAAGAAGACCCTGCACCGTAAACAAAAGCCATGGAACACTCGACCAAGGTAATGCGCAATTGCAGCTCACGCTTGCAGCCTCACCACTTGTCGGGGACGGTGGGGTCGTCCGACTCTCCGCCACCGTTTGGCCACTCCGTGTAGCGCCACGGCTGGATGTAGCTCAGCCACGTTTCCAGCACCTGAACGAAAGGGTGCACACTCATTTGCTCACTTGCTGAAAAGCCACTGGCAGGTTAGACCACCCTGAGCATGGTTTCATGGCCGACGGATTGTTGCCCCTTTGCTAATCAGGGCAGCCTTAGTATGGACGGTGCACAAAATAGATGTCGTCTGCTTGACAGTGGACGTTAACGATCCCGTAATGTTATTGGCAAAAATGTATTAAAAAGATTACCCACAAATTATCTAATTGGGTAAAACATGTAACAGCATCGCCCCCTACTGGCATATTATTGCCGTCAAAAGTCATTACACGCAGATCCCGTTTAGCGGTACAGCGCCGATTCGCGGTTTGTTCTTGGAAATTTTTAAAAATAAAACACAGTATATATAAAAAATTTAATACTGTACATACGTAACCTACAATAAATAAACATAAGGATGAAAAGCCATACTTGAGTTAACTCTGTGTACATTCTCATCCAAATACTGTACATTAGGGCCCTTTAACACTCCGCGAAGGAACAAGCACCATTACTCACTCGAGTTGGCACGGCATTAGCTCTCCGCCAATGAGCGTTTTCCTCTAAAACTGGGGGAAAGTCAATAACAGAGGTCTTTTTGGGTTAGATCGTGATCTAACCCAAACAAATCTCTATTACGGATATTGGTCAGGAAAGCCTAAGTGTTAAACTGGGGAGAGTCAAGTCACAGATCATGTTTATCTGTATTATAAATCATATTTATCTTTATTATTGTTCCAATAACCCAATGAACACCGAATGTGTTGGTCTTAGGTGATAAATTATGATGTCGGGAAGATCTCCATAGGGCCTATGCTATAATGACCCCGTTATAGCGCTAATTCACCCAGCACTCTCGTTTCCAGGCACACATCCCTCGCGCTAAACGGGGTATTGCGTGTATTTCATGGCTTCCTTGTCCTTAAAGCCTGGTTGTCCAACCCCGACAGCAGAAGGTAGTTATTGTGCCATGTCTGCCTCTGGAGTCCACTAGGACCTTGGTCCACCATCTATGCCATTGTAAGTGGCATTGTCATTTTCTACGAGTTGTGTGGCCCAGTTCAAATCTCCCTACACTGACTCATGGGGTGCACTGGCTGCACACCTTGGGGGGTGCATCTGGCACTCAATCATCCACGGGCTGCTGGCACATGGACACTTACCACTCGGAAGGAGTAATCGAGTGGCCAGTGGCTGAAACAATGCTGCAGGAACACGTAGAGCTTCTTCTGTACAAACCTTGGAATCACCACCCTGGACATACACAAGAAAGCATTTTAGTTGGCCCATTGTGACACAGGCAACGACCTCATATTTGACCATGCATTGAGGGGGACCGATTTGTGGATGTACTTGCTTTACTTTCAATTAGATTTTTACTAATTATATTTCACGTATGCTATCCCGCATCCTATGTCACGAGAAAAACAACCCGTTCAGAAATTATCATCGGAAATTTTCATAGAGCAGTGCAACCCCGGGTAAAAGAATCACCCGCAAAAGCAGATATCACGGAAGTGCTTCAGATATGATTTCGAGCGACATGTTTTTTTTAAACCTTCATTATACACGGGGTGTACAGTGATGTCAAGTGACCTGCAAAGCACGATTGAATCCTATGGTCGCATTCATGCCTTTCGCCGTTCAGAAATCACATTTTTCGAGGTTGCACATATTCACAACGCTCACCGTTTGAAGTTGTCGAGCGGGCTTGTGGGTTGCGAGTGGTATGGGGACGAAGGGGAGGCGGGCGGTGGGTCGCGCGCACTGCTGCTGAAGTAATGCAGGTGCTTGATGAGCAGGCGTACCACCCGCACGTGCTCCTCCGTCGGCACGAACTGTTCCTGCGAGAAGACGCGCGGGCGCGAGCGCACACATGCGCGCGTTGTGCACACGACCCACCAAGCAGCAGCCAAGCAAGCCCACAATGCATCCAACAGCCACCAAAACGCAGGAAACGACCCCCAACCGCCCCCCCCCCCCCCAAAAAAGTAAATCAGGTTGCGTGAAAGAACGAAGCAGGAAGCCAAGGCTTAACAAAGATGGCAGGCAGGCAAGCTTCACTATCCCCAGTGTGCTTAAGGCTGCATAGCAAGCTGCCGAGTTTATAGGATGCATATAAATGCACAAAGCTCAAACGTTATGGTGTCATTAACAGTTGCCATAATTTTAACCAGTTCACGATCTCATCCCATGCATAATTATCAAATTCACCCAGAATGTGACCGATCTCATCTGATCAGATTTCGAAGCTAAGTATTGTTGGGCCTGGATAGTGTTTGGATGGGCGATTGCCATTCATGACAGATGTCATGGTCAAGAGCAGAGCGCACTGCATAAAACTATATAGCTGTACAATACTCCCTAGAGTATGCTCCCCACCTTCGGCGTGAATGGTCAAATAACCCCGAAAACCCAAGCGTGGGGAGGCCCTCATCCAGCAGCGGCTGTACAAGTGCGTGTGTGCACATGCTTGTTAAGTGATGGATGGCAGCGGCATGTGGTTAATGAGAGCATGACGTTTAATTGGTGGAAATCTCACACGCCAAAAATGGATGCTGAATACGGGCCGTGCCCCCATGTAGATGTGGAAAGGGGTTGATGATTCCATGGCCATCAAAGAGGATAGAAATCCAAGACAGACTGAAAGCAGGTGAAAGGATTCCAAGACTTTTTGAAAGGGGGCAAGGGAGGTAAGAGCTGAGATGATTGCTAAAAAGAAAAAAACATCTGGAAATAGTAATAGGTTTTTACCCTTTTATCTGGCACAAAACTGACACCTTTATACAAGGGATCATGTTTGCAATAACCACAACACAATTAGTCAAAATGCAAACAAAAAAGACAACACTGATAATATGCACTGTCCTTGAATTTGATTGGTCCACACCCGAGACGGCTTGTCTAAGAGTCCAGTCTCCACTGGTGTTGGACCAGAAGACGCCAAAAGGCGTACAACTCAAAAACAGCGCACCATCAGAGTATTGAGAGCTCGGGGTAAGCACTTACATCTGGAAATGTTCAAATTATATCAACTCTGTCTTGCATTGGCTGTGGGAATTAATGACAGCTTCAAGAGCAAAATGGATTACACCAAAGTAAGTGCCATATCATTAGTTATTGATATTTGGGTGGCTCGTTGATATTTTCTCAAAAGGGAATGGCTTGAAACCAAGTGTGTCATTAAAGTCATTAAAGAAAGCTGGACATACTCTCTATAAGATCGAGCCACTGTGTGCCAATGCCTACAACAAAGGCTTCACCTAAAAACAGAGGACAATTTGGACTGAAATGTGAAATAGTGTTTCTGCAGCCAACAAAGAACAGGCATGCAGAAGATCGGACAGACTCTGCATAATTATAAAAAAACGGTCACTTTTGTGCCAATTATGGTAAATGTAAATGACTCGGAAATATATAATTGTTTCTGCGGTATGGCATGCAACGGGGATGCAATACCGCATACCCAGCCAAATTAAATTTAGCCAGACACTTAACCTCCACCCCTGCAAACAAGCACTCCTGCCAAGATGCCTTTGCTGCGTGCGTGCCACTTCAAGGTGCATGCTTTCTAAGGAGGTAACGAGCCACCACGGGTCCTGGCGGGCCACACACGGTCCACGTTTCCCACTACAACCAAATCAACCGGTGCACGGGGCCTGTGAATCGACGTTACACGACAAACGTAACATTTACTCCCCATAATTTCACGAACTGTTATTATTTTTATGAAAAATATAGATTCGTCTCGTGCATGTCTCATTTTCATTATCCGTCCTGTTCGGTACAGGTCACGTTGTCTTACTCGCCCCTTCGATGCACGTAATATGCGGGCGTCAAGATTACATTTTAACAGGCGAATCGTCACGTGCCGATTGACGAGAGAAAAAACAAGAAAAATTGGCCTGGCACGATAAGTCGAAGCGCGCCGTGTCTGGCCCGCAAGGTCCTGCGGCCTAGCCCCTCTCTGCTCTCAATCATGTACTTCCTGCAGGAGTAGGCCGCAGTAGGCGGGCGGGAGAGTGCTACCGAGCGGCACGCCCTGGGCACACAGGCGCCACTGCATCACCTCCATCTGACACAGGCACAGCGCACGTGGCAGGCGATCACAAGAAGGAAACAGGCGGCGGTGGGGGGGGGGATGCGGGGAGAGGGAGAAACAGTGAGCGCAGTCGAGGGCGGATTTAACGCACGGCTCGGGCGCTTCTCAAGAGAGCGACAGTGGCGGATGTCAAACCTGGGCCCGGGTTATGCTTTTTGTCACGTGCTATCGAGCTCTTTGCACCATGTGAAGCGATCACGAAAAAGCTATACTTGCGTGTCGCGGCTGCCACTGAGGCGAGTTTATACGTCAACATTGTATACAGTACGTGGATGTCATGCACCCTTCTTTACAAGACTATTCATGCTTCTCCATTGGACGATGAAATTGTATGATCCATCATCTACTTTCCACACTTCCCCACAGCCCCAATTTCATACTATTTAACCGCTTTAAGCAATCTCTCTTTGATCATTATTTAAGTAATATCTCCAATGGATGATTGCCTGAAATCAGCACTCGACTGCAACTACACAAACAACACCAAATTGACACAGGACAAAAGCAACAGGTGGCACACTGAAACCACTGCATGGACACGTGCACGCCACTTCCATTCGACAGCAAAAAGTTTGAGATCACACGGTCGTTCATTTTTGCGAGCCGACAAGAGCTGGCATGCTTCACCACATGTAATGCATGTATTTTGAGGGCTGAAGATAAAGTTTTTATTTTCCGCATGGTGCAACAAAAAGTGTGCCACCCTGCGATGCGACCTCAGTTTACTCCGGTAATTGTTTTCAGACGAAAATAGTTTTTGGTTCACGGTGAAATCAACGATTGATTGAATGTAGTTCTAAGTCGTTTAAGTTCTGTTACTCTTAGTATTACTTGGTTTGTTAAAATACTGGCATTGTGTGTTAGATTTCTGTTCATAATAGTATGATCCATGTAGGCTCACAGAAAAATGGTAAGTGCTATGTTTTCCCCTGTAGTTAAATATCAAATACACTTTCCGACCACAAAATGGTTTGCATATACTGAGATTTCGTCCAAAAACGCAACAAACAATAACCGTGTCATGTTAAAGCAATGGAAAAAAAGACATACAACAATTACTGTCTGTAAAACATGCAGGTGTATGATTTTTTGGCATGCGCCAATGGAAGGCAGATGGGGTATTAGTTATGTTTTTTGTGCACAAGACTTAAATGTAAGTAGATGAGGTCTCTACTAATATGTGCATTCATACAATGTGATGACATGGTTACAGAAGGGAGAGTGGCTTTACTGCCATGCAGCAAAGGCATTAACCACAACTCTATTTCAGTCAGTCAGATATCCCGCTCGGAGTTCACAATGTGCTGTTAGGCGTGGCTGGTGGACCGCGTGAATGGGCAAGCTTCAAAAGGGGTTATGCAATTAGATGCTTCACTCAAACATTGGAAAAGACCTCTACCATCAAAGTTATGACTGTGGCTTTGGACTTGAAAACTCTGCCTTCATTATCCCTGGAGGTGATTCACCATCCCACCCACCCCCATTTGATGACCTGTCGGGATTAGATGAATTGGAGAAAAAAATATCACGATTCAGAGTCGTGATTATATCGAATAATATATTTCTTTCTTATTATAATATTTTGGTTAATGTAGACGCAGGGGTCACATGAGCCAATTCAGAACCTTCACAAATCAAAAAAAAAAACCGTGGATATTGCACACAATATTTGATGCACATGTCACGCGCTTAAGCATCGATATTAAGCAATGAAAAAAGTAATCGCTACAACTCTAATTATCTCCCATTTAATACTTTGTCGATGACACCATCCATGACACCAACGGTCACAAACTAACAAGGCATTCTGGAAAAAACACCAGCTGTCTCGGGATGGGTCGGGGTTTGGCCGATCGGATAGAGAGAACTGACATTCTCACGAATCGCCTTGTGCCTCGCGTCTCATTAGCCAGGCAGCGGTGGCGTTGCAGCGGTGCATTGCAAGCAGAAATCATTAGGACACCACATCAAGTGCGCAAGCGGCAGTAGCAGGGAAATAAGTTACATGCAGAGGCAGTTAGCAGCAGCTTTGGGATGTATGAAGCAGGATTGTTCGGGTGTGGAATTGTTGTCAATCGCAGTCATATTGGGGCCAAATGCATTGTCATTATGAAAAATTCTGTTTGCTAACTGCACGTTACGTAATAGTCCAAACGGTCACTCAACTAAACATTTTGTTTCATATAATTTTAATTATCATTGTTTTAGCGAGCAGGCATTTGCCTATTATTTCTCGCTTGAAATTAATCTTCATGGACACCTGTCCACATAACTCCTTTTCGAAGAAAACGAGGTGAGGAAATTTCATTATATTCAAATTGTATGAATATTAAAAAAAATACAAAAATAGGCAAATTTTAATTCCAGTCACATGGCTGCTAGACGTCATACATTTCATGATACACTGGTCCGAAATAAAACCACCGAGACAAAAATTAAATGCTTTGTGGCCAAGTGGTCATGGTTGTTTTCCGACATATAATTGCTTTGATTTCCATGGATACCATGGGCCAATTTAAGTTGTCATACACAACCAGAGCAGGCAGCTGAATCAGTGAAACTCCACTTAAATCACTGGAGAATTTAAATTTGCATCAGTCTGCGAACTTCGTAGTGAAGACATGCAAAATGTTGCCCCTATACTGGAAGAGAGCAATTAAGCCAAATGAGCGTTGGGCATCCGATTCATAATTGCTTCACGTAAACGTGTGGCTTCACCACACTGCGACGACGTATTCAAGTCCCCGTGTGCATGGGAAGAGGGGGAGGAAGAAAGTAGGCCACCAAAGTAATTTAGTGAAGCCATGATGCACGCTTTGCTGCATCCTTGACCCCGTGGACCAACCTTATTCTATTATCACCATCCCCTTAAATTCCTTCGCCTCCCCCACTGCCCCTTTCCCCCCCACACCTCATTTTGAACGTACAATTCACGTCATTGTGGCCCGTGTGGGAATGCGACGAGGATGCAATCTGCTGTGCGCGCCGAGCGGAATGGCATGTCGACGGGCAAAACATTTACCCGAGCCTGTGGGGACTGCATTTTCTGGAATACCTCTGGGGAGTAATGGTGCAACCAAAGCTCCACAAACACCTGTGGAGGAAAAACAACAGCGGTTTCAGCGGAATCATAATGAACAAGTCAACAACATTTTGTCTAGCCATTGAACAAAGACGGTCACTGCATCGCGCACGTTCAGGTGCGCTTCTGCGGCCGTCTGGAACGCTCTTCCTTCCAATATTAGGAAGCCACTCGAGCGATGCACTTTTAAATCTAGATTGAAAACTCATTTCTTTAGAACTACTTTTTGTGTTCAGTTTGTTGTCCTTCCGCTGCAACTGATTAGTATGGTTGGCTACATACGGTGCGAAAGATGTTCAACATACATGCATGCATGCATACAACAGCTCGTTTCCCGTGAACAGCGATTTGAGCTTTTTGGGTTGGTTGTCTACAACACGACTCTGCACATTATACACGCAGTAAGTCGGGGGATGCTGCCATGGAGTAACGAGTAGCACAATTACATTGCAATTCAGAGGTCGCCAGTTCGATTCGATCTACCGTTTCCGGCAGATTAAACAATTGGCGAGTTTGTGAAATGTTCCCGTCTCTGTCCGCGCAGCAGTACAAATAGGTACACCACAGCCAGTTGATCGACAGATCGCACGTGTGGGGTAAATTATGGGTACTCCCACCTCTTTCAAGACGTCTGGACAGCTTTTAAGAAGAGGTACCATCTGGAGGGACTCTCTTGACCACTCCCTATAGTTGAAGGCCATTCCACCAGCAGTGGCATGAGTAAGTAATCACAGGGGGATGCCACGTTACATGGAAGGCATGATTGGAGGATCCCATCCAATGGTCAAAATCGTGCAGTTTGCTTTTCATTAATCATATTCTTGAGTATCAAACTACTATTGTTTTCAGCCTCATTGAGAGTGTTTGAATTGGTTTACCTGCAAGAGCGTCTCAGAGTGCCAGATCTGGTGTGCGGCCGGGTCTGGTGTCACAGGGGACTGGTGCTGGATGGGTCTCTTCAGGAGGGCGGACAGAGGGCTGGAGTATGGAGACTGCAGGCAGCTCACTGGCCTGAAGAAAAATACCATAATCACTGTATTGATTATGTCATATAGGGTGACGTAGCAACATGTTTTTGTTAAGTTTTGATATCCAGCCAAGCGCTTTGGGAGAGGAGCGAATTTCAGCGATACTTATGGGGAAATGAGCACGTTAAACAATTGTTCACAAGACTACAGTGACACGAGTGCAAGGAATCGGGTCGCAAATTATGTGAAAAAGCAAATTTTACATTTTAGATTTTATTGTGGAGTCATTGGTGATCGGGCTGAGACTATCAACTCGCTGCACTTGACAATCTGGTTTAACCACAGGCAGCTGAAAGTCGGATGAAAACACAAAATCTCAGCGATGCTCGCTCAAGTGCTCTGATCTGATATTAGCCCCATGAAAGCCACCTAGCCATCTCTCATGGGGGCAGTTGCACAAATTTGACGTCAACAGTCAACATTGCAAAATCATTATAATAGTCAGCATCATAATATTTATTTATCCGATTGCTTCACGTAGGGTCAGGCCATAATGTTACAACACACAATACAAAACACAGAGGGTGTCATGTTTAAGTTGACTATTCTGGAGTTTTGTAAAGTTGGGATTATTTATAGATCAATCCAATGGTGTGAAATACACAACACTGAATGCATCACGAGTATACTGGCATGGAATAAAAATTCGATTTGATTACGTCTGTCACCGTACTATTGAGCATTTCTCCCTTTTTAAGAATGGTGGACAAATTATTTATTTTTATCCAAATTATAGCGCTAATTGGGTAACATACTATGCCCAAGTAAAAAAGAGACTTCATCATTAAACTAATGATTACCCGTATCTTTAGAGTATTTGAAACGCACGTCCAAAATGACAGACCTGCCCATACGCCAGTTATTGTCGCTACCGCAAAGGGACATTACCATTTAAAACAAACTGCAAAGCTCTCAAAACAAGTCACCTGTGGTTAGGCGGGGAGGGGGCCTTGGTTAGAGCGTGTGTTGGAGACGCAGGTGCGTTTCCCATAGTCGGCAGGAAGTACTTCAGGTAGTCTTCCACCAAGGCCGTGTACAGGTTGTTGGGACCGGCCGCGTACTGGGGGCTCAGGGACGTCTGTGAATTACAGGAGGAAAGCTTACAGCCTGCGAGCCAGGGCAAGCGGTGGCATCAGTTGTGGTTGGCCGACACCACCCATCGCAATGGCTGCTAGCAGGTCACGGGAGGGTCCTCCCTTATGGGTGCGCTAAGCAGGGTATCGAGGCACCCGTGGCTAATAAGGCATGTAATGATTCAGTGACCGAAATAGTCTTACTCTCACGATACATTGATAAAATTGTGTAAGAATAAGAATTTGCATGTGATTTACATCACCGGCCGGCTACCATGTGTTACATTCATCACAATGTAAAAAAAAAAATATTCTTGCAATTAAATCACAAGCCTGAATTGTGACGTTTCATAAAATCATCGGGGTGGGGCAAACTGCTGCAGGAGCCTTTATCTAATCGTGGATTTACAAATGTCTGTAAACTATAATGCATTAACAATCTATGTTTAAGGAATGATCCAGAAATCCAACGTCCCACTAATATGCACGAGTTATGACTTAAACCTTCTCACTTGGGGGTTACAAAGGCACCACACCCCTAACTCAACACATAGTGGTAGCGAATTATCTGGTTGAACTTATATTAATCTAAACATAGTAATAATTAGACAGGCACTCTTCATACAACAGTAACTGCCTAATAACGAGGCTGGTACTAGTGTACAATGCTGCTAATGCATACATTTATAAATCAAGCGTAACACGTAGGCTTTCACGACCAATATTATCAATAATAAAGGTGTTTTGGGTTAGATCCCATAAATGTGGCGCAAGGTACCAGATCCTGGATTCTGTAATAAGTGATGTTAACTTGAATTTGTGAAAAATAATCGATGTACCAAGGACCCTGCAAGTCTCACCTTTGGTAGAACGAGGTAGTTGGCGAAGCTGAATAAATAATACTCAAAGGCATCTGAAGGTAGCAGCAATTAAGGTGGAAGCTTACCAACACAAGTGAGCGGGCTAGAAATATGAACATTCATGACAATTGGCTTGATCATTGTTATTTATAAAACACTGCTGCTTGTAAGATGGGTTGTTTAGATGCCTTTCCCTTCAAGTAATCTCTCCCACCTTGCTGAATGGTCTCTCGTATTTAGACCTTGCGTGACAGTGAGAAGACTACGATCCCTTTATTACAGTCAGGTGGACACACCTTGAATTACATTTGCAACGATTTATCTGAAGAAAACATTTAATCAGTGGCAAATAAATTGCAACTGGTGTCACACTGGTTAAGTAAAACGTGACTCTTATACCACCTCCCACATTGTAAACACAATCAGGAAGAGGATGTTGTCATGGGTAAGGCATCTTTCCAGAGCAGAAGAGGGCATGTTAATGAGCCGGGCATTGGAGTGACACCCTTATGGTTGGGATGCTGAAACAGTGGGTCAGGAGGCCGGGTTGTTGACCTTGCAACAGCTGCACGATCGAGCCAAAATAATATTTAGTGAGGTGGGGTGACATCAACAAAATTGTCATGATGACCTCTTAACCTTAACCTCTTCCACATTCTAGATGCAAACATAATTTATGACACTTAGAAGTGTGCTTTTCCAATTACTGTTGATCAATTTGTTAAATGCCCCAGACACATTTATATTTATATTTACGCGATCTAACAAAAAAAACCTCGATTAAGTAATGCAGTGTTTGTGCATATCGGCACTGTCCTTCTCTGCGAAAGGATACTCAGGGAGAGAGACAGCACGAGCCCACCGCCCACTAGTTTGTTGACATAGAGGGGTGACTCTGTGGGAAGGAGGCCCTCCTGAAGGGCCCCTCGCGCTGGAGCCTGCAGTGCAGACAAAACGCAAGCAATCTTAGGTCACACACGTATACAGTGAGGGAAAAAAGTATTTGATCCCCTGCTGATTTTGTACGTTTGCCCACTGACAAATAAATGATCAGTCTATAATTTTAATGGTAGGTTTATTTGAACAGTGAGAGATAGAATAACAACAAAATCCAGAAAAACGCATGTCAAAAATGTTATAAAATGATTTGCATTTAAATGAGGGAAATAAGTATTTGACCCCCTCTCAATCAGAAAGATTTCTGGCTCCCAGGTGTCTTTTATACAGGTAACGAGCTGAGATTAGGAGCACACTCTTAAAGAGAGTGTTCCTAATCTCAGCTTGTTACCTGTATAAAAGACACCTGTGCACAGAAGCAATCAATCAATCAGATTCCAAACTCTCCACCATGGCCAAGACCAAAGAGCTCTCCAAGGATGTCAGGGACAAGATTGTAGACCTACACAAGGCTGGAATGGGCTACAAGACCATTGCCAAGCAGCTTGGTGAGAAGGTGACAACAGTTGGTGTGATTATTCGCAAATGGAAGAAACACAAAAGAACTGTCAATCTCCCTCGGCCTGGGGCTCCATGCAAGATATCACCTCGTGGAGTTGCAATGATCAAGAGAACGGTGAGGAATCAGCCCAGAACTACACGGGAGGATCTTGTCAATGATCTCAAGGCAGCTGGGACCATAGTCACCAAGAAAACAATTGGTAACACACTACGCCGTGAAGGACTGAAATCCTGCAGCGCCCACAAGGTCCCCCTGCTCAAGAAAGCACATATACATGCCCGTCTGAAGTTTGCCAATGAACATCTGAATGATTCAGAGGACAACTGGGTGAAAGTGTTGTGGTCAGATGAGACCAAAATGGAGCTCTTTGGCATCAACTCAACTCGCTGTGTTTGGAGGAAGAGGAATGCTGCTTATGACCCCAAGAACACCATCCCCACAGTCAAACATGGAGGTGGAAACATTATGCTTTGGGGGTGTTTTTCTGATAAGGGGACAGGACAACTTCACCGCATCAAAGGGACGATGGACGGGGCCATGTACCGTCAAATCTTGGGTGAGAACCTCTTTCCCTCAGCCAGGGCATTGAAAATGGGTCGTGGATGGGTATTCCAGCATGACAATGACCCAAAACACATGGCCAAGGCAACAAAGGAGTGGCTCAAGAAGAAGCACATTAAGGTCCTGGAGTGGCCTAGCCAGTCTCCAGACCTTAATCCCATAGAAAATCTGTGGAGGGAGCTGAAGGTTCGAGTTGCTAAACGTCAGCCTCGAAACCTTAATGACTTGGAGAAGATCTGCAAAGAGGAGTGGGACAAAATCCCTCCTGAGATGTGTGCAAACCTGGTGGCCAACTACAAGAAACGTCTGACCTCTGTAATTGCCAACAAGGGTTTTGCCACCAAGTACTAAGTCATGTTTTGCAGAGGGGTCAAATACTTATTTCCCTCATTAAAATGCAAATCAATTTATAATATTTTTGACATGCGTTTTTCTGGATTTTTTTTGTTGTTATTCTGTCTCTCACTGTTCAAATAAATCTACCATTAACATTATAGACTGATCATTTCTTTGTCAGTGGGCAAACGTATAAAATCAGCAGGGGATCAAATACTTTTTTCCCTCACTGTATCTTAACATCACTCATGCAACATCTAAGCTAAGTAATGTGGTACGACTCACCTACCTGTCAGGAGACCTGGTCCCCAATAATTACACCTTACCATTCACCTATTACCTCACGCATAACCTCAAGGTTCCTGAGCGATGTGTAATATCCCCTCTACGTTTAAATTCCATTTCCTGTATTTGGATTTATGTTTCAACTTGCCTCAAGAATAAAAAAAATTCTAAACACTCCAGGCCTCCTCCCCCTCCCTATATCCCTTCGTTTCTACATTTCATGGTAACAAAGTAAAAACTCAGGATGAAAATGGGAACACATCGCTGGGCTTATGTTGTTCAAATCTGCATTAGTTGCACACGTATATGTTCTTCTCTGCTTTTGTTGGTGGATTAAATTCATTTTCCAAAAAGAAGATCACTTACCGGCAGCTTGGATACTTGGTAGGAAAACTTGGCATCATCCACCTGTAGTTTGTACACGAGCCTCATCATGGCACCACTGCACAGAGTAATGCAAAAATACCACATTCACTCAATGAATACGTGCCTGCTTAATGGTGTTAAAACACCTAATAAATACCTTTTTCAAGGCATCAAGTCTGCATTAACCACACACACTTGTGGCAAAATATGCAAACAAACGTGCTCTAATAATATATGCATTGTCTTTGAAACTGGCCTACACCAGAGACAGCCTTCTTAATGGCCTTGTCTCACCAGTATTAGAACAGTACAAAAACAATGGAAGTATCAGAACACTTATAGCTCGGGTCGAGCAGTTATATCTATGGAAAGGGTAAAACCTAATCTTGTTTTTCATCATTTTGGATACTGCCAAAAAGGTCCCATAGATATGCTTAATGGTATTTGCATAATGATAATAATTATTTATTCACGGGTATCTAGTCAGCGCGATAGCCAACAAGACTTGTGTGAAAAAAGGAAGACTTTTCTGCTACATTTTACCAGGGACACATATGCACTCTTACTGGAAATATCACACCTGAAATTGTGTATGTTGGGCTACATCTGCCAGCATTCTACACTGAAGAACGCCCAAAATGTCAGACTACTACGCATCTTTTAAATTGCACGGAGTGGTAACGTGGAACGTTGTCATTTTTCTGCGTTGTGTGAGCATCTGCTGATGAACATATGTGCTGTGTAAGATGTGTTTTTCGTTACTGTTGCTTTTGTTGTATGGATACAGTACCAGGGGGAAAGGAAGTCATGGACAGCTGCATAATCTGTAGGACTCTTTTTATTTTGTATGTAGAGGAGGTTCCATCCTGGCTCGCCATCAGCTCCAAAAATGGAGGCCACCAGCCACTCGAATATTCCTTGAAGATCCTGCAAACAGACATGCCCAGTTGGTGTTTAGGCAGCCACAGAACAATCATAGGTCATATCTAAAATATTCACAACACTACAACATTCACACGACTCTCTGATGAGTACAAACTGGGTTACTTTCACTGAACCTCCAGGCAATAAAGAGAAAACTGCCATTATTAACCCGTCAACCTGAGTTTGATTCCCAGTTATGGCTAAAAGCAGTGCCGTGTGAATATCTTCACTACCCACTGCTGGATGAATGACTTCTGAAAGCCGTTGCCATCGTTCACGGCCTCGCGATGCAACAAATCATTTCAATGCACCGTCTTCATGGTGGACGTGTTGTGTTGAGCCAGGGAAGAGCCAGATAAAAATTCCAAGCAGGGCCTACCGATTCTCCAGCTAATCAGATCAAATTACACATGCAGGGATAATACAGTGCTATTGTTGGTGTGGCGGATTGCAAACCTTGCTGGTGTAATCGTCAATGGTCCTGGTGAGGTCTGCACAGCGGTAAAGAAGGGGCTTGTTGACCTGTTCTGCCTTCAGTTGAGCCTGCATGAACACACACGACGAGGGGCTTTGTGAATCAAACTCTAGAATGTTTTTTTTTCTCTCATTAACGAAGATTCAAACGAGTCAGAGAGCCTGGCACACTTAACAAAGGTGTTTACCTCCAAAGAGCCGTTTTTTGGGTTGAATTCTCCATAATCATGAGTTTTTTAAAGTAATTATCTAAAGTTTTTTTTTTTCAAATATGCCTTATTTATGGAACACATATTCTTGGTTCTTTCGGTAAAGTCACGAAGGGAAACAATAAAATTAAAAATATAAATAAAACAATAAAATTCTCACGACGTTTCGACTGCAACACAAGCAATCATCATCAGGTGTGAAAACCACAACAAGAAAATTTGAAAAAAGTGGCGTTTTTTTATTAACGTTAAAAAAAACCCGCCACTTTTTCAAATTTTCTTGTTGTGGCGGTTTCTTTTCAACGTTAATAAAACGCTACTTTTTTAAAATTTTCTTGTTGTGGTTTTCACACCTGATGATGATTGCTTATGTTTCAGTCGAAACATCGTGAGAATTGTATTGTTTTATATATTTTTATTATTTTATTGTTTCCCTTCTACGTGACTTTACCAAAAGAACCAAGAATATGAATCCCTGCAGTCACGAAAGCTTTAAATCAAAATTCATTTATGGAATGTTACAGTTATTGCATACATACGAAACTGAATGCAGCACTCTTTGGTTCTATTGGGTAAAGTCACGTAGGTAAAAAATAAAATAACAAAAATCACGACGTTTCGGCCACAACACAAGCGGCCTTCATCAGGTGAAGGGACGAGACTGTCTGGAGGACAGCGCTTAAATCTAGAATTTAATGCAGCATGATCATCCGTGAGTCAATAAGTACATGGTATTTTATGCACATTTCTCGTTTATAAAGAGAGTTGGACAAACTATTTATATCCGAATTACCATTCAAATGTGTTAACGTAACTATTCTCAAAAGCCACTTAATAACTGTACCGATAATTATCCACATCTTTTATTCAATTGTCTTGACATCTAGTCCAATATTGTCAAAAATGCCCAACTTTCATCAAGTACTCCATGCCAAGCCTGCACATACCAGTGTACTACATACACTTTATTGGCTCAAAAGAAAGCTGTCTCCGGTGTGGACCAATCAGTTTCTAAGACAATGCATTTATTTTCAGAGTATGTTTTTGTATGCATTCTGACCACAAGTATTGTGGTTAATGCAAACACGATTCCTTGTAAATGGTTTCAGTTTGGTGTTTTAACAACTTAACACCTGTTTTGTTGCAAGAAAAAAGGGGGAAACCTATTCTCATATTTTGGTACTGGCAAAGGAGGTCCCATGATGTATATGCCTATGGGCATTTTACAGCAAGAACGGTAAACACAACCGTTGTGCTGCATAAACAATGGCCAGTGCACCACATTTACACAATGCCAATGCAATGGTGTACACACCACAATACAGCATTCGTCACCACGTGACTCTCATTCAATCGTTATTACCCTTCAGGTGTAGCTTACCCAAGCTCACAGGGGCCAGACTGTGCACGGTAAATTAAATGAACACATACCAAGTTAACAGCCACAAGACTCGACGTAAAACAGTGGCTCCAACATGACGTGTCAAAAATCACAACGCAGGACCCCGACACTGCAATGTTACCACGTGCCAACAACCACGCGTGCTCCGTGGTCAAGGAAATGCACGTGCACGTGTTACGGGTCTCTGATCAATCCACTGCTGGTTGAGGACACCCAGCCCCTAACGTTGTCACGACAAAGGTCCACCGTCTAAACCATTGACGGGACTTTTGGGGCATATTGCGTGCGACCCGGTGTGGCACACTCGGGGGTGGGTGTCCAACACCACGCCCGGTCGCCTTTGTATCTCCCCAGTGCTGCTATTTACACACCGCATCCAGATACTCGTTTAAGGCCGAGCCGACCTAGGGGATGGTTCGTGACCGGTTCAAATATCAGCCAAATATGTGGTTGTTGTGAATACACGACCAACACAAACACACACACCGGTTGAACCCCTACGGGCTGTCCAAAGAGTATGATGGTTCAATAATAATAATAAATTACACTCAGGAGCAGCGCCACTATTAATCGTTGTAAGTGATATTGTTATAAACATTCTGCAGACTATAAATTATTACAGAGCCAACAGCAAAGCCCTTTGGGCCGCCCCCCCATACACACGCGGCCTCGGATAGAACTCCAGTTTCACGAGTCCCATATCCCTCAACTATCACCATCACCATCACCACACGTTATCACTGTGACGATTAACAACAACGTTATCGCCACACGATCAATACGTATAAAGCACGACGAACTGGGCGACCCCTACCCACCCACCCGAGTTGGAATCCAGGGCCCAAGTGTGGTGAAGTATGGTGAAGTGTGGTGATGTGTGGTGAAGTGTGGTGATGTGTGGTGAAGTGTGGTGAAGTATGGTCAAACAACCCACGTGAGGATGGCTGGGGGGGAGAGAGAAGAGGCAGGCGCCCCCCTCATCCAGCAGCGGATTGACAAGGGATTGAACAACAATAATAACAACATCATCGCTACCGATACAACAAGAGCGACTAGTCGAGGCCTACAGGCCGCAAAGGACCCCCGAGCGGTGTCGCTGAGCTGGGCCACAATCAGCGGCGACTCCCCCGGGCGAACATCAACCAACACAGCCGCCGCCGCAGCAGCAGCAGCAGCCGCACGTAGATGACCGTGAAACGTTCGAAACCCGGCAGGTTATAGAGCGAGAGAGAGAGCGAACGGGGATCGCGAGACGCCCCGGGGTGCGAGGCGAGGCGACGCCGTCCACCCACCAGCAGACTCGTGTAGTAAGCGGGAGCCTGTGGGCCGAAAGCCATCGCTGCTGAGGAGGAGGAGGAGGGGGATGGTGGTGGTGGTTGTTGTTGTGGTCCTTCGTTGCTGCTGCTGCTTGCTTGCTGCTGCTGTTGTCGTCGTCTGCCGCTCGCTGCTTTGCCTCTCTCGACTTTTCGCGGGCTCAGCGACGGCGGCCGCGGCCGTGGCAGTGCCGGGCCCGGGCCACGAGGGGTCGCCGGTGTCGTGCTGCTGGGCCCGATGGCGGCGCACGTGGTGAGAAGAGGCGCCAACGGTGTTCGATGGGATCACGACGACGACGAGGATGATGATAATGATGATGATAATTATGATGATAATGATGATGTTTGTCTGTTTAACACGTTGGCTATGGCCACAACAAAAATAAAACCCACGCGCGGTGGGGCCGCACCACGTCTGTGATAATGAGCTTTATAGCTCATCGGATTCCTCCAGTTATAAGTAAATATTGTGTACTCTTTGTGTGTTTTTTCGGTAAAGTCACGTAGGTAAAAAAATAAAATAAATAAAATAGATGAAAAAACTAAATTAAATCACGACGTTTCGGAGGCAACACAAGCTTCCTTCGTCAGGTGTTCATTTTTTATTTTTTACCTACGTGACTTTACCGAAAGAAAAAAAACAAAGAGTATGAATCCTTGCAGTCACGAAAGCTTCGATTCTAGAATAAAATATTCTGTATTCATGTAAATTATAATGGCTATCTATTATTGGTTGGGGTGTTCATAGATAGTGGACATACATAATGTGCATGCATAATATGCATGCCATGATGTACAAGACCCAAAAAATATGCATTCCTGCAGTCACGAAGGCTTTAAGTAAAGATTTAACCGCCTCTACGGGAAGGTTTCCACACAACTCTTAGATCTTTTAACAAACTTCAAGATAAGAAGGCTCATTTGATCGAGTCGCTCACTTTTCTGAAGAGATGCCACGACACTAAGGGAATACCGATCGCCTTTACACTGATATCTGCTGCTGTCACTTCTCCTAATGCTAAACGGTTCTTGTTTAGGGCCGGCCTAGCCCTGATCTCAGAGAGAATAAGATTGCTCCGATTTGAACTAGACAATTTAGACAAGACTCTCTTGAAATCACACTTAACATTGACAGAGAAAATGTCTTTATCTGATTGAGAACATGTCGACAACATGACAGCCTCTTTAGCTGCCTCAATGTCAGCTAAATGCAAAGATAACCTGATTTCCAAGTTCAACCTCCTTTCCAAGAGGAAGCCAGATCCACACGTTAAAAAGTTAGACGGTGACAAGATTATTATCAATTAGAGTAACAGTCCAATTTCCAATAGCCTAAAATCGGTTCTAGCTAAAGCGTTGAATTTCGCAGTCACCCCTAAACACATCCCTGTTGATGATATCATTGCCCAGGTCGACGTAGCCCTTAAGGGTTTGGGACACATTCCTGCAGACGTAGCAAGATCAGAAATCGATGCAATCCTCAAAAACGCTAAGACACCAAACAGCAACATCAGTAAGGATGAGCGCTTTGAGCTTTCTCAATTAAAAAAGAGATGACATCGTCATCCTCTCAGCCGACAAGGGCAATGCCACTGTTATCATGAAAAAAAAACACATATAGTAACAAAATTCAGGACCTACTTAATGATGGTAACTATACCAAAATCAATAGAGATCCCACCAACCGCCTTGTTACGAAAACCAGCAATATCATCACTGATTCGACATCTTTAATTGAACCAACCAAGTAGCTTTCCTTAAAACCCTCTGCTGCTAGTCCACCCAGATTTTATGGCTTACCAAAAATCCATGAAGAAGGTACACCACTTCGTCCTATTGTCTCCACCATTAACTCACCCACCTACAAACTGGTCCTATTTCTGTATAAGACTGTACTACCATTCACTGGTAAGACCACCTCAGCTGTACTTTCAGCTGTACTTAACTCAGCTCACTTGGTATCGTTAATTAAGGACATCTCATTATCTCCAGGTGATTTGCTTGTCAGTTTCGATGTAGTATCTCTGTTTACCAAAGTTCCTGTGCCTGACACCATTGCAATGATTGAAGATTTGGTCCAACAAGGACTGAATGCTGTTAGACCGGCCCTGGTTAGACACTGCCTCACCAACACTTACTTCACCTGGAATGGAACATTCTACAAACAAGTTGAAGGTACCCCAATGGGTCCGCCCTTATCTCCAGTTATAGCCAATGTTATCATGGAAAAATTTGAGACGGATGTCATCCAGGCATCCACCCTATGTCCTTCCTTGTTGAAGAGGTACGTAGATTACATGTTCGTCATCTGGCCACATGGCCTACCAGCTCTGGGCCAATTCTTCAACCACATCTATTCCATACACCCAGCCATACAATTCACCATGGAGATAGAAAAGTTACCATTCTTGGATGTTTTAATCGAAAAGAGGCCAGATGGCTCAATGGGACACTGTCTACAGGAAAGCCACCCATATGGATGCCTACCTAAACCTGACTCCCACCACCATCCATCCCATAAGAATTCCCTCATCAAAACTCTACAGCATAGAGCTCGATGTATTTCCGACCATCATCACCTAGCCAGTGAACTGGAACATGTACACCAAGCCCTCAAGATGAATGGATATTCAGACTACACAATCCGTAAAGCTATCACCCCAACCGTTGGGAAAGAACCATCTGAGGACCCAATCAAAACCATCACCTTGCCATATATAGCAGGGATCACCAAAAATATTTCCAAAATCAAGATCCAGGTTCGATTCAACACAGTACATAAAATTCGTGATCTAATCCCATCTGTGAAGGATGTGATCCCTGACATGCAATACCCCGGCGTCTACAAACTAAGCTGTGTCTGCAGCAGTAGTTACATTGGGGAAACTAAACGACATGTCTCGGACCGTGTTCGTGAACATAAGGCAGATCTGAAACACGATAGGACCAATACCTCAGCCATGGCTGATCATTGTTTTAATGCTGTGGGCACATACGAAATAGATTTTTCCAAGACGAAGGTACTCTGCAAACCCACTGGCTATCAGAAAAGATTCGTTCATGAAGCCATCCAGATATATAAACACAGACACAATTTCAACCGAGATGGGTAAAAACTGAGCAATCATTGGAAGGACGTTATTAACCAGTTTAAGTCATAATGGGCTGTGATGTTCCCAGCCTACCACCTTCCAATGTTAGTTGTTATTTTCGGCTCTCTGATTTTTTCTTTCTATCTACGTGACTTTACCGAAAGACCCAAAGAATATTTGTTCATACTTTGATACTGGCAAATATATTTTAATAAACAGCAGTGTAATTTCGGGGATAGGTTTCACAATCTGTATAATTTTACGTAATAGTGAGTGGCAGCGGTTTAACGAAAGCAAACTATATTTATTCGAATGGTTACGTTGTTGTAGCCTTTTTGATGTGGTTTGTGGCCACCTCGCCTTTAGTCCCAAGCAATTTCAGGATGGGGATTTTAGAATTTCCCTTCTGGTGTGCATTTTAACTCTATATTTGACTGGCTCCAAGACAAGGCAAGAAAACACATTGGTTAGCATATTCTTGGTTCTTTCGGGAAAGTCACGTAGAAGGGAAACAATAAAATAATACAAATAAAAATATAAAACAATAAAATTCTCACGACGTTTCGACTGCAACACAAGCAATCATCATCAGGTGTGAAAACCACAGCAAGAATTTTTTTTTTAAAAAAAGTGGCGGTTTTTACGTTAAAAAAACCGCCACATCGTCACAAATGTCTGATCCCCCCCCCCCCAGGTGCGTGACGTCATTTATGGACGGCCCCTTACTACAAACATATAAAACACATTTATTATATAGTCTGTATATTTAAGCGAATGAAAACAAATAAAACACAGAAGGAACCATAACAGAGCTGAAGCTGTCATAAATATTTAACTGCAATAATTCCTAAATTTATTGATAAACATACGTGTGCAAATAAATTCTGGACGAAGGAATCCATCACTATCAGCATCTCTTATGATCCCGCAATGCAACAAATTACGAGCTGATCTCGTTGCTCCACGAGCTGATCTCATTGCTCCATCTCCACGGTGGACGACCTCTCAGACATGTTTCATTCCTCGGCTGCCACTGTCATTATTCTTGATCATCGGCCGATCGCCGTCATCCCTTATTGCGAAGTCGCCTGCCCAAGCCCCTTTCCTTTTCATAATTATGTCTTTAACCTGCCTATTTTCTCGAATTCATGTTTTCCTCTTTCGGTCTCTCAGTGGAATTCAAGCAAGCATTTCCCCATGCATCTTTGTGCAAAATCGGTTTCTGTTCTATATATATTTTTTGGAAACAATAATGTTTATTAACCATATGCCGTACTAAGGAGCTGGCTTGGCAGATGTCCAACAATAAGCTGGATTAAGGTGCCAGCATCAACAATGTCTGAATGTGCCCATGTGTGTTTTGGCTCATGCAAGAGGGAAAGAGAGAATACATTTATTGAGCTGTCACTGCTGTTCCTGTTGTGGAGAATACACTGTAATGAGAAACAAGGGTGATTCAGGATAGTAGAGATGTTTATGCTTATTGCATGTGCAGTAGATATTTAGCAAATGTATACATTCTCGCAAACCATTGTCAAACATCATATATAGCAATAATTCCCTAGCTGAATGATAAACCCCGCAGGGATCAGTATTATCAGCCCTACTGTTCAACTTTGACATTAAGCCACTGGGAAATCTGATCAGAGCACATGGTCTTTATTTTCACCAGATTCGGGACAAGCAGGACTTTACTAGATTGTCCGCTTGTCTGTCAGATATTGGCAGTTGGATGTCTGACAACTGACTGAAACTCAATTCCGACAAAACTGAGTATTTGCTGGTTGAGCAGAAGTTTAAACTTGTTGACATGAGGCTCATGGCAGCGTCTTTAACTGTTATGGCACCCCGAATGGTAAACAGAACTAAGAGTCTTGGCTAAGTGCTGGATAATTCACTATTGTTTCTGCCCTAAATAAAACAAGTACTAAAAACCTGTGTTATTCATTTACGAACTATCAAAACGATCATACCATCCCTCTCTGACAGAGATCGTGTTACGGAGCTGAATGCCCTTATAATATCTCGACTATGGCAATGCCGTGTACGTGGACCTTCCACCGTGTCGAGCTGGACAACTCCAGGGCATTCAGAACGCCTCTGTGCGACTATTGACTGGTCGTTCTCACCAGGACCCATCTTCCAAACTGCACTGGATCTACCACACCGGCTTCCAATTGAGCTCCGTGGTGCACGATTAAAATGACAGTACTGTGCTCAATTCACGAATCACTCTTTCAGCAATCGCCTCAATATTTGACCGATAAACTGCAGCTCTAAAATCTTTCTAGGAGTTCGAGGTTCTCACGTATGACCAACACGTTTCGGAGCTCAGCATTGTTCTGTAGTTGCCCCTCAGATTTGGAACGCTCTGTCTGAGAACTGCGCCTGACCGCTGAGATTCTCCCGTTTAAAAAAAAAATGTACTTATTTCTTACATGTTAAATTAGCTAGAGATATTTTGGCCCTCTGAAGCCCCTTTTGTTGCGTCTGCTGCACCTTATAAAAACGTTGATAACAATAACGTCGTTTCTCTACTCCAGACCATACAATTGGTATGGTGTTCGGTGACTACCAACTATCAATTGCATGCAGTGTATAAATGTGCAGGCATTTTTTGCAATCCACTGTTGGATGAGGTGCTCACCATGTGTTGTGCACGCTGTTTTTTTTTTTAAACATACTTTAAGACTCTGCTCGGTGCGAATTGTTGAAGTTGGGGAGTTAGGTTGTGGGTGCATACAAGTACAGTACAATAATGAGTTTCGCGGCAGTGCCCTCTGTTGCCCACCACATTGCCTCACAGCATATAACACCTGTTATGCACGGTGGTCCCCCCATCCAAGCACTATTCAGGTTCAACTTTGCTTAGCTACCGAGATATGACAAAATCGGATGCATTTCCGGGTGATTGAGTCATCGGATCATGCATTGGTACATTAAAGTTATGGAAATCATGACAAGCGTGGACTATGGGGGTGTCTTCTCGGGGACAGGAGTTGAGAGACACTGATATGGCTCACCAAGGGGCTGTCCATAAATGACGTCACGCGATTTTGGACGATTTTTGACCCCCCCCCTTCGTCACACGGCGTCACAAAAAGTCAGACACCCCCTCAAATATGACGTCACAAAGCTCTGCCCCCCCCCCCCCCAATAAAACATGCTTCAAATCGCTTTAAACTATTGTCATTGTAGTGCGTATTTAATGTGCCGTTGTACTCTGATGTTGTAGGAGAAAACTTTTATTAAAAAGTCTATTGAATTACGTAGAACGTGTTGTCTATGTTTATTTAAAGTTGCGCATTTTGATGTGACGTCACATTTCTCACCCCCACCCCCCTCGTCACACGTCGTCACAAATATCTGACCCCCCCCCCCAGCTGCGTGACGTCATTTATGGACGGCCCCCAAACTATATTATGTGTTGGCAGATAAGTACTGCTCTTTCCTGCCTATGTGGCTTTCAACCAACACTTGGTTCTCAGTGTCTCAAACTGTTGTCACAGAGTGACCATTGCTGCATGGGAACTTGGCCAGAACAGACTGTACCTTACGTATCCAGCTTGCATCTTATGACATTATACGTTATTTTCTTGTTTATTGTGTCTTAAACCCAGCTGACTCACTTAACTCCTATTTACATTTCCTGTAATGTTATAAATAACAATTATTCATCCATTTCCCTTGAAATGATTAGCTGATGGACTAAATTGTCAAAGTGCAGTAATTACTTTGTTTATTTTATTGGAGACACACTGCCCTGTTTGGCATTCCACATCACAATTGTTTTTTTTCATATCATTCATGCTGCCAGTTCTGCACGGAAGAGGTAATTGGCCAATCCCAACCCCTGACATTTAAAATCACGGGTTTAATCGTGCTATGCGTATTGGTGAATCTTGCCAGCTACTAAAAAGTGGAAAAAAATCACCAAACAAACTCTATAAAGTCACTAGATCTTCAAACATAGATTTTATACAGTCATCAACAATATAAATATTACACAATTTACCAAGAGTTAAACATAGTTAACTGATACAAATCTGCCTAACATCCTCTCTCCAAATGTATTGCCAGTTGGGACGACAAAATATCAAAAAGATAGAAAATCTAGCAGCAAAATAATTGAGTGGTAGCATCTGAGGATGGCTTCAGGGCCTGGTATCTGCTTGGAGTGAATACTGAGCAGGATAATTACGAAAAACACGGATATACATTCCTGCTGCTGTGCATCAACTTGCCATGGAATGTGTTTATGTGGGGAGTGGTCGTGTAGCGGTTCGGCGAACCGAGTTGAATTCATGCCCACGGCCAACAGCGGTGGCGATTATCTGAACTGGTCCTGGGCCTCCCCTAGGTCGACACAGCCTAAAATGAGTACCTGGTGCGATATGTAAACATCGCCACTGGGGAGACAAAGGCGGCAGGGCGTGATGCTGGTCACCCATCCCCTCGTGTGCCGTTCCGGCCTTCATTGGTGCTTGCAAACAGCACTTCCACCAACAGTCTGCTAAGGCTACACGGAATATTCCTAAAACAATATTAGTCATTGTGTTTTGCTGCCCTAACAGGAAAGAAGTACATATAATAAGCGGGGTTGTTCTTCATAGCAGAGACAGAGAGAGATGGAGCTTCTGCTATCATATACTGCAGACCGTTGCCAAACTCAGTTTTGTCTCAGTTACATCTTCACATCAAATCATTTCCGTCGAGATTGGAGTCTGCATTTTTAATCGTTTCAAGATTGCGTTTTGAACGACGACGGAAAGTTCGTTTTACAATTCTTGGCCCAGTAACACAGAATATTTCTAACGGAGGTCTCAAGTTTAAATTAGCATTTCTGTTTTTCCATATTCTTGAGTGCTTCCTTTTCAAAGCAATTAGCTTAACCTTCCGTTGGATCCCATTAAAAGCATCCGCAAGTCTTGTTTTCTTTTTGCCTTTGAGTAATTGTCTCACTTAATGCAATATAACAGTCCTGCAAATGTCTTCGTCTTAAAAAAAAAAACAGGCAATGTGCGCTTATATATATTTTTTTCACAACGTGACGTCGTAATAATTAGGTTGCTTCACAGGACAAAAACATGCTCCGTCTCCGTTTGTCGCATTTGATAAATAACAATTATAAGAGTCAACTGCGGGGAAGTAAAGTGAGTAAGTCTGAACATTTGTTGTCACGCACTCTTATGAATCCAGTCCATCACGAATGGTCGGCGTTGATGACACATACACATCTCTGTGGGACCCCCCCCCCCCTCGTCACACGGCGTCACAAAAAGTCAGACCCCCCTCAAACATGACGTCACAAAGCTCTGCCCCCCCCCCCCAAAAAATTAAACATGCTTCAAATCGCTTTAAACTATTGTCATTGTAGTGCGTATTTAATGTGGCGCTGCACTCTGATGATGTTGGAGAAAACATTTATTAAAAAGTCTATTTAATTAAGTAGAACGTTTTGATTTAAAGCTTTCGTGACTGCAGGGATTCATATTCTTGGTTCTTTCGGTAAAGTCACGTAGAAGGGAAACAATAAAATTGTATTGTTTTTTATTATTTCCCTTCTACGTGACTTTACTGAAAGAACCAAGAATATAAGTAGAACGTGTTGTCTATATTTATTTAAAGTTGCGCATATTGATGTGACGTCAAATTTCTCACCCCCCCCCTCCACGTCACACATCGTCACAAATGTCTGACCCCCCCCCCCCACCCCGCTAGGTGCGTGACGTCATTTATGGACGGCCCCTAACATTGATCTCTCACCCACCGACTTCTCGATTCACTCATTACTCCATTCACCCTTGCACTCATCCATCATCACACCCATTCACTCACGCGTCCACCTACCCATCAATGCATCCGTGTACAGGATGTATTCATACGCTGATCAAGTAATCATCTACCCAACCACGCATCCCATTCATAATTCCACCGGCGATCCGACCCCTCCTGCGCTTATACTCTATAAAAGACGCCCCCACTTGGCCACACACACTGAGCGCACTCCTCTGCTGTGGTGCCTGTTAAATCACTTCCCCTTCGCCCCAAGATTCTCCCAACCTCCTACTCCTTCCTCATCGCTTCTCCCAACTCTCCAGAACCACCAGCGGCGTTCAGCTTTGCAGCACTTCGGGGGTGGGGGGTTAGACGCTGAGAGAGCTTGACGCATCATGCAGAAGTAGTCGGGGGAGTAGATAGGCGACTGACCGACTGACGGATGACCCAGCAAGCCGGAGCCATCCAACTCCAGCGGACGTTCATCTTTTCGCACGACTGCGGCGCTGGGCGCTGCGAGCTTACGGGCAGCAGGGGGTTATAGAGCACCGGCAGAAGCAGTGGGCAAACACGGCAAAGCAGGTCCGGTAGCCAGTTTGGGGACGAACCGACTGACTGACTACCCGACGGTTTTCCCTACCACCCAAATGAAATGCCTCCTCCTCCGCACGGAGACTCCGGGAGGCGGGCGAGGCGAGGGGGTCTCTGCCGGCGAGGGTCGCGGTGCTGGGCGTGCGGCCTCGTGGTGGCCGTCGCGAGCCTCGTGGTCCTCACGCTGCTGCTCGTGTTAGCGGCGCTGCTGCAGCCGGGCCATCGACGGGGCCCCGAGGATCCGGAAAAATGCGACAGCGTCCACAGCGAATGGCCCAGCTACCAACGCGGGGCCGTCGCTTCGGACGCGACGCGATGCTCCATCGTGGGCAGGTCAGCGAGTGGTCGGTCACTTTGGGCCATCCCGTACTCGCACGTTTGTTTGTCCGGTGCGCGTCTTTGTCGCTGCGAGAGTGTTGTATTTTTGTTGTTGTCCGTTGTCAGCGTGCCCGTGTCTTTTGTCTGCTTGTTGCATGTCTGTTGTCCGTCTCTGTCAATGCGTGCGTTTTTGTTGTCGCCATGGTCTCTCTGTGTGTACGTACGTACGTGTGCTTTGTCCGCATTTGTCTCGATGTGCCATGTGTCTTTTGTCTGTAGCCGAGTCCGTGTCTTTCGTCTTTCTTTGTCTGCGTGGCTTTTATTTGGCTCCGTCTCTTTTTTTTATTGTGTATCTTTGTTTGTTCGTGCTCATGCATGGGGGAAGCGGTGGCGTTGTGTGGTTAGCGCACGTATTCAAAATCAAAAGTTAAAATGATTTTTTGCCCAAGTGTTTTGAGGCGGTGCTTATCTAAAGCCCTCATCCAGTGGTGGAAATTTCTAATTCCTATGGCGGGGATGTTTGTATCAATAGGCCAATTACTCGCTTGACTTACCCTAAAAAGTGCTACTCATTTCAACGAATCCGGAGGGTTGATGAGTCAGAATTGACAATTGTGTATTTTTTTCATAATACGAAACATCAAAGTGTGGTCAGTTGCGTCTGTGGCTTACAGTGATGGCACTTTCATCTATAACCAGAGGCAGCAGTGATTTATTTGTGGGACAAGTCCATTGAGGCTTGAAAGTATAAAAAAAGGATTTTGCATGAAATGTAGACATGTCAAATTTAGTGGCCCTTTTGTGTTTTCGCGCGAATGTCTCAGGAATGTTCAGATAAGATACGTTCACTTATCTTGCTTCCTTTCACCACATAGCATGAACAGTCGTCGTGGAAAATGTTACTAACGAGTACATACCGCCTCTTTCAACATAAACAAAACACATAAAAAAAATATAAGTAAATATTGCTCCACTCAATCCATCGGATTCACGGCCTTCGGAGGGGAGTGCATCTTACTTAGGCAGTGTTGGCGCAATACAAGCAAACACTGGGACCGTTTTTCGACATTCAGTCTTTCTTCGGCAGAGTCAGGCTTGCCTGAACCAATGCTGGTTAGCTGCCCGGTGTTTTCCATAATAAAGGGGTTTTTTGGGGGTTAGATCGCGTAAATATATAAATGTGTCGTTAAAACCCACCACAACCCAACACAGCCAACTAGTAAGGGTTGTCACGTAAACAGAACGTGGCCAATTCGCCAAGTCACAACATTTGCAATTTGAGTACAACGTTTCGCCAGTAATTACAACGAGCTACAACTAACTAACTAACACCGAAAGAACCAAGAATATGAATTTGTGCAGTCACAAAAGTTTTAAGTCAAAATTTAATGACGCAACTCTTTGCTCCATGTGCGGATGAGTCACGGTGCCAGTCTTCTCTTGACCAAGAACGCCTTTAATAAAGATTAGTTTGAAACAGCTGGGCTTCATCAAATCACCATTTCCTGAAAGAAAAACAATCTCAATAACGCCAGTGGCCTTTTAGGGAGGAGTATGACCTGCTTGCCAATGGCCTTCGTAGATATCTCACAGATACCGGAGTTAATAATAATTATAGGGAAAACAATGGTGATTATTCCAAAAACACCTACAGTGAGGGAAAAAAGTATTTGATCCCCTGCTGATTTTGTACCTTTGCCCACTGACGAAGAAATGATCAGTCTATAATTTTAATGGTAGGTTTATTTAAACAGTGAGAGACAGAATAACAACAACAAAAATCCAGAAAAACGCATGTCAAAAATGTTATGAATTTATTTGCATTTTAATGAGGGAAATAAGTATTTGGCCCCTCTGTAAAATATGACTTAGTACTTGGTGGCAAAACCCTTGTTGGCAATCACAGAGGTCAGATGTTTCTTGTAGTTGGCCACCAGGTTTGCACACATCTCAGGAGGGATTTTGTCCCACTCCTCTTTGCAGATCTTCTCCAAGTCATTAAGGCTTCGAGGCTGACGTTTGGCAACTCGAACCTTCAGCTCCCTCCAAAGATTTTCTATGGGATTAAGGTCTGGAGACTGGCTAGGCCACTCCAGGACCTTAATGTGCTTCTTCTTGAGCCACTCCTTTGTTGCCTTGGCCGTGTGTTTTGGGTCATTGTCATGCTGGAATACCCATCCACGACCCATTTTCAATATCCTGGCCGAGGGAAGGAGGTTCTCATCCAAGATTTGATGGTACATGGCCCCGTCCATCGTCCCTTTGATGCGGTGAAGTTGTCCTGTCCCCTTAGCAGAAAAACACCCCCAAAGCTTAATGTTTCCACCTCCATGTTTGACGGTGAGGATGGTGTTCTTGGTGTCATAAGCAGCATTCCTTCTCCTCCAAACACGGCGAGTTGAGTTGATGCCAAAGAGCTCCATTTTGGTCTCATCTGACCACAACACTTTCACCCAGTTGTCCTCTGAATCATTCAGATGTTCATTGGCAAACTTCAGACGGGCATGTATATGTGCTTTCTTGAGCAGGGGGACCTTGCGGGCACTGCAGGATTTCAGTCCTTCATGGCGTAGTGTGTTACCAATTGTTTTCTTGGTGACTATGGTCCCAGCTGCCTTGAGATCATTGACAAGATCCTCCCGTGTAGTTCTGGGCTGATTCCTCACCGTTCTCATGATCATTGCAACTCCACGAGGTGAGATCTTGCATGGAGCCCCAGGCCGAGGGAGATTGACAGTTCTTTTGTGTTTCTTCCATTTGTAAATAATCGCACCAAATTTTGTCACCTTCTCACCAAGCTGCTTGGCAATGGTCTTGTAGCCCATTCCAGCCTTGTGTAGGTCTACAATCTTGTCCCTGACATCCTTGGAGAGCTCTTTGGTCTTGGCCATGGTGGAGAGTTTGAAATCTGATTGATTGATTGCTTCTGTGGACAGGTGTCTTTTATACAGGTAACAAGCTGAGATTAGGAGCACTCCCTTTAAGAGTGTGCTCCTAATCTCAGCTCGTTACCTGTATAAAAGACACCTGGGAGCCAGAAATCTTTCTGATTGAGATGGGGTCAAATACTTACGTCCCTCATTAAAATGCAAATCAATTTATAAACATTTTACATGGGTTTTTCTGGATTTTGTTGTTGTTATTCTGTCTCTCACTGTTCAAATAAACCTACCATTAAAATTATAGACTGATAATTTCTTCGTCAGTGGGCAAACGTACAAAATCAGCAGGGGATCAAATACTTTTTTCCCTTATTGTACGTGTCTCCCATCGATCCGAATGCTCTTATTGTATAATATTGTAAACACTGTCCTCTGTAAGATATGGAGCCATCACTTTCACAATATGCAATCGCCTGTTGAGAAGTAAGAATCTCATTAAAAATGTGTACAGTAACTATACATGCATCAGTCTGTATACTGTGGAATGCTTGGATTATCTGGTTGATCCTGTGTAGACAGAGACGACACAGCACCTCGATGTGCAGTATTTGAATTATGTCGTGTGTGCCCTGGATAGCGCTTGAATGGGTGACCGCAGTGCACGGTTACCCATCTAAGCAAGCGAAGTGGCAACACCCAGTGTTGGTACTGCGCTTCTGTGCTCCCGCGTCTCTCCTTGCTGCATTTACACCGACCCATCGCTGATCAGCATGGCGAATTATGCTTCACATGATTCCTGCAACCCTCACAGCTTTGGGGAGGCTCGCATCCAGCAGTGGAATGACAAATGGCTGTACACGTACAACACCTCCAACGCACCCTTGCCTTGGCAGCATCACTCATGTGGACATCTGTGAAAAAGAGCTTCTTAGCTCATCAGATTCCTCGAGTATGAATATTCTGATCCTGATGTGCGCTATACTCAGCAACATGAGTTTGACCAAACCGAGTCCCAATTTTCTGGCTCTGTGGCAGTATCAATCACGAATAATAATAATAGTCATTTATAAGACGCAATTCATCCAATAATCTCAGTGCGCCATGCACGAAGAAAGGAAATATAAATAATGTCAATGTCCAGAGTCCACTGGCTCCCACAACGGCGTCCGATTGACCAAGGGTAGCCTGCGTATTTATGCAGCTGAAGACGATTAATCAAATCGCATGGGGGAGGAGGACAGGAGGGGGCCAGGGTGCAGCGGTCGTTCGAGGTCGACTGAGAAGTGCCACACTGTGATGCTATTCCCAGACTCGTGGAGACACCCCGTTTGGCATGTTTCACACGCCGACCAGCGATAGTGCACAGCTACGTTTCTCCACGGTTCACGTCAAGCCAGCTGATTGAACGGCTCGTGTGTGGCGTACAAAGAGTAAGCGACAATATGAATAATGTACAGGCCCTTTGTCACTCCACTGCTCGCTTGGATGGAGCCCTCCGCGTGCCGGGTCCGTCGTTGGGGTGGTTTGACCCAACCTAACAATGCGGATTGATGAAGGGGCATGGGGAGGAGGAGGGTGGACAGGACCCGTTCAGATATCACTCGCCACGATTGTTAGCCGTGGCCCGGAATAGATCGCAGGTCAGTCGTCAGGTTCATAGCGGAGTGCGTGAACCAGGAGCGTAATTAGCGTCGTAGTGGGGGGTACCTTGCACCCCCCTGGTGGCCAAAGGTACGAGTTGGGGCCCCCTTCCGACAAACACCATGAGATATTGTTGAGTTTTCAACAACTGTGTAAAGGAACAAACACTTATCTAAAACGCGGTTTACATTTATTTTAATGAACATACGTTCATTTGCGTCCCACGTTTTATTTTATTTTTATTGAATTGGAGCAGCAACGTTTGGCTTGTGCAAATTGCGCATCGCACGTTTCGATGTTGTTGTCATAGTGTAACCGGGTAGACGAGCTGAACCTTTCCGCCGCGTTGGGGCGAATGGGGGGATGGTCGTGAGCGTAACGATTTGATTCGGCAAGAGGAGCCGCGGTATATAATCGTCTACGTTCGACCGTGCAAAACAAAACCGACACGATTTCCGTACCCCCTGTGCTGATGTCGTTACGCCACTGACACAACTCACTGCATCGCTGCTTCCCCTACAAAGAAAGATAACTTGTCCGAATTTTTTCCTGACATGTTTGACGATAGATATTTTAAAGTTATATACAGTGAGCATAAGTATTATGCCAGGCATGCAAACCTGCATAGATTAACATTTATTCTTATGTTCACGATACGTGCATCGTTCCATGTACTTGGGAATCGATTTAGTTTTTGGCAAATATTGTGTAAACGTACATGCCCAAGTTTGTCTTCAATGGATTTATAGAGACTTTCCATAAAGCGTCTAAAAACATTTAGAAACATGCGTTTAGAGTATTTGGCTGCTATAATTTTCCACGTGATAAGCCACTTCGTTGAGCTATCATTTGTGGCCAGGCCGCTTCTGAAAAAGAGCTATATAGCTCAGTGGGCGTTACCTGGTAAAATAAAAAAAATGTTAATTGTTTAGCAGTTTTAAAGTGTACCAAGATTGTTATCAACCCCCATGCGACACAGCTTGCCTCGACATTCCGATAACACAGTGTTCTTCACTAATTTTCGGAGGGGGGGGGGGTCACTTTCAGCGATACGACATCGATGTGACAGCCGCCACATATTTGAAACCATCGGGGGCCACACGTCAGGGGGGCGCACTAAAGGCCACCAGGGGCCACCAGTGAGGGACACTGCTTAGACACGGTTCAAAAATATCTTCAGATACTTCAAAGCTGTGGGTGATCATTAGTATAACAGTGAAGTTCTTTTTTTTTTACTTGGGCATGGTATAGCAGCAAATTAAGACTGCAGTTCAGATGGAAATGATTTGCCCATTTTTTTTGGTAAGGGAGAAATGCTCGTAATAAAATTTTTTTATGATCACAACCTGACCCTCTTTAGCCACACATGTACGCGTCGCATGCACCATTCAGCTTTGCGCATATGGGAAACCATTTACTTGGTAAACAAGCCGCATTTTACTACAGCTGTAGACAATTACCTTTAAAATGACACCGGACATGTACGGTCAGAATTACGTTGCAATTATTACCGTGCGGTTGCCTCATTTGCCTAATTTGCCTAATTTGTGGAACTGAACAAATTATTTGATGACACTGCGTTAGCAGTGGTACACAAGCACAACGAACAAAAAAACACTCACAAAAATGAATTTTTTGTTCATTTGCAGAATTTACGAAAACGAAATATGGCCATTTACGTGGTTAGCACGCTGGACTTGCAATCCCGAGATCGCCAGTTCGATTCGATCTCCCGGCACGGCCTTTGAAACAATGGGGCAAGTTTCTTAAATCCTACTGCCTCTGTCCACCCATCAGTATAAATGGGTCCATTCTAGACGATTGGCAGGTCGTGTGGTGGGCTAATTTGTAAACACTCTCATTTCCAACAAGACGTCCGGTCAGCGTGGAGGAGTAGACCAAATACCCTCCAGAGGGGCTCTCTATAGGGGCTTCCCTTCCATCAGCAGTGCCACGAGTAGAACAGTTGCAGGGCTCCACCCTTTACCTCTTACCAACGAGTCTAAAATAATACCAACAGCCCTAATCGCGACAAATCACGGAATCGCCAGGACGCTCAAACCGTTACCGGGCCTAATGATTTTGTTTCCTGCACAGGGACGTTCTGAAGGTAGGAGGCTCTGCGGTGGATGCATCCATAGCTACCCTGTTCTGCACCTCGCTGATGAACCCACACAGCATGGGTCTGGGAGGGGGCGTCATTTTCACCATTTACAATCCGGCCGGAGGTGAGTGTGCACATGCGAGCGAGCTGCACGACCATACACATTACTATACGTTGGCATATATATGTCCATTTATCATCAAACTCCTCTGTGCTGTTATGTCTTACTTTGTATTTCCATCGTGAGGCATAGAAGCAATTGACCGCCCATCAAGCGAAGCCTCCTTCCCTTGTGTTCATCCCAGCGTCTTGAGATGCGGTCGCATTCAGATGCGGTACAAATTAAAATCATCGTTGTTCTGTGTCATGTGGTGCCAGCATCATTGGTTGTGTCCAAGACGAGTTGGCGGGGGAGGGGAATGGGGTAGGAAGTGGCACACTTTGGGGGGGGGGGGGGGGGAGAACAATCGACTGTAGCCTCCCCACTAAAAGCACTTGGGCACAGGAAGTTAGAAGCCGCTAGTCTTAATTTTAACAGTAAAAAAGTATGCATTACTATTTAAAAAAAAATCCACTCCCCCCCCAGCTGCCCCACCCCCCAACCCCCACCTCTCTCTCCCCCCAGCTGCCCCACCCCCCCAACCCCCCCCCACCTCTCTCTCCCCCCAGCTCTCCCGTCGCCGGTAAACAAAGTGCGCCCACTCCAAACATTGTCGTTTCATTGTACAAACAATTTCATTCATTTAAAACGTGATAACATGTGCAATTTTAGTGTGAGTGGTTTATTCAGCAGTGCTTTAGTCAAAGGTAAGTGTTGCATAGTGGATAGTCCTACCATGAAAACATTAAACGGGTTACGACATGTCACACGTGTAAAATATTTTTGGGATAGCCCGCACCTCCATATACCCGGCAGGGTCTTGTTTTGTTTGTAAAAAGTGGTATACCCCGCGGGTTATATGCGGGAAAATACGGTATGTCCATGTCCTCGTGTGTGTACAATGTCACTAACACTATCCACATTCATGCTCAGCCTCTATTAAACAACTCATTTTGAAACGGCGACCAGGTGCTGGGTGATATTCGTGTTTTTGAGTGAGGTATAGAACGCAACCACCTACACGCTGTGCCATCATGAAAACTGACTCGTTGTGCATGACCTCATGTCAGCGTCATTTGTCGAACTTTTGTTTTCCTCTCCTGCAGGGGAAACGGAAGTGATTATGGCGAGGGAGAGGGCTCCGAGGAATCTACCGCCATCCATCAACGACACACTTTGCAAGCGAAATAGTAATGCCAGTTTTGTTGTCCTAACGTTATATATCTTCCACCGTTGTGTTGGGAGGGGGGGGGCGTTTTGAAGGGTTTGTGGGGGGGAGGGGTAGGCAAGGGGGAAAGATGGTGACATGGTCCAGCGGTAGAGCGCTCGCCGCTCGTTGCGGAGGTTCGCGGTTTAAATCCAGCGGCCACCCTGAATCGGAATCTTTATTTACACTGGAGGAATCCGTTGAGCTATGAAGCTCTTTTTGACAGATTCCCAGCAAAATACGGCAGGTGTAATAACCTTAAGAATACGCGCTGTCTGCTTCGTGGCGGACGTTAAAGATCTCGCGACGTCAGTCGCAAGAATTGGCCGTTGTATGCCGGCATCGTTGTCCAACTTTGGAAATTGACGCGCAAAACTACTTCATTGGAATCTGCATAGCAATCACCCCCCCCCCCCCCCCCCCCCCGACTAAAAACTTCTTGGCAGGATCCTCCTGAATAAGGGTCGTGAGACTCAGTGAGGCTTCTCTGGGTAAACAATGAGAAACAAACAAAATAAATGCTCATAAATGTTGTGGATTCACTCTTCAACACACCGGTGGGCTAAAGTAGTGAACTATTTGTCTTTTGTCAACGTGACACTTTTTTGCTGATTGGCCGTGTCGGGTGGTGGAGGGTTACGACACATTTATAAATAACGCGATCTAACCCAAAAACCTTCATTATGAATAACATTGGTCGCCTCTGATGACTGCACCTGAATGAGTTAAATGATGACGTCACCCTGCTGCTCTATTTAAGACCGGGAGCAAGTGGAGAGGGCTTTACCATTCTGGCGAATTGCCCGATGATGCTGGATGTAATTACCAGCGAAACGTTGTACTCAAACTGTAAATGTTGTGGATTAACTCTTTAACACACCGGTGGGCTAAAGTAGTGAACTATTTGTCTTTTGTCAACGTGACACTTTTTTTTGTTAAACCAAAACAAATGCTACAATGGCATTTTCACGTCACATTTTGTTCCTGGTATTGAGCGGTCCGAGAACATTGTTTTACGCAGCGTGCAACGTGCAGTACACATGTGGATTCATATGGCCATTTAGATGTGACCGCATTTCAAGACGCTGTACAGAAACAGTGGGCATATTATTTTGCAGACAGAGAATTAGTCGGTGGTCATCGTCCTCGTCGTTAGTCCCTCGGGGTTCAAGGATGACGTCCATCAGGTTTAGTGCGTGGCTCTTGAAGTTGGCTGAGGAGTCCAATTCTAGAACCGCAGATCTTTGAGCATTGGGTGCACGTGACCTCAGATGGAAGTGGCGTAGCGAGCGGCGCCACCATAGGCGGTCCTCCCAGTCTTGAAGGGTGATTTTTTTCCGCGCTTCAGGGAGGACTTGAGGGTATCCTGAAACCGCTTCCTTTGTCCTGCCCTCATTCGCCGCCCTTTTGAGAGCTGGGAGAAAAGGATCTGGCTAGGGAAGGTGGTTCTCAGTGGCCGGTCCATCGGAATTGTTCTTTTAGTGGCATCGCTTCAATGCTGGTGGTGTCAGCTTGGAGGAGGACACTCGCATTGGTGCAGCGATCTTCCCACTGGATCCCCTGGATTTGGCGGAGGCAGCGCTGATGGAAGCGCTCGAGCGCAGTGACATGGCGCTGGTTAGTTGTCCACGTTTCGCTGCAGTAGAGGAGCATTGGGACAACAACGGTCCGGTAAACAGTCATAGGTAGATGACAATAGGAAGATCCTGAGCCTGGACTAGAACAGAGGCAAGGAGTGAACAGCACAGATTGCTGGGGCTCCGGAGTTCCAGAAAAAAATGGGTGACAGCAGAGGGGAATGAGCGAAGTCCCACTGAGTTCGGGTTGACTGTAGGCTTCGACAGAAAGCCTTGGTTGCTGTGTGGAGGAGAGTTGAGTGAAACGAGAGAGGAGAGGTAAGGCGTCAGCGAGGTGGTGAGAGTGATCTTGAAATTGATCTGGGTGACAGCGTTTGAAATAATAATGGGGAAGAACACACGAGGAGTGAAACTAAATGTACCACATTTGTTTTGGTTATTAACACAGAGGAATCGCAACATCTGTATTTATTTATCAAGCAATATGTTCCCACTTTGTGGGAAAGTCAACAGTGATGGTCCTATGGATAGACTCACAACAGGAACGTGGAATTTACACGATCGGCTCAGGACTGTAAACAGGAGTTGAGCGCCACCTCAATTGTCATCGAAACAGGAAATCCCTTTGACTTATCTTAATCCTTTGTAGGCAACGCTCATAGTAAATGTCAAATATGTATATACGTCACTCGGACATCAAGGGGGCTTTAGGATTTCAAACATATGTTTAAAAAAAATTGCTGTGTGGAATAAGTCACATGCCACGGCTTTCTCCTGACAATGCTGTGTTTGTGTTGCCGATCGATGTCTTTGGGCAGACTTTGAGCCAAACATTTCCCACTCAACCAAAAACACATTCCTGCGAAGGGAGCTGGTAGGAACGTTGGGTTGCTGGCCAGGGTCAACGGCGGCGTGGTGTATTCCGCAAATATGCTGGACTGTGAGGGCAGGCACAAGTTAGCGTGAGTAGGTTAAACGTTGAGTTTTATAAGGGCACCACGGGGTGACCAGCCCCTCCCCACCCAGCCCCACCCCTCCCACCCCCCAACCCCTCCCACCGCCCAACCAGCCCCACCCTCCCCACCCCCCACCCAGCCCCACCCTCCCCACCCAGCCCCTCCCCACCCTCCCCACCCTCCCCACCCTCCCCAGCCCCTCCCCACCCTCCCCTCCCCACCCAGCCCCTCCCCTCTCCACCCAGCCCCACCCCTCCCATTTTATCCGGGTGTCCGGATACACGTGGACAGACATCCACAGACATACACAATTAATCCCCTGCCTCCTGTGAACCAGTATTAATCCCGGTTGGACTTCCAGTCCACTACGTTTCCTACCAGTAATGCCCAATAGGAGCGCATTTGTTATATATCCGGGTGTCCGGATACACGTGGACAGACATCCACAGACATACACAATTAATCCCCTGCCTCCTGTAAATTAATCCCGGTTGGGCTTCCAGTCCACTACGTTTCCTACCAGTATGATGTCTATCTTCCTGCAGGTTGAATAAACACTGGGAATGAAACCAAAATACCGTCTTCACAGATATGTCATGCTCGCTTAAAACAGCAAATACTCTACGTTATAAACGTTCGTTAAACCGCAAGATTACGGCTGATGGAGTGTACATCTGGCATCTTACTCCTACTGTCTCATCGGCTCCCGATGTAATGCAAGGTTTGCTGAGAGCAGCAGACCATGGGCAGAGGCATCAAAGCATCTTGTAATGCATTCCCTCCCGGCAGATGGTGCCAGGTGGCAAGGGGAGACCTTCATCCAGCAGCAGATTTATCATGCCTGATGATGATTGGCACCATTCCATGGTCTTCAGTTGGAAATACTCTATCAGTCACTTAGCCCTGGTGGTGAGATAATGACAATGTTCCATTGCAATATAAATGTATCCAGTTAAATCAAGTGCATCAAGGGCAGTGGAAACAGGCATCATTCACATAATTTGTGCTGTTGTGGGAATCTCAATAGATGCTTGACCCTCGTGCGTTTTGGAAATCTCCGTTGACTACTCCATTTGCAAAATCAATGTGTCCATGTGTCATAGATTTTCCCAGGATGTCAGATTTTTTGAGCAAGCTGTCCTTGGAAATCTGTAAATCCCGGGACATTGTAAGACCCATTTGTTTGTTAGTTGTGTAATAATACACCGCACAAGGCAATTCATTACAATGTACTTCTCCCTTCTACTCACATTGCGAGTTAGTGACCTGGTAGAGGCTCTTAGTTATTGCAATGGAAACAGAATCAGTGATGCGTGCATGCAATATGTGCATACGTGCGCCTGTGTTTGAGCTTACACGTTTATTTCTCCATCTTATCCAAAATTTAAGACAAAGCCACCTTACTAAAGTTCTGAGAAGCCAATACGTGGACCGATGAATGTGTTCGCATACCGAACGGTTATTTGTTTATTTAAAGTTCAGAGTTTTCAACGGACCACAATAACATTATTTAAATACTGCGCGGGTCACAATATTCTGCCTTCATTCTTTCTCTGCTTTCGAATAATAGAAATTGCACAGAACATGAGCGTACGGTGTATATATTTGAGTGTTGAGGTAATGACAATGGCAATAGTGGTGAATACAGGATGATGCAATTCATATTTATGGTGTCCCAGTATAAATCGTATCTGAAAACTGAATAAACACCGGTGAAGAGCAACAGGCAGGAAGAGAACGGTGATAACTGGAGAAACAAGAAGAGTTGCATGGGTGTGATGTGATGTGGAGCTCTATATTTTCACTTTGCGATTAGATGTTATGTAACATATTTTTATTTGACCGTAGGAAAGCCACTACTGCGCGCGCATCCTCTTCTGCTCTCATCTGCGTTAAAGTGAAACTGAATTTGCCCCATCTGTGAGTGAGTGTGTCAGACACAAAGCACTTACTTGAGTAGATCGTAATGTATAGTATTGAGTTAGGGTTCATTCTGACGAGAATGGTATTAATGATGAGCTAAGTAGAACGTGTAATCTTTGAGTACAGTATATAACCTCGGTCGAAAAGGCTGCGACCACCAAATTGCCACCATGCTAATCTGAAAGGGGCTTTAGAAATGGTAAGTACAGTGAAACCTTGGATTGCGAGTAACTTGGTCTGCGAGTGTTTTGCAATACGAGTAGTACGTATACGCTTTGTACGTGATCACAACTGATATACGAAGTGCTTTGATATGCGAGTGCTTTGGATCACAAACACGTTTCCGGAACGAATTATGCTCGCAATCCAAGTTTTTACTGTACTTCTTCCTATTCCTCTAATTTTTGCGAGTTAATATTTGTGAAGAAGTGTTTTTGGAATTGAAAATAAATAAAGCAGGGTTGTGTGCCGGGGGGGGACAAATGGAGACTTTCTTAAGGGCTTATATAACCCTGCAATCTAATGGCAATTTTCTAGCAAGGCGATTGCTTTTGCAACCTCACGCGTACGCTGGCGCATCCACCCTCGAGTAAGCGCACGCTTGCGTGATCCTGCCACACCACGTGGCCGTTTGGGCCTGCAAAATCTTAACCGAGTTTAAACATCGTTGTACTTTGTGTAATAGCTTCATTATTCTAGATTTTAATTATTATGTTCATTGAGAAGCTGACACCGCATGCAATAATGGGACTTCTGGCTAAGCAGAAGAAGGAGAAGGCTCGAAACCAAACTTACTCAATTGGAATTACACGTAGCAATCATCGCTCCCTTCTGGCAGACTAGTGGCCGATTGCAGGCCCGGTGCTAAGTCGCCTCGTGCCACACAGGGCCGGCTGCCATTGGGGGTGCCGGTGTGAGATGAGATGTGATGTCAAGTGTCCCTGAGACGCCCCCGGCGTGTAGGGCGCTAAACCCATAGTCGTTCCCATTAACCACCGGCGCTCTCCTCACACTCCTCTGCCGCAGTCCTTTCCATGGAGCCATTGGCGATCGGCGTTCCAGGCGAGCTGCGAGCCTACGCCCTCGCCCACCGCCGGCACGGCCGCCTGCCCTGGCACAAGTTGTTGGAGCCGAGCATCCGGATGGCTCGCGATGGCGTCCCGGTGTCACGGGAGCTGGCCGAGAAGCTCGCCAAAATCGACGAGAGGGTCAAATTCAAAAATGACTCCGAAATCTGGTATGGACGCGACAGGAACACGGTCTCAGAGGGAAGCCTGTAGTGCGACATTGATTAAAGGGTGGGGAGTGGATACAAAAACTCGGGGGTGGGGGGGTGGGCACGATACCATTAATATAAAACTAACTTAAAACGTACGCTAAACGCCAAAGAGAATACGTAACGGCACGACCTTTGTCCGTCACGCGTTCTGCCCTGGCTCTCGCCCGCAGTGTGCGTGGCCCAAGATGCCCCTCGCTTAATCGTATTTTGCAGCCGCCTCCAACTATTGCAGAGATTTTGTGAATCATACGGCTTGAATATAAGAATTAGAAGGGGGGGGAGAGGGGGCGGGGGAGGGTACTTAGCCTTCAGCAGGGAGGACTCAGCCCTTCAGCCCTTGCGAAGCTACAGGCCTGGCCGGGGGGTATATTTGGAATCAACTTGCCCTGTGCATTACGCAAAGCGAAGGCGTGAGAGATGAAGTGAGCGTTACTCCGCGTGAAGAGGTTGGATTTGTGAACATGTGCATAAAGTGATAGTCACATCATGACAAAATGTTGGGCGGTTTATTGGTCGGGACACCCCTGCACTGGAATAAACTGTGCATGAAGCAGTCCCCTTCCTTAACCTCCTTCTCGTTCCTCTCTTAGATTTATGGCCAACTTTAAATTGTTGATGTTCTATTTAAGTGCTGTGGACTGTTAAAAAATGACTGCTGGCTAATGAACGATTATCAGTTACCGATGGGAAAGTTCATTCCGAGTGCAATTTTGACAAAATCCTAAACCTGGCACATTGTCGCAAACCTTGGTTACGTTACATCACCACAAGTGATAACTTTCGTCGTTGTAATCTCATGGTGTGTTCGTGTACAAATACACTGGCATTTGTAATTCCACTGTGTGTGGGTGAGCATTCCCCCCACTCCATGGGTCATTGAAGGCGCGGTGTATGGCTGCAGGAGCATAGCAGTGCGCACACTCAATGGCTACGCCAAATGCCCAGGTATAACCATCCATGTCAGTGGTATACAGGAGGTCGTAGGTTCTATCCTGATTTTGTATATGTGGAGTTTGCATGTTCTTCTGGTGGTCGCGTGGATTTTTCTCTGGGTCCTCCTGGTCTTTCCCTCCATATTTAGAATCAACGTCACGCTTTTAGAGTATTTGACTGCAATAGAGTTCCACGTGATAAGCCACTTCATTGAGAAATCGTTTGTGGCCAGGTCGCTTCTAAAAAAGAGCTACATAGCTCAGTAGGCTTTACCTGGTAAAACAAAATAGTATAAATCTTGACTTAAAGATTCCGTGACTGCAGGAATTCATACTCTTTGAGTCTTTCGGTAAAGTCACGTCGATAGAAGGCGGACTGCTGTACTTTTTTTTACCTGAAGACGATTGCTTGTGTTGCTATCGAAACGTCGTGATTTTTTTGATTTTTTAAAAATAATTTTTCTATCTACGTGACATTACCGAGAGACCCAAAGAGTAAAAATAGTTTAGCTTGTGGGTCACTTCCCGAGTCCTCGTGGAGTTTGAACAGCATGACAAGGGCCACCACGGGATCACAGGCCAGGTTGGCGAGAAATGCACACCGTTAAATGACTATATTTTTTTACTTAAAGCTTTCGTGACTGCAGGAATTCATACTCTTTTGGTATTTCGGTAAAGTCACGTAGATAGAAAAATATATATATTTTTTTTTAATCACGACGTTCCGATCGCAACACAAGCAATCGTCTTCACGTGCCGTATTTTTTCACCTGGAGACGATTGCTTGTGTTGCGATCGAAACGTCGTGATTTTTTAAAATTTAATTTCATTCTTTTTCTATCTACGTGACTTTACCGAAAGACACTGAGAGTATGCTCTATAATTTACTTCCCGCTTTTTGTTTGTTTGTTCAATAAGAGACCGGCACAGAGCACGAACCGCGACACGGGGTGGGGGGGGGGGTATAGAAACTCTGTTGACCTCAGTCCCGACCACTGTGCACCTGGGTATAAAGACAGAGAGAGAGAGAGAGTGAGGAGTGGGCTCGTTGCCCCACCGGGACCACGAGCGGGATGTGTGTGTCTCTATGCATGGCGAGGGGAAGGCGACGCAAAAGAACCAAAAAAAATGAAAGTGGAGGAAGCAAGCGGGTGGAAATGACAGGGTGGGGGAGGGATGTGGTTACCACTTTTAAAACTACTTAAAGCGCCCTGGGCCGAGGCGCTCTGTAGATAAACATAACACAAATAATAAGATACTGTAAGTTCCGTGACGCCCTTCTGCGCGCGTTCGGCACGCTGAGCGATGGCTTCTGCCGCCTGTCCCCCCCCGTCCCCCCGCAGCGCTCTCTTCTGCTGGCCCAACGGCACCGTCAAGAAGGAGAACGACATCGTGCGCTACCCAGCGCTCGCGCGCACCCTGGAGACGATCGCCAGGGAAGGCGAGGACGCGTTTTACAACGGCTCCCTGGCCACACTGCTGGTCGAAGACGTCCGTGCGAAAGGTGACGGGAGGTCGTCAAGCGGCGGGGTCACGTGCGGGGGGGAGGGGGGGTTGAAGTAGTGGGGGGTGCTCGCACACTTGCTCCGAACCACGTCCGGTCAGTGCGGAAGGAATGTAGAAACTTCCCAATCTTCAGGGATTCGTGGGGGTTGGTGATAGGCCCTCCACCCCCTGCCAACCCATCCCCTTTGCTCAGCCATGTGACAGAGGTCAAGTAACCTCTAACCTCTTGAGGGATTAACTAGAGCTCCCTCTCGTTGAAGGTCCTTCTGGCAACAATCGCGTGAACAAGTCATTGCAGCGCTGCACCTTTACCCTTGCAGTGTGCTTTCGGATTTGCTCGAGCAGGGGTTGGAAAGCTGCGGCTCCGGAGCCCCATGCGGCTATTTAAGAGCTGCTTCGTGACGTCGTTTATTAAGAAACGCCTCATATTCACGTCCCATTGCGGCTCTAGAAATATTGAGTTTCTTACCGAATTCGAAAAAAATGGCTCCTCTTGTTATTTTGCTTGCCGACCACACCACTCTGGAGCGATGACGACTACAGCGATCCGCTCACTGTAGTCGAAACGTCACGTCCACTCATGCTGTGCCCCCAGGCTGCTGTGCCCGTTGTTGTTGTTGTTGTTGTCATCGACAGTGCTCCTATTCCCATCCGTGTTCCAGTGGCGGCTGGTCCATTTGGAGCGTTGGGCCATCACCTGCCACTCTCGTGCTCACTTGTGTTCATGATTGGGTCTGTCTCTGTGTGATACATTCACCAGGAGGTAGTGGGGGGGGGATAGTTTCTGGCTTGGTGGGTTAGAATCTTACTTTTTATAATCGTTTTTTCGATTTGTAAGTGGCATATAATTGGTTTGCATGGCCTCATACGGCCATTAGAGGCCCCTACTTTAATCACAGTATAAAAACGCATCGGATCTTGACCTCAATCATGATTGAATTGTGAAAGTTCACTGAATGATGAGTGGGGCAGATCGTTACATGCCGAGCCGCCCAGTTGCCGATTTATAGGATTAGCTTTCATTCCGCCCACTGACATGGGGAAATGAGCCAACATGGAATTTCCAAGACAGCCTCATCAAAGTGTGACCAATTTGCCACGTGTCGACAAAAACGATTCATTTAAGTTAAATAATAAGCAGTTACCACACCTAATGTGGATTTGCAAGGAAAAACTAGGATGGATGAAGTGGTCCAATTGGAGAAGTTTCTCGGTAAGTCTCTCTGTAAGTGTGCAGCAGTAAATGCGATATATATTCGAGTTGCCAAATTCAAAGGGACTTTGGATAAATGTAGTGATTGAGTTGTTTTTTTATAACACATCAACATCATCAGCCAATGTTCTAGCCACTGCTGGACAAAGGCCTTACCCACGTGGCCACCATCCCTTCACAGTTCTGCGATTCCACAATTCATCTCTCTCACAAGTGTTTCAGAGAAAAAAATAATTTTCCCATCGTGATAAATCTCGCTCTCGCTCACCTCTTTATTTGATAATTTCACTCCAGGTCCATCATCAGCAATTGCCTTTGATAAACATAATTAGTTGTGTATTACAGCTGTGTCCCTCCAACAATTATAATGTCGGACATGACTTTCGTTTTGCAAATTTTTCATCTGTATCCCACTGTTTCTTCCTTCCTCGTTCTGCCTCTCGCTGTAACCATCTCCCCATGCCTCCTTACACTTTCACCTTTTTTCGACATTCTTTGTTGGTTCATGTTTCCAATCCACATCACGAAAGCGCAATTTTTTTTACTCAACATTTAGTTTGCTTAGAGTAACCTTCAGCCCTAATTTGTAATGTTGCCTTGTTCCCCTTTATGTCTCTCACTGTAATTCCCAGCATCTTTCCAAACCTTATCTGCGTACAACGCACAAAACTTGCGCTCACCTCAATTAACAAGTGGTTCCTGTGGGGGGCCCACCTCCGACAACACACGGGAGATGCCAAGAATCCCCAATGTTGGTCTCTGCGAGATGCTCATAAAAAAACACAATGCTCGTTGATGGTGGCTGCGGCCTGACTTGCACACTTGCACATCCACGGCACGCCTGACAGTCAGCGATGTCCCACACTCGTTGTGGTCGGCCCCCCTGCAGGTGGTGTGCTGAGCCTGGAGGACTTGCGGTCATACCACGCCGAAATCGTGAAACCGCTGATCTTCCCCGTCGGCAAGTACACCCTCGTCACCCCGGCACCTCCGGGGGGAGGCGCGATCCTCACCTCCATCGTCAATGCTCTCTCCGGTACGGGGCCTTCTTGCGCACAAGTACAAACCACATGATTGACTGTTTGCAATGAGCTTGTACTGGGTGCTGCACCACGCTACTTCCTCTGGGCATCACGCGGTGACTTGATCGGTCCCACGCACGGCCTCCACGGTTTTGCGGTGTGCGGCCAACCTACATGGAATGCGCTGCCGGTAAATGTGCGTGAAAATCTCAGTTGGCTAGTTCTGCAGTAAACCCAAAGCAGAAACGTTCTGCAAAGCTCACAAAGCATAAGCGCAGTACCTTCGTGTAAGCCTCTGTGCTAGAGGAATTGCGCAAATACCGAATGTGAGTATTATTTATGAGTTGACCGCTTGAGCCAGGGCGGGCTTTTGTGTTAGATAATTGCATTTTTTATAAATGTTTGGCTTATACAGTACCACATTAAACCGTTAACCCCCTCAAGGAGCATTCCTTCTGCCTTCCCCTTTTCTTCGCTTTGCTACCCTGCCACAACTGCATTTGCCCACCCACATTCCATTTCATCATCTTGCCTCACGAGGCCAATTCAATTATTGACAAAAACCCTCACACTCCACCCCGTTCAGATGACATTTTGATAAGATTGTGATCTTGGTGAGTTTTTTGAAATATCCTTTTTTTTGCGATATAAATCATCTGAAAAGTAAAAATATTATATTTTACAAACACCAGTTGTACAATGTTGAATAGGGAACGTAGGACAAATTATGTTTTTTATATGTTCGTGATACTTAATTTGTATCACCTGCTGTAATATTACCACAAGTGAATGTTGCTGACTGGCCGTGAGAATGAGAGTTACGCTCACACCTTAATAATTCAATGTAATGATGGCATTCGGCCTACAAGGGACTGTGGCATATTCCAAAATCTAAAGGCAATTACATATATATTTTTTTATTATGAATAAAATTAGTCAAGAAATATATTTAGAAAACGTACGTCCAAATACAAAACAGCACGAGGTCGCCATTAGCGGAACACGTGGTCGGCTGACCCCCGCCCGAGGTCACAAGTTACACCGGTCGTGTCAGTCTGCCACGTGCTCTGCCACTAGTGGGTGACCTTGCACTCTGTCATCAAATCCAGCTCCCAGAGGTTTGACTGCTTAGGCTGCGTTTAAATGCAAGCTGGTGAACACGTTTGAAGGGGCTAGGCCATGTCAAGTGCTGCGGTGCCGGAGTGGTTAACGCACTGCGCTATGAACCCGGTTGACTGATTTTAATTTCCAGCCACAGCTACCATCAGTGGTGAGCAATATCTGAACCTGTCCTGGGTCTCCCGTTCATCAACCCACAGTGGCCAGTGTGGTGAAGTATGGTTAAACAACCCGCATGACTGACACGGTGTGGGGAAGGCCTTCATCCAGCAGTGGATTGACAAAGATCCGTATATTGAATTATACGTTTTTTTTTTTGCCAGCCAAGCTCATTGCGGTGACGGTGCTGATGATGAAACGGTCGCTAAAGGTTTGACGTGCTCGTCTGGGCCCACAGCATTCCACATGCAGAGGAGGGAGATGCAGGACACTGAGGGCAGGGCCCTTGACTTCCACCACATGGTCGAGGTGCTCAAGTTCGCTTACGCGCAGCACAGGGAGCTCGCTGACCCCGAGTTTGAGAACATGGCCCAGGTGAGCTCGCGGGAGGTGAGCTGTTGGTCCGTGAGCGGTTGGCGATGAAGGCAGAGGGCGGAGGCGTGGGACCAGCACGACAGTGGATTTTTCTGCACTGCCTTTGTGCTGACAACGGCACCCCACAGCAGCAGCATCAGCAGCAGCAGCCTAGAGCAGCTGTTTTTATTCATTGTGGCCGCCCTTCGAAACGATATCCAGGAATGCGCGCGATCTCGTCAGACCTTAGAAGATAAGCAGGGTTGAGTCCGGATAGAAACGACACTTGTTAAAAAAAATGTGGACAAAAGGGCACTTGAATGGATCTCAGAGGTACCTCTATGGTATCTGCTTCCACGGGTCATTCTCTTTTATAAAGGATCACACTGCTCTGTGAGAAATCTGAATGGTTACTTTGTCTCATGCCATGCCACCTACACCATATGCGAGTAATATTCATTACCTTACAGTCAAACCATTATTTAATTCTCAGAGCTGGAATTTATCCAATTGTAGTGCAAAACCAATTTTAACCTGGTGGGTCTTTTGTACATTAATTCATGAACCTTTTGAGACCAGCATCCCACTAACGCTTGACAACATGAGTTTAATCAGTCGGCTGAAACCTGGATAATAACCTAAGCTGTCTGCGGTGCAAGCCCAGGGCTCTGACCTCTAAGCCACCCGGCCACCTCCTTATGAAGCAACATTTTTTTTGGAACGTCCATATACGAAATTGACGTGCACACCCCACCTTGCTGCGGCGGCGCGTCCCCTGTCGCGCTCCCCAGAAGGTGCAGGAGCTGATGTCTCCGGCGTACGGCGAGAAGCTGCGACGGCTTATCCAGCACGACCGCACCCACGAGCGATCCTTCTACACGCCCACTGAGCCCGACAAGCCCCACTACGGCACGTCGCACCTCTCCGTGCTGGCCGAGGACGGCGGCGCCGTTTCCGTCACCAGCTCCATCAACTTTTAGTGAGTCTCCCGCGCACGCGCGCGCGCGCGTGTGGCCACGCCATCGCGATCGCTTTCGCTTCAAGGGTCGTGCGCTAAGAATTGCGCAGAGCCGCCGGGAGGGAAGATGCGTCGGCACCACCCGCATCCTTATTTGAGAATGGCGAAAATGAGTTTTGGGTTTATTGTTTTTTTAAACGTCCATCATTTTAACCAGGATGCCCAGCAGCGGTGGCACAGGCCTAACGTGGAAAACGCGAATGCCACTGCTGAAACCCGAGCAGCAAATCTTCACGGAGCCTCAAAACTGTTCATCAGGAGGGTTTTGCGTTTGAATTTTGGCAAGTACATTTTTCACGAGATGAAAACAAACATCGATTCTTGAATCGACTCACGAACCCAGATTGTGACATCCGTCATTCATGCAATCACTGGTAGCGGTGAATTGCTTAATGCCTAATTGTCGACAAAAATAGAAAAATGTTTGATAGAATTGCGTTGGTAACTCTCGGCTGCTGCGATGATTTCCCATCGATTGGATAGTAGGGTGCCTGGGGGACCGGCACGAGTGCTTGGGATGAACTTTGAACCGGTGGAGTGGCCAGAATTCAGCCTTAATGCTCACCATGTGCATGGAGCATTGGTTCAGTGTTTGGCACACAGCGCAGTGAACATGGCAACCCGAGTTTGATTCCCAGCTACCGATAATGTGGTGATAGCTGGCATGGGCCCTGGGCCCCTTCCTCTTCAACAACCTGCATTGACCAGCATAGTGAGCTATGGTTAAACTACCCCATACATGCAACGTTGGCCCACCATTACATGCTTACTGAAACAGCGTGGGGAGGCCTTTGTCCAGCAGTGGATTGAAAAAGGGTTGTAATTGTTATCATTAGTATTATATACTGTTCATTACATAATCAGAATCAGAAGTTTATTTCGCGAGTGAAGCCCATTGAGCTAAGAAAGTAATTTTCAAGGGCGACTCGGTCGACATCAAAGCATTCCACAATTAAAGTAAAAAAAACCTAATAATCTTAATAATAGCAATTATGTTGTAAAATTAGATTCACACTTAAACTTTAGGGATATTAAGTCAGTTTAAACAAGGACAGAGATGGCAGGATGGAGATACCAAGAGACAAAAACTACCGTGTTATTAATTTGTTGACCTTTTAAATTTAAAACAATGTTTACCCGATGGCTTTATTTTTAACCCAGATCTTCCTTGAAAAAAGAGATGGCTAAACTCAATTGGCCCTTCCCGGTTCTAGATAAAGCACACGATGGGTAGACGAACGTTGGAACCTCATCCACGTGCGCAACGACGCGGTGCAGTTTTGGTTCGCAGGTCGTGTCGAACAGAACCGGCATCATTCTCAACGACCAAATGTCCGACTTCTCCTGCCCTCAACCCGGCAAACCGGCCTTCAACTTCATCGAGCCATGTAAGACCCTATTTTCATTCTTCATTTATGTGCTTTGAAGGAGGGCCATTGCCCCGAAAAAACCCTACCTCTTGGATAATTTTCCTTTTAAGGCCATGGCATTATTCACAAATGTGTTGAGCTTTTTGTTTGTTTGTTATTCGTGCTTGTACACCGTTTCTAAAGCAGCAGCGGGCAGCAAATAATTTGTCCTATTCTTTCTTGGCCTGTCACTGCAAACAGAATTTGTTAGGAAGAGTTAAACTCACTTCCTGCTTTTTGTTTAACAGTCCTGCCAATTTGTGCAGGCTATTACCGGGCCATTTCCATTCATTACTGGCCATGTAAGCTCCGCTTTTCACTGTGGCTCATTGTTCTTTGGGACAATATCAGCCTTGCCAACTGAATAATGTAGTTTATGAAAGTCACCCAACAATATTCACAGTGATTGAATGGAGGCACTTTTTTTTCTCACTTCAAAGATTGTTCACTGCCAAAAGGACAGGAAGATGTTGTGTTCAGGCTCTTGAAAATTGATAAATGCATTGTTTAAAAACTCAACTCACCACTATTGTCAACGCATCCTTGGGGAAAAAAGCAAAAGGTAACAAAGATGCAGCCCTGCAATGTCTTGCTCGTGTCACCGCAGGGAAACGTCCCATCTCGTTCATGAGCCCGAGCCTCCTCCTGGACGAACATCGCATGGTTAAAATGGTGATCGGGGCTTCGGGTGGCTCCAAGATCACAGCGGCGATAGCACAGGTGAGCACCGCTCTGTGATTCCACAGTGGGAGCTGCCGCCACTCAAGTCCCGCCGGACCACCACTGTGGTGGGAGCTGTCAATTATTTTTAAACTTAGCTCCAGCTGCGTAACGATGCATCGATTCATCTGTCATGTAGATTTTTCGTTGAAATTGATCCCAAACGACATCACCCGCAATCTATCATGACTGGCGGTGGGTGAAAGTCTCCCCAAAACTGTCACCATTTTTCACGGTCCCGCAACGTAAAAACAAAAACCTCGCTCCCGCACACGAGCTGGAGTCATTTCTCCCCTTCCGTGGAGGGATACATGTCCTGTGGGGCGTGTTGCCTCTTGGACTTGGCGTTCTGTTTAATTGGAGGTCTTATGTCGTGTGCGCGCATGCACGCACGCACGCACGCCGTAAGTGTCATTTACTCTGTCGTAAGGAAAGCGAGATGGCAGTTGGGTAATGACACATCAAGGAATCTCTCACGCTCACGGTCGTGCATCTGTGTATGCACGCACACGAATCGGTTATTTGCCATCGTTTGACTGTGTTGCTTGTGATTGGTGTACGTGACACTCTGCGGCCACTACATTAAATTGTGATGTTTAAAAAATCAAAGATTGAAACGAACCGTGACCGCTAGAAAGTCGGGAGGGGGAGAACCTATTGGACATCTGTGACAAAGAGCCTGATAGCCCATCAAATTCCTCCAGTATAAATCAATATTTTGATTCTGATCTGATTCTGTTTCAGGCGTGAGACTCTTGCCAGTGGCAGCTCGCCCTTTTTTTATTTGTTCCTTTCGTTGTTGATGTTGTCTTTGTTGATGTTGTCCATCGTAATTTTTGTATTTGTCACCAGCGATGTTGCTACCGACACTGTTTGATTTGTGGTCGAAGTTCTCGTTGTTGTTGTTGTTGTTGTCATTGTTGATGCTCTTGGCTGTTTATGATGTTTTATTGTTTCTTTTATTGTCATTGTTCTTGTAGTTTTTGTCGTCACTGTTTTTTACATTTTGTTCATCTAAGGGTTTGCTGCAGGGACTATTGGGTCACGGCAGAGTGCGTGTCTAAACAAGGCTCTCCCGTGCAGGTCTTGGCGAACGTGCTGTGGCTTGGCTACGATCTGCCAAATGCAGTGTGCCAGCCAAGACTCTACATCAATCAGGAAGACTTCTTCCTGCAGAATGAGACAGGCTTCAATGAGGTGAGCATAACAATGATGAGTGTTCAATGGTGGCACTCGGCATAAGCAACCTGAGTCAAAGCTTCAGACCCCAAGAAGCTTATGGGGGTTGTTATCTCAGGCATGGACATGTGATCTCTCTGTGAACCCTTAGTAAACTCGGGGCGGGGGGGGGTCACGGGGGCTGTGGTGGGGCGGTGGGCGAGGACTGGTAGCTTTTATTGGGGAGGTCGCCACATCAAAGAGGTTGATATATCCACTAGACTAGAACTTTATTGTGACTGGATAGGATCGTGCATTTTGAGTAATCGTCTTCATCACGACCATTTGTTTTCTCTCTAACCCTTTTACCAACAGGCCATCAAGCTGCTTTTGGAGAAGAAATCCCACGTGTTCACGCAGACATTCCCCAGTGTTGGTGTGGTGCAAGCCATTTGGCGCGAGGGCAGAGCCATAACAGCTGTGTCTGACGCTCGGAAGTATTCAATGGCCGATGGCTATTAGGCCAGGGAGAGGGCTGCCCTCACTCAGGCTGAGCTGCAAGCACCCTCCGTCACTCTCCTCTGCCAAGTGTCTCCGACGCTTCAAGCGCTCTGTCCGTCGGATGCTTGGAGAGAGGCCTACGCATGTGGCATCTCCCAAGCGCCGCTCCGCTACGAGGACAAAAAACTCAACTCAATGATCTTGTCATGTTAACAGCTCGGCGCGTCAAGTCCTGTTCCTCCGCTGTGCCCTTCGAAGTTGTGAGATTCACGAGAACTTGCCGGTCAGTGGCCTCCAGCTGGTAAGGTGCTAGCAAGAGGCCCACGAATTATGTGGCATCTCGCAAGCGATGTCCCTCCTCGTGTTCATAGCTTCAAAATGCATCACAAGTTCTGCTGCTTGCGAGGCATCCTTCGAAGTTATCCGCTGCACAATGTATTCGCTCGGGCTCGCATGTCCCATAGGCGTCAACTCGACCTGGATAGAATAGCGGTGGTGTCACAGTTTCTTGTCGAGATTTTATTATCGGAGGGCTTAGATTTTTATATGTGTAATGTGCAACAACAAAGTCGTCATTTTAAACGTTTTTGCGTGTGTGTGTGGGGGGGGGGGGAGTTGTTCCAAGGTGGAATAACGCTGGAAGGGAAAGATAGCACAATCATAATAAGAATCATCCAAGCCATCTCCTCTACCTCTGCGATATGTTTTCGGGTTGTACCGCGTGTTGCTTTGCACACTCCATCCCCGATGTTGTCAATGTGAAAACACATCGGAGAGCTGTACGGCCCAGCAGCAAAAAAGAAAAGCACTCGGTAATAATTCGTCTGCTGTGCCACTGTAATGACACTGTACAGTGGTAAATGTAAATTCGGCCTTCAGTTCTGTTTGCACGGCCTCGGTGGCCTAGTGTGGAAAACTGTACGTGGGTTACACAACACTTTGATGCGAGAGTTCAAAGTCAAAGCCATTTCCTGCACACAAGAGCGTTGAGGCAGTGCTCATGGCTGTTTACAGCCCTGAGCCAGTGGCGAACATTCCACATTCAAATTGCTGTGGCCACAGGACAACCGACTGTTGACTTCCCCACAAGGTGGTACTCGATTTATTGAACTTTGAGGGATGATTGGCCGAGTGAAACGCCAACCGGGGTGAACTAGCGACGCTCGTATTGTGAGCCGCTTGCTGCACTGCTGAGCAATGTGACCGGATGATGATGATGACGATAATGACAGAGTTTGCTTTGTTACAATCCACATTTGCTGTGCGCACTGCCTGATAGTGGTGCGACAGTGGAGATAATCACAGCAGTGGGGAAGTCTCAGTAGGACTGCCACTCTGTGGCAAGACTTGTAAGATTCTTACGTCGTACAATATATCAATGTATCATACGACATAAGATTCACGATCGGTGTATCGCCTGCTTGCCAAAATATCCTGATTATCGTTTGTTGTTTAAAAAAATATATATTTTATTTCAAATAACTTAGTTGTAAACAAGTAGCCTAAATTAGTATATTTTATTTTGTTTTCTGGAGTAAATGTAATGGCGGTTACAGTATTCGATGTCATCATTTTGGTAGATAGTTTATGCGTTTAAATATTTCCCAATTGTTTAACTGACATCACGTGTGCTAGAAGACTTTTGGTATGCTGATGTTGAGTGAGCTGCAGTTAAATTACTTTTAATTTGTACTGGAAGTAATTCTTCTTCGGCGCTCTGCCTTGACAGCATGTCCTTGGTTACCATCCTCTGCATTCTCCTCTGTTCTCTGCCCTCCGCTTGACTTGCACATGTGACCCTTCAACTTCCCCAACATGCCAATCCCCGGCCTTCCTCTCATTCATCTGGCTTCCGCTCTTTCTTCAATGACGGCCTTCTTCGTCAAAACGTTCCCCTCGAAGAATGAGGGCCAACTCTGTTTTTCTTTCTCCTCACGTGTGACTCCGTTGTCATTCTTCTTCTTCTTAGTTGTTGCTAACGCGTACATAAAACAAAAAAAATGTGAAAGATATTTCCGTTGCGGGAAAGTAATGTCGTGAGAGTGGTCATCGCACCGGGGAAAACTGATGTCGTATCGTGATGTCGTAACATCACACCTTCCCAGTAGTGTTGCCATACTGCAGTGGCCCTCCATGCCATGTGGGACCCTCCGATGTTTGCGCTGTTGCTTTTGATTTTTCCATTCCAGTGCACATTTTTCATCCGATGCAGCGTTGCTCTCGATTGTAACTGGCACGCAACGCAGCACAGGAACAGTTCCTGTGTAGATTAAAAAAACAAAACTTGTGGCGTGACGAAGTGGCCCCTCAACTGTGCAGGAAGTCACTCGCCCGTTGCCCCCCCCCCCCCCCCCACTATTTTACCCCTCCACCACAAACCTCCAAAACTTTTTTTTAATGAAGGAAAAGAGCCCACAATTGCATTTGTAAAGAAGCAAGATATCATTAAACATATGAGAGGGTGTAAATTTGCAATGTTATGTATTCAAATATTTGAGAACAGTGGAGATGCTAAATGAGGCATGTGGGGGCCCTATTTGTGTAGAGAATATCCTAACTTTTACTCCAATTGTGCTATTGGTGTAATGTCACGAGATCGGGTGTCCTTTTCAGAACTCGCAGAGAAACAGTGCTTTGCCCCCTCGTGAGAGAACGTCCCTGTGGAAGGAGATATGAAAGAACTACTTCTAAGATCCCTTCAAGTAAACGTTATCGAGAGAAGTAAGGGGCGCCAAACTTTCCCACGCACCCAATTTAGGGGGTCAAAATTATTTTCGATTATCAGAACCCAGAATTTCTGCCAAATAGAGCAGAATAATCAAATGTATTTCAATTGATTTTTGTTGTTGTGTGTGCAGTCCTTTATAACCAGGCTGACATCATCATCATCTCACTATGTTTGAGAACCAAATGTAATCACGGACCGCTGCGAATCAGATTCAAACCAAAGGTGTCAGCGGTGCCAGAGCTCCGATCCCTGAGATATCCAGCCATCAGAGTGATCGCACTTTTGAACTTCAGTCCCACACCGCACTCTCTTTGCATCATGTGCATGAACTAAAACCAAATACCTCCTATTAACTGCTGTCTATGACGGAAGCACAGCAAATACATGGCTATCCTCTGTACAAATATTGCAAACGTGCAGAATATTGCTACGGAATGGAAATTGTCTGAGGATGTGATTGTATTTAGACAAAAGTGTTATTTGCCTTTGCTGCCAAACTTTATAAAATTCCCTTTGTACATGATTATATATTTTAACACATATATTAAATGATGCATATAAAATGTGAGACGAATAGCATACGTTCTTACAGTCGCATATATTCAGCACCTTTATCTTTTGAAGGTTTTGAACATCAGACCAGCGACCTGTAGCACATTCGCAGGTGAGCTGTGGTGTTTTCGAATTCACACGCAAGGAAAGAAAAGAGCCTTGCCGTACCCGACCAAGGAAAAGACGAACTCTCCTCTTTCTCGTACAGTGGCCAACCCTCCCCTCTCCATTGGTCGCGGTGCAGCACGGCAGCGGACAGCCGTCAGCCCCTACTCCCTGCCCTCTAAACTCCCTTGGTCGCGTGCCCACAGTTGGGATCTTTCAATCAGTGTTTTTTTTTACGTTTAACTTCTTTTGCACCGTACGTAGCCCACCGTGCTAATCGGAGTTTGCGGGGGGGGTGGGGGGGTGGGAAGAACAACAAACTAAACACACAAAAAGTTGTTCTAAAGAAATTAGTGTTCAACCTAGAGCAATGAACTGTCAATATAGAAAACAATAGTTTTCAATCTAGGTTAGTTGTGTGCCAATAAAGACCGAGCGATGTTGACGGTGTGTGCCGTGTGCCGCGGGGAATGTAAAAGGTTGAGAAGCACTGCGTTGGAGGGTGCCATTGTTTAGCAACCTGCTATGAATACCCGAACAAGCACAATACTTACATTCAGCTGTTAAAAAAAACATCAGCGTGGGGGCCCTCCTATTTCAGATCAACAATATTTCGGAGACCTCCCCGTGATGTCACCTCAATCTTGACCTATGGCATGTGCCCCGAACTTAAGTGTGGGATTTCTTGGCAGGTAACATTGACAAAAGTCGATTGTTTATACAGAAGGCACAGGGTGAATTGTGACACAATACAGTAAGATGTATTTATGCTTCACCTACGCTGTTTTTTTATGCCTTAATCCTCTTAACATTTACGCCCAAACCTCGTGCGGCACTTTGAATAAACGTGGCTTGCCTGTGGCTAATTCAGGACGAATGTTATTCACGATTCTGACTACGCCCATCGAAGACTGTTCACGTGCGAGTTTATTCAACGCAATGGTTGCTTGTCGGACAATATGAAATGTGCGTCGAATATAGTTTACAAAACTTTCGTGAATGAAAATGCATTTATGTAGCTTATTAACGTGTTCATTTGAGTGTCAAGAGGGAGGCAATATGATACAGGTGGAAGAACCTGTCATCTGTTACATGAAGACGATTGTGACTGAGTGACTGATGTAATTGGAATGGTGTTATTGGGTTTCCCCTCCGCCCCCCAGGACATCACTCAGTGAATGTACCCAGCAGCACGGGCATTACGGGTCATGCCCCATGTGTGGGTGGAAGCTCAGGCGACTTGGCATCAATTGAAAATCTACTTAATGGCAGGGCCTTCATAAGAGACCGTCTCTACAATAATACAGTAAAGCTGCAGCCCTTGCAAATGCTGACACCACTGGTGGCAGTGCTGACCCTGGTAAACCCATTGAAACTGTTGAGGGGGGGGGGTGGGGGGCAGACTGATGCGGGGGGTGGAGGGGAGATTTAAGAAACTTGCCTATTTCAAGCCCAGTCTACTATAACCACCAGACCAGGGCAGCAGCCTCCAGACCTCGACAGCAGCGTGTCCCCCCCCCCCACCGTGTAGATGCTTTGGGAAACGAGACTGCTTAAACCGCGGTGTGCCGTTCACTAATGGCAACCGATAAAGACTCGAGGGAGCAGGGGATAAGAACGGCAGTGGGTTCTGTTGCCGGGGGTTCAACGGAACGCGTGACCTAAAGATTCTGAAGGGCATGATTTTCAAATGTGATCATCTGTGATTTTAAGAATACTATTTATATTGTTTCAAACTTGACCAGTTGAATAATATTAAGGATCACATTCATGTACTGTATACGAAAAAGTCACGCTTTGTTCATCTTGCATAGACTGTTACTGCATGGAAACTGAAGAGATGCTGGTGTGTAGGACAGCGTCAATGAATGGTTGTGCAAAAAAAAAAACTGGATTAACGCACATTTCTGTTTTAACGTATCATCTACAGAACATTTATGATGAAATAATTTTTGTTTATTTTTATAGCATTGTTATTTACTCACAATAAAGCCTTTATACGAAACATTCTATTTCGTTGGACCATTGGGGCCTTGAATTCATGTGTGGATAAAGTTTAAAGATCACGTTAAGTTAGTTTATTTTACATCATTAGACCTCCTTTGCCAGTACCAAAATGTAATAATAGGGTCTTTCCCCTTTTTTTGGCAACAAAACTGAAACTTTTTTACGAGGATTCATGTCTGGATTAACCACAATACCTGCAGATAAAATGCAAACAAAAAACATACTATGATAATATAATATATATTGTCCTTGAAACTGATTGGTCCACACCAATCAGTTTCAAGGACAATGCATATATTATCATAGTATGTTTTTTGTTTGCATTTTAACTGCAGGTATTGTGGTTAATGCAGACATGAATCCTCGTAAAAAGATTTCAGTTTTGTTGCCAGAAAAAAGGGAAAAAACCCTATTATTAGTTGATTTTGTTTAACCAGGTCTCATGAGTCCCATGAGACCAGGATGAATCTCATGAGACCAGGATGAGTCAGGATGAGTCTCATTTGAGTCTCATTTGCAAGAGTGACACAAGGCATCAGTCGGGCGATGATTGGTGTCTAATTCCAGTTGAGTTATTTGCCTGTAATACTCGTGTGTCAAATGCTGTTATCGAGCACCTATTAAGGCTGGCATGGCTCATGCGGGGGTGGGTGTCCAGCACCACGCCCGGCCGCCTTTGTCTCCCCAGTGTAGATGTTTACTCACTGCACCAAGTGCTCACTTAAGTCTGAGTCTACCTATGGCAGGCCTAAGACCGGTTCAGATATTCGTCAGTTATTGGTTCTTGAGCTGGAATTGAACTCAGGTGAACTTGGGTTCGTAGCGCAGTTGGGCTAATCACCACAATACCACTCCCCCTTAACACCGGCACACAATGGCCTCCTCAAACACGTAGATTACAAAACCCGGCATCTGAATGGATCGCTTGACAATGTTTTACTGCGTACACGAGGATTAGTATGCGAACGGTCCATTGTGTTTGGAATTCCACCTCTAAACTGTGCCCTCCCATTGGCTCAAATTTGTTCACAACAAGTGCCACTTGAGCCGTAAGCCATCACAGGTAGTCCGACATCACTTAACGCAACGCGTACATCGGCCGGGTGACTCACCTGCAGAGCGGGCGACTCACAATTGGAATGTTGCGAGTTCGTGGCCTGGTCGACCCAACCCATAATCCCCCCACTTTGTGAAGAAGTCAAAAGTGGTTGTCCTATGGTAGAACTAAACCCCTCCACGGGAATGTGGAATGTCGAATATCAACCACTGGCTCGGTGATCTTAAACAGGAGATGAACACTGCCTCAATGCTTATTTCAGCGAAATGTTTTTCGATCAGACGTCGTGGCTTGACACGTCCATTGGTCTTGGTATGTGAGACCGGCTAGAGCTTCCCTCAATTCCACGCTCGTCTGCCAGCAGGAAACTGCAAGACTTCTTGACCTTTACACAAACGAACGCAGTCCTTTCACTTTGACATGCACAACAGTTGCGGGCCGCCCAGTGTTTTTTATTTCCCAACCTATACTTTCAATCAGGAACGCTAGCGGGTGAGTAATCTGCGCAAACACAGTCAAAGGAGAAACAGGAATTGAGCGAGATGGATTTTTTGTGTGTGTGTGTGCAGTTTTATTGCGGTTACATTTAAATTTTTTTCAATTTTTCTTTTTACAATTTTCATCGGCGTGCAGGAAACTGGAATAACCGCTCGCGCGACTTAATCTGTAGCAATATTCTCCTGCGCAGGCAGTCTGAAAGGAGCGTGATGGTAGACGAGACACGCGTACAATGATAGGCGAGGCAGCAACAAGGCAGTTACGGTAACTGCAGGCAGGAAGAGCCGCCACTAGCGGGGAGCTTTACAAAGCGGATATTTGGCCTACTCTTCCTGCGATAGCCACACATCTTCTAATGGGTGGATGCAGACACTATTTACCTCGCCACGCATAACTTGTGGTGTCCTCATTTTTATGCCACTGGCTGGACAAGGGTGGAGGCATTCAATAGACTTGCCCCATTCTTTCAACTTGCCACGCCGAGAGATCGCACCCACGACCTCCTGTAGACCAGACGAGGTGGATGACATCTCGCCACCGTGGCGCAGAGGGGGTGGCGAGGGGGCGGAGGAGGGCGTCGAGGCAGGGGGGGGGGAGGCGACGAAGCGGGGGGGGGGGGGGAGCGACGAGGCAGGGGGGGGGAGCGACGAGGCAGGGGCGGGGGGCGACGAGGCGGGCGGGGGGGGGACCGCCAGCTCACGTCGTGACCTGGCCGAGGTCTCCCAGACGCAGCAATGTCGGTGACATTCCCCGTGCCACCGCTCTGAGTCCGCCTCTCAGTACCCGGCGGGGCGGCCGCCCCTGCGGTAGTCGGACTCGGCGCACCAGTGGCTGCCGACGCGCACGATGGCTTGCACGACCGAGTCGGCGGCAGGAGACTGGAGGGCAACCTCGTGGTTCCTGCAGCGAAGGCCGTCCACCACGGCCTGCCGTGATGAAGACGCAAAGCACGGGGCAAAGCGGCGTTTGTTTGGGGAACGTGGTTTTTAAAAAAAAAAATCTTTTAAAGCACATCTGAAACTGTTTAGGATCTCAAAGGCACCAAATGGCGTTGTGCCTGCTCTAAACATGGAAGTTCTGGATAAAAAAAATAATTCCTGAATAATAAAACAGTTTGCAGCTTAATAACACTTTCCGGACCAATATTTTCCATAATACAGGTTTTGTTGTGTTTGTGTTAGATAGCTGTTTCAGGCCAATTCTGGATGAAGGGATCCCCATGCTGTGTCGGTCACGGGGGCTGTTTGACCATACTTCACCACGCTGGTCAGTGCGGGTCGGTGAAGGAGCAAAGGACCCAGGACCGTGTCAGCTGTTGCTCGTCACTGGCTGGGAATCTCGGCATCGTAGGGAAATGCGCGCATCAATGCCCCAACCACTCCACCCGTCGTTTCAAATACGTAACCTCATGACAACAGTGGCAATATTACAAGAATGATAAGAAATTTACAATTGCCCAAAAGCAGTAGAGGTCACGACAGTGAAGAGTCCTCTAATGCTAGGTCAAACCCGAGTAATTTTCACCGCACAGTACACAATCTACTGCCCCTATGTATGTAAAGACTCGCTCCCGTCGGAGGAATTTAGATTTTTGTAAACTTCCGGCTCAGCAAATGAACACTGCCTCAATGATTATTTGAACAAAAAAAATAACTTTGAAGTTTTGTGTACGTTTCAACATATCACGGCCTGTTTTTGATCGGGATTGCATTGGTGATTTGGTGCTGGAGGGGATGAACTGAGTAGGAGCCTTGTACTCCTAAGCGCCTCTTGTAGTACATAGCATCGCGAGCAAGCACTCATGATAACTTATATTTTATCACGGTTGCTGAACACAGGCCCAAAGGCGCAAGATGTCAAGCGGCCAGGAACGAACAGCACTATTGAAGGTTTAAATAGATCAGAGTTCAGAATAATACTGGAGGCATTTCATGAGCTATTAAGCTATTATTCACAGATGTCCAGCAGCGGCGGGCTAGCAGGTTACATCAAAAGCAAATACGGGGGACATAAGAGTAAGCCAGAGAAAAGTTGAGCAAGTCCATGTTGAAATTAAAATAGAGATATATAGAGATATATAGCATGGAAGTACAAATTGCACGAAAGTACTGTATATAAATGTTTCAGATGTGTTTACCACGTTCATTGACTTGAGCAAATATTTTAAGAACTTGGGATACCAGACGATGGGAGGAAATTCCAAAGCAGAACAGCACAGATAATACATCACAAAGAGAAGTGTTTTGACCCGCAGTGTTGGTTGGTTCAACAAAATGGTGTGGATGAGATGAATTCATCTGGTAGATCTCAATATGGGTGGAGGAATCAAAGAGAGACGTTCAGGGGAACACTAACCATGTGGCGGCATAGCGACAGAAGAGTGATGAACACCGTTATTATGAATAACGTTCATCGCACAAGCCTACGTGTTAAATTGAGTGATACAAATGCGACTGGCCACCCAGTGCGTGAGTGACCGGAGTGAGTCGGTGAATGCTGCATCAGCTGACTGTTTTTTGCGTCTCAATTGCCGTACGGTGTACGCAAGTTCGTGCGAATGAGTTGTCGGCTTGCTGGATAAACTTCAAACCCACCGCGCGAGTGTACACGTGCCCTTTCGGGTCGTGAGATGTGCGAAAGGTATCGGATTGCAACCAGAGAAATGAGAATAGGAAATAATCAGGCGCTGCATGTTTATTGAGGTTCCTGAAATTGCCCCAGGAAAATGAATGCCACATGTTTTGTGATTTTACAACTTTTATAATTTGGCCCTGTGGTGGACAGTGTTTCAGATCCGAGCTGAGGGCAAGTGCTTTCTTGAATAATCTACATCATGCGTCTTCCCCCAACTCAGATGATGAGAATCAGAATCTTTATTTAGAATGGTGGAATCCGATGAGTTATGAAGCTCTGTTTCACAGACGTCCAGTATGGGTGAGTCAGCAAGTTACGCCAAGTTACGCGGGGTTTTTTTTTTTCATTTGAGAGCATGGGGATTGTTCGTGTTGTTGGCGAGAGGGGAGGAAGAGGAGCAGGGTGAGTGGTTGGGTCCAAAAGGAACAGTTCCATAATGTTCACTAGATGTGGAACATGTAAGACCCTCTGTGTGTTTTTTTTGTACTTTGAAATCTGCACCACACTTGAAATATGGTTTATGTGTCCCTTAACATCACCCACCATCGCTCGGGGAATTATTTCAGAACATCAATTCACGCTCAAACTTTTTCTTTTCTTTCCTGCCTGCTGAGTATGCGGTGTTCTGCCAAAGTGACACAATGTGGGAAAATGCTGCGTGGGTAATAACCCCTCTCTGCCACGTGTTGCTCTGTCACTGCCGGCTCAGGCCGTGGGACTCCATACAACCTTGACGGAGACAATCTCCAGGCAGCGTTTCGAGAGGAAGCGGCTGGCAAGGAGACCTATCGATGCCAATGATTACGTATTATCGTATAGGTTTGCGTGAAACTCGGACCCACATCTGACAGAGGATATTTGTCTTTAAACATCTGAGAGTTCACCAGCATTTGGTTTATGCAAGCCTGACTGCTGAAAAGGTGATGAATGACTTAAAGCTTTCGTGACTGCAGGAATTCATATGCTTTGGGTCTTTCGGTAAAGTCCTGATGATGAACGCTTGTGTTGCGATCGGAACGTCGTATTTTTTTGTTATGTTACGTTATTTCTTTGAACCTATCTACGTGACTTTACCGAAAGACCCAGATAATAAAGTGATGAATGTTGAAACGGGTCGAAGGTTTGCTTGACTCAAACATGCAAATGAAAAAGAGTCACTCCCAGAAGGCTGTGGGCGATGGGATGTGTACACAAATGACCGTCATTTTGTGCAGGGGCAGATATGAGAAGGGGGTGCAATTGGCTGCGTATTCATATGTCAAGTGGCTCAATCGTGGGTAGTGGCATGGCAGTGCACACACAAACAGCTGAGGGACAAGCTGATGCAGGGAGACCGATGTCAAGATGTTGTAATGAAGTACAGTACAATGCTGGTGCCCATTGTGAACTGGTGCCACTTTGTTTTGATATTTTTTTTGCGAATTTACTCCGATACGGCCATCATCGTCCCCCTGTTGCCCATTGGCAGCAGCACCGTTCCATCTCTACACCGACTTTCAAGAGACACTTTAAAGGCCGCACCGATATCTCCTGGATTTCAAGCGACACTGCATTTATTGGCTCCGTGCTTTAGAGTTACCGGTCATTCATGTCTGTGAAATATTGTGTGCGTTACAAATTGCATTATTGTTAAAACTAAATCTGCTCTTAAATTATTGACATATAATAATAATAAAAGGTTTTTACGCAGATTAATTAAAAATTTATAATTTACACTGTTGAATTCTGGAAGATATTGATTCTCATTCTGCTCAAAGTAAGAGGCAACTCTGACTGATTTTGTCATCAACACATTTTTCACAGATGTTCTAACTTGTTTCAATTGCAAATAAGGAAAAACATGGCAACCGGGCCGAGCGTATGCATACAGTGAGGGAAAAAAAGTATTTGATCCCCTGCTGATTTTGCACGTTTGCCCACTGACAAAGAAATGATCAGTCTATAATTTTAATGGTAGGTTTATATGAACAGTGAGAGACAGAATAACAACAACAAAATCCAGTAAAACGCATGTCAAAAATGTTATAAATTGATTTGGCATTTTAATGAGGGAAATAAGTATTTGACCCCTCTGCAAAACATGACTTAGTACTTGGTGGCAAAACCCTTGTTGGCAATCACAGAGGTCAGACGTTTCTTGTAGTTGGCCACCAGGTTTGCACACATCTCAGGAGGGATTTTGTCCCACTCCTCTTTGCAGATCTTCTCCAAGTCATTAAGGTCTCGCGGCAGACGTTTGGCAACTTGATCCTTCAGCTCCCTCCACAGATTTTCTATGGGATTAAGGTCTGGAAACTGGCTAGGCCACTCCAGGACTTTAATGTGCTTCTTCTTGAGCCACTCCTTTGTTGCCTTGGCCGTGTGTTTTGGGTTATTGTCATGCTGGAATACCCATCCACGACCCATTTTCAATGCCCTGGCTGAGGGAAGGAGGTTCTCACCCAAGATTTGACGGTACATGGTCCCGTCCATAGTCCCTTTGATGCGGTGAAGTTTTCCTGTCCCCTTAGCAGAAAAACACCCCCAAAGCATGTTTCCACCTCCATGTTTGACGGTGGGGATGGTGTTCTTGTGGTCATAAGCAGCATTCCTCCTCCTCCAAACACGGCGAGTTGAGTTGATGCCAAAGAGCTCCATTTTGGTCTCATCTGACCACAAAACTTTCACCCAGTTGTCCTCTGAATCATTCAGATGTTCATTGGCAAACTTCAGACGGGCATGTATATGTGCTTCCTTGAGCAGGGGGACCTTGCGGGCGCTGCAGGATTTCAGTCCTTCACGACGTAGTGTGTTACCAATTGTTTTCTTGGTGACTATGGTCCCAGCTGCCTTGAGATCATTGACAAGATCCTCCCGTGTACTTCTGGGCTGATTCCTCACCGTTCTCATGATCATTGCAACTCCACAAGGTGAGAACTTGCATGGAGCCCCAGGCCAAGGGAGATTGACAGTTCTTTTGTGTTTCTTCCATTTGCGAATAATCGCACCAACTGTTGTCACCTTCTCACCAAGCTGCTTGGCAATGGTCTTGTAGCCCATTCCAGCCTTGTGTAGGTCTACAATCTTGTCCCTGACATCCTTGGAGAGCTCTTTGGTCTTGGCCATGGTGGAGAGTTTGGAATCTAATTGATTGATTGCTTCTGTGGACAGGTGCCTTTTATACAGGTAACAAGCTGAGATTAGGAGCACTCGCTTTAAGAGTGTGCTCCTAATCTCAGCTCGTTACCTGTATAAAAGACACCTGAGAGCCAGAAATCTTTCTGATTGAGAGGGGGTCAAATACTTATTTCCCTCATTAAAATGCAAATCAATTTATAACATTTTTCACATGCGTTTTTCTGTATTTGTGTTGTTATTCTGTCTCTCACTGTTCAAATAAACCTACCATTAAAATTATAGACTGATCATTTCTTTGTCAGTGGGCAAACGTACAAAATCAGCAGGGGATCAAATACTTTTTTCCCTCACTGTATATATGTCCATAATAAAGGTTTATTTGGGTTAGATTGTGGAAATATAAATGCGTCGTTAACTCGCCACCACCCATCACAGCCAATTAATAAGGTTTGTCAGGTAAAAAACAAGTGCAAGTCAGTTACTGCTTCAGCATACCGGTGTATTGGAGAGTAAACCCAGAACATTTACAATTTGAACACGACATTTCACTGGTGATTACAACCAGCTGCATCAGGCAATTTGGAAAAATTGTGGCAAATCGCCGGATGAAGTGTGGCAAATCAAAAGCCCACATGTTAAACGGCATATATATGTATTTGGGAGTAGTGGCACGATGGTTAGTGCACTCACCACTGCATCACCAGTGACCAGAATTTGATTCCTGGCCAAGGCTAGCATCAATGGTGAATATCTGAACAGGTCCTGTGCCTCCCTTAGGTCAGTTCCATCTGATATGAGTACCTCTATAAACATCAGCACTGGTGAGACAAAGGCAGACGGGCACGGTATTGACCACACCATCCTCTTGTGCATCGTGCCGGCATTCATAGTTGCTCGCTAACAACATTCGCCCCCACAGTCTATGAAAGGCTATTGGGGGATTTACGTTTTTTGTATATAAAGATTCCGTATACTGTATACCTGATCGAACCCATCCTCAACGATGACTTTATTTGGCAGGAGTTGATGGTGCAACCGTGGTGCAGAAACAGCCGCCTTGATGTCTTGTCCAAACCAGAGCGTGTTAATTATGGCCTGTCGGAAAGATGTCACATTCACATGCAACGACCAGTTTACTGTGGGTAATTACTTCAGAAAAACATCCACACTGCCATTATGATGTTCTCGTATACTCTCCAGGCGATGCGAGCGCATTCGCTACGTGCCGAATTTCCCTTCATGCTCGCGCACAGAAAACAGCTCCGTGCATTAAAATAACGTGCCCTTTGCTTGCCATTGATTGACAATTCGAATAGCCTGCGTAACAATTAAGCCCTGATCTTTCAGGAAACAGAGAATGCCCCTTAAATGACGCAACACACGTCATTCCTATTACACGCGCCACAGCTGTATTGTAAATAGTCTACGCCGAATAATAGGGTTTTTCCCCTTTTTTCTGGCAACAAAACTCAAACCTTTTTACAAGGATTCATGTCTGCATTAACCACAATACCTGCAGTCAAAATGCAAACAAAAAACATACTATTTTAATATATGCATTGTCCTTGAAACTGATTGGTCCACACCAAGGGACGGCTTTCTTTTGAGCCACGACCCAATTGGTGCTCGACCAGATGACGCCAAAGGCGTACTCGTACGCCGTCCCTTGGTGTGGACCAATCAGTTTGAAGGACAATGCATATATTATCATAGTATGTTTTTGTTTGCATTTTGACTGCAGGTATTGTGGTTAATGCAGACATGAATCCTTTTAAAAAGGTTTCAGTTTTCTTGCCAGAAAAAAGGGGAAAAAACCTATTATTACATTTTGGTACTGGCAAAGCAGGTCTAATGATGTAGTCTACGCCTGTTATATGCCGACTGGCAGGGCCTCTGCTCCACCATCTAAGAATGAGTGCACTTTGTATATATGCTCCGGATCAATCTCTAGCCGGCGGTCAAAGACAAAGATCCCCCGTATAGCCTGAACAGACTGTTAGGGAAAGTGCTGCTAGCGAGCACCTATAAAGGCCGGCACGGCACCACACGAGGGAGTAGGTGACCAACACCAAGCCCGGCCGCCTTTATCTCCCTAGTGGCGGTGTTTACTACACAGCGCACCAGGTACTCATTTGAGGCTGATAATCGTCACTGGTGTTGGCCGTGAGCGGGAATCGAACTCGGGCCGTCGGGTTTGTAGCGCAGCGCGTTAACCCGCGACACCACCACCGGTGATCGTTCACTGTGCTACCTGCATTGCGTGTGTGTGGTGGCACTGCCGGGCTAGGTGGGAGCGCAGGATGTTGCCACCTGTCCTGATGATCTCAGGTAAAAGTTAAAGGTGCAGCTATCCAATTACTTGTTCACACCACTGAAGAAGAAGGAGAAGGGCTTCAACTACAGCAGCGGTTCTCAAAGTATGGTCCCTGGAGGATCAGGTGGTCCGTGACGGTTCCCCAGGTCGTCCACGGGGATAGGATGCAAACGGAGGTCGATCCGGAAATAATGACAACGTTTATACCTTTTGGTTCTTTCGGTAAAGTCACGTAGGTAGAAAATAAAAATAAATTAAATCACGACGTTTCGGGCGCAACACAAGCGTCCGTCATCAGGTGTGTTGCGTCCGAAACGTCGTGATTTATTTTAATTTTATTTTATACCTACGTGACTTTACCAAAAGAACCAAAGAGTAATAATGGATCATTGCAGTCACGAAAACTTCAGATCTAGATTTATACCTTTTGTTTCGGACGTGAATTAATATTTGACTTGTGCCATTTAATTAAAAAAGTTAGATAAACTACCCGGATTAAACTACCATAATCCTAAGATAAAAATGCCACCCGTATTTTGTGGGTTTTTTAATGTTCCGGTTATATGAATAATGTTGTATTAGCGGTATTTAGAGAGAGCAGTGAATGCGTTTTGTCACTAGGGGTGAGGCGCTGGGTGGTTCGCGGAAGTTCAAGGAAGGGTTATGTATCCTATTTGTCCATGCTGGCGAGACGTGGTTGAAAGAAGTGGGAGTTCTCACATTCTACCCGACCTCACGCGACCTGTACTGTGGTGTACCCATGTATACAGAATCAAGATATCAGAATTTGTATTTATTCTGGAGGAATCCGATGAGCTATAAAGCTCTTTTTCACAGATGTCCAGTAGGGGCAGGTTAGAACGTTACAACATCAAACACTACAAAACACGACAGTAGTGCAAAGTACAGGAAGGGCGAACAAGTCACCCACACATATAGAAATAAAACTAAACCACCCCCATCAAACCAGGCAAAGCCAACTGGGGTATTAACGTGTTTTTCAGAAGCGGCGTTGGCCACAAATGATAGCTCGTTTCAACTGCAGCACCGGGACATCGAATTTGTCGACCGCTGCAATGGGAGTCCAGTGTGCTAAGCATTACGCCAGGGCAACGTCGATTATGGTGTGTTATTCTGCTCAGAAATGTCCTTTTTTGTGGTACGCTGTCTTTCCGGTATTTCACAAGACCCGTTTTTTTTTTGGGTCAGTTGAGCAATAATACACCACTCCAAGAGAATAATTTTACCGTAATTATCTCCTCTTCCAGTAGAGTACTGTGAGTTATTATTTTGCGTGCGATGTATCCCAGCAACCTCAGAGTTAGCATCACTAACCGAGCAAGTCACAGTCGCACTTTTGCCCGTTATTGCTTCTTTGTGCGTGAGATGCTTCGGCTGACCAAGCGCAAACGATGTGCTTGTCTATCGGTAGCGGCACGCGTCGGTCCTCTGGCGCAGGGATAACACCCTGAGGGCGGGATGCTTTAGCTTTTTTTTCTTTGTTTTAAACGATGTCCTTTCTGCTTCGCCACACACGGGCGCATGTATGTTGAACTTCTTTTTCGCAAACGTACGTGGCCAACCGTGCCGATCGGAGTCGCGGAAAATGTAGCGGAGCAGATAGTATAGCGACCCTCCTGGGCTGCCAGTTTTATTGTGTGACAAAGTGCCAGAGTGGGTCGGGGCTACAGGGACAATAAGCATTCTTGATCGGATAGGCGTAACATCTGCCAACGGTGGAGCATTGGGTTTAACGGATACGTGTCCGGTCTGTCGGAATAAATGCCGCCGTGAAACACGATGGCCTCGAAAAACGCGTCGTGCTTATGTGGGGAGATTTCCCTTGTGCATTTATTGGCTGTCCGAGTTACCTTAATCAGCTTGCACCTTCGCATTGACGTTGGTAACCAGGTGTTTTTGAGAAATTCCTTGCTACGCCTGGGTGCATACGCTAAGAGATAGCTGCTCCCTCCTCCAGGTTAGGGCCTCACAAGCTCCACTACGCATATGTGTAGCCCTTTGTCAACCCCACTGATGGTTGATGACCTCCAAGCACCATACGAGGTGCTGGTGGGGTGGGGTGGGGGGGGGTTATTTTATCATAATTCACCACGCTGGTCATTGCCTGTTGATAAAGGCAGGGAGCATCGATCTGGGATCATAGAAAGGCAGTACAACAAGGTTTTTTTTTGTGCTGTGCTGACCTCTGCCCAGCATTGGCTTGCAGCAGCCTATAACACCTGTTATGCAGAGTGGTCGCCCGTTCACGCGCTTTCTAGGCGCCTACCTGCTCAGCCTCCGAGTCTGACATAATGGGGCGCATTGCGGGTGATTTCGTCGATGGTGAGCAGCGAGATGGATGTTTGTCTATGGTGGGTGTTCGGCTTTGCACGGTCCGTTAGACTCGATGTAACCATCAGTGTATCATTTGCGTACACTTTGCAGACTTTGTAAATAATCGAGTGATTCAGTGCACATATCCTGAGCGTAGGAATCCCTAGCCAATGAATCAATGCGTCGTTATACAGCATGAACACAAACGTACTGTATTCTTAGAAATATAAAACACAGCTGCCTCAGTATAAAAGTAACAAAAAAAAACTGTACTTTCAAAATAAGAACCATGATCCCTCAAGCACTGAGCAATAAAAACAATTAAATGAGAGGCTTAGCGATGGTGCAGTGGTTCTTATACCTGGCGAGCTGAGCTCGATCTCCGACCACGGCTAACATCAGTGGCGAGCGACGAAACGATGAATGTATACATGTCTTCATAATTCCTATACGTTGCATGTAATGGGTTCACTCGAGGTGAGGTGCCGTGCCGGTGTAGCGTAGTTGCTGGGCAGCATTTCACTCCGAACGGGTGGATGTTGAGGTCTGAAGGTCGAATCGGCGGGTTCGAATGAAACCGAGCGTGCTACCGAGTACCAGGGCGGCGCTCGTGACGATGCGGATCCCACCGGCTGCACCCACCACCATCTTCACCTGCGCGTCCTCGTCCATAACCACCGCTGGGCACATGGAGGAGAGTGGACGCTTCCCTGGGTGGAGGAGTTAAGAGCATTGACAGTTGGGCAAGAAATGCCGCTTCAATGCATCTCCATGCACGCACGCACGCACACATACACGCACGCACACACACACGCATACACACATACGCACACACACACACGCTCGTTATGCTGATGTAGGTAGGAGGGCATGTGCCGTGGCCACATGAGGCCTTCCACTTCAATCTGGCCTACATGCATCCTAGCCACACTAATCGGGTACGGGTGGGGGGGGGTGAGAATTTTTCAACCTGGCAACGCTATATTTCAAATTTTAGTCACTTCTGTCAATGCCACGGACTCTTGTAGTGACAGAAGTGACGTTGGCATTAGTGTGTGTGTGTCGATATTAGGAAGTCGTATTCGGCCCGCAGTAGTTCCCCACCCATGGAATAGGACTTTCCTCTTGAGAGGGTAATAAGGCTCATTAATCCATAAGAGTTTTTGTTGGGTTACATCAGGTAAATATAAATGTGTCGTTAAACCCACCACCACCCGACACAGCCAATTAGTAAGGTTTGTCGCGTAAACAAAACATGCCAATTCGTTACCAACACACCGGTGTGTTGGAGAGTGGACCCACAACATTTACAATTCGAGTACGACGTTTCTCCGGTAATTACAACCAGCTTCAGCAGGCGACAGCCAGATTCATATACTATAGGTGGTTGTGCGGCAGCAACATATCCAGTAAGAGTTTAACCCCCCCCCCCCCCGTGCGTGCGAGGGAGCAATCAGATGACGCAGATTACTGGACGAATTCAAAAGGTCAAGAGGAGTTTACAGCAGCTTCCATGGAGTGGATTCCATCCCTTGCTCCCACCTGGCTGGATGTAGTTGGCTGGCGATGGCTGTACTCCCGAGGTGTTGATGGTAAACGGGGATGAGAAACTGTCCATCGCGTTGTTGAAAATGATACCGGTTGTCCTGGAGCGAACCAGCGAACCAAAACTGCCAAAGTACAAGAATACGTTACACACTGTGGGTTTATACAGTGTCTAAGTGCCACCGCTTCTTAAGAGAAAGCCCTTTGTTGCTGGAACAGAGAGTGTGTGCAGGAAAGGAGAGCGAGATGAAATGACAAACGTAGGCAGGGGGAAAATTGATGGCAGATCTTGAAGACGCGAGAGCAATCAGAAGGTAAAGAATGAAAAAGAATGGCCAGGTGGTTAAAGTGTCAGAGGAATAAACCCCCTTGCATTTAGAGGGTACCGATCTGGGTTTCAGTCACCCATAATTAAACCGGGTTCTTCAGTGTGGCAAGTTGATGTTTGCAGCCGGTCAGCAGTAACTGCACAAAAAAACCCCATCACAATGACTTTCGTTCTGCACTTAATTTGGCTGAATTCCATGTTATGAGCAATTTTGTTGTTAGCAAGATGGATGGGAAAGAGTTTTTTTTTCCCTAAGCTGTGGACCAGAAGTTACTTTAAGGGATATCTGAGGTAGATCTACGATATCCGCTTCTGCAGGCTATTCTCTAAACCATGGCGTGACAACAATATTATTCATTTCATGACATGACACCGACAGCACAATCAGGCACCGCGGTAGCGAGGAGATGTTATCTCTCCCTCGCCTGAAATGCAGGGGGGTGCGGGTTGATCCCAACACTGTTGTATATTTGGAGTTGACGTCATCTCGAGTTGACGTCATCTCTCCCCATGGTGGTCGCATGGAATTTTCTCTGGGTCCGCCGGTTTTTACCTCCACATTTACAAACATGCTTTAAGATTATTTGGCTACTATTATAAATCCCCACATGTGACGATGGTGGTGACGATATAAGCCAATTCGATGAGCTGTTATGCGTGGTGGCCAATTCACCTCTGACAAAAGAGCTCATAGGCTCAGCGGGATTTTTCCTCGTGTAATTTTTCAAATAAATATTGATTGAGTTTGAGCTCAATCAAGACAAAAGAAATCCAATAAAATGAATTCCGCGGTGAGATCCTTATTCATTCCAAAGCGGCGAGGCTGGCCGCTCCGCCTGCAGGCACCCCAGGTTAATGCTGGAGGTGGCGCTGACGGCGCTGCCGTCCCCGGCCACCACGGAGACGTGCGAGGCTCCCGCGTCCTCCGCGTGCGAGAACATCGACTCGTAGAACCGGGCCGGGTGCGTCGAGTCGCCGCTGATCTTCCAACGGAGCGCCTGGGCATAATCCTCCGACGTCAGGTTCCGCACCAGCTGCCGGGAGAAAACCGCCGACCGTGCGTCCACCACACGATTCGTTACCGGCGATTCGAACCCCAAGCGCCGTGTTAATGAGGTCAACAAGAGTCATTGCTTCATAGAGCTGGAAAAATGCAAACAACATTATATCGCGTAGAATTTTAGTTTTCGCATAACGTGGTAAAGTTGTAGCTCCGAGAAACGCATCGGTTTGACTGACATATGATGAACATCTCTCAACAGTGCAGCAATCCGTCGTGTAGGTTTCATGGATTTTAGAACTAGTACTGTTAATATCTCCATGCGTTATAAATTGTGTATTATTATTGTTGTTGCGTGATACACCGCTGTACAAGTGGTCCAATTGGATGATTAAAATACGTCACCATTAAGCGTTACAACCTCGGTTTGACTACCGCTTAAGCCATGCCATTGATATGCGATGACTGCTTAAGATGAGACTGATGGCATTATACCTGTGTTGGGGAATATCGCTGCTGTGCGTTTTTGTCGCTGTGTGGTACAGATCTCCGCCCGGCGTGTACTACTGGGCGTGATCCCCCAACGTTTCCCTCCACGTCTCCAGGGAGCTTCTCCAGGAGGTGACATCATTTCAATTCGGTTGGCGAAGAAACTCGGAAAACGTGGAGCACAACGTTGGACGTCGCGACAAATAACACGCGGCACAAACCAATAACCACTCATTGCAAACCCGCGTAGCGGGACCTGGGTTGGGTCGTTCCGACGCGCTGGCTCGCGAGCACGCGGCTCGTGCCACTCACGTCCCGGACGTCGGCGAAGCGACGGTCGGCCAGCTCGCTCCGCTTTGCGAACGCGAACTTGAAGGCCTCGACGATGCGGTGGTAGGTCAGCGCTTTCTCTTTCGCCGTGGACACACTGTCGGCGGAGAAGTGGAAGCCTGCAAGACAGCGACGGCGAGGTTCGCCCGCTTTCAGCGGCCGTGGTTGCCGTGTGCGGTGGAGAGGCATAGGCGGATCTGGAAACCTCCCTATAGGTGGGTTGGTCCTGAAATTTAAAGGCTTTTCAAGTGACCTACATTAACAGTAGATAAAACATTATTTTCTCAGGTCATTTTTGGGGTCTCACAGGTGGTGGGGGTGGAGGGGGGGTATCGTCCCCATTCCCCCCTCTTGGATCTGCCACGACGGGGCATCGGTAGATCCACATTGAACCGTTCCAGGGCCAGGCCACCAACCTGCCAATTCCCTGCCACTATCCTGCTTTAACAACCCACACTGACCAGCATGGTGAAAGTGTGGATAAGAGATCACTTGAAGGAATCTTAGAAGTAGTTCTGTGATAACCTCATCCGCAGACCATTCTCTCACACACAACAGGGTGATGCACTGCTCTCCAAAACTTCTGAATCGACTCTTGCATCATGCATTTTCAGATGCGCTTCCACAGCCGTCTGGAACGCTCTTCCTCCCGATATTAGGAAGCCACTGGGAGCTATGGACTTTTAAATCTAGATTGAAAACTAATTTCTTAAGAACGGCCTTTAGAGTTCAGTTTGTTGCCTTTTCCCCGCACCTCCGACTAGCACGGCTGGCTACGTAGGGTACAGGAGAAGCCCAACATACACACACACACACATGTTGTGCAGTAGAACCACGCGGATACGAGGAATACTATAAGGGCTGTTGCCGTTAATGAAATCACTGTTACACTCAGCACTCTATGCTGACACCAGGGGTAGAGGTGCTCTCTATCTCGGTCCTTTACCCCGGAAACTGAATGCTATCTGGGTCCTGCCCTCGGCTACCCTTTGGGGCTCTCCCACTCGTCTGCCCGTGAGTGGGGGTTCAGCCAACACCGCCCCGCGACGAGGAGAAACCCTCTCCTAGCCGACCCTTACAGAATACTTGGGACCCTACCCTCGGCCATCCCCTTAGCTCTCCCACTCGTCTGCCCGGAGCTGGGGTTCATTCAACACCGCCCCTCGATAAAGAGGGAGAGACACCTTGCAGCCGATCCTTGCCCTGGCTCCCAACAGCTTCCACGCCTTCGTCACGGGATCCCCCTTCAAGTACCCCTTAGGCGGCTCCTCCCCCTAGCTCGGACCCGCCTTTGTTCCCGAAGGTCCCTCTTACACCACCCGTAACATGACGTCATCCTTGGCTGTCAACCCGCTTCGCACCTCCTTCTGTTCGCCCCCCTCACGGTTACTCACATGACTCCTCTACACATACAGCGACGCAACGCCAGTAGCGCAATTGTAACAAAGTTTCTGAACGAGGCACCTTCGAGGATGTTGAGGATGAGGCTGAGCACAGCTCCGCTGGCTGGCGGGGGCGGCGTGTACACCCGGTAGCGCCCGACCTCCACCAGCAAGGGGATCTCAGCCAGCTCCGGCTCGTAGGCCCGCAGGTCCTCCAGCGCGATGATGCCACCTGCAAGCGAGGCCGGGTCGAGTTTTGTGCTATCGTTCTGGAGGCCCCTTTTCGTTTTAACAACAAAAAAAACTTCCCTTTGCCGTTTTAACCCAACCGATGCCCGATGTCAGACACTTGATTGTTATTCGCATTGGTTATTTCAGTTATAGTTTTTTTAAACGTGATAGAGTATATACGGTGATCGTAAAACTGAATCAAACGTTCAAATGAAACAAAACTGTGTTAAATATCAGGACACAAATGGTGGCAATACGTACGGTTATGTCCTGGATTTAATTAACAAACTACCCATAGGATCGATCAAAGTGCCAAAATAATGCATTTGAACTATTATAAAAAAGACAAATATCCCCCGTATAAGCTTAACAGACTGTATGGGCAAGTGCTGTTAGCGAGCACCTATAAAGGCCGGCACGGCACATGAGGGGATTGGTGGCCAACACGACGCTTGGCCACCTTTGCCTAGTAGCGATGTTTACACACCGCCCTGGATACTCATTTGAGGCTGAGTCGACCTACGGGAGGCCCAGGATCAATTCATATAATCGTCACCAGGTGTTGGCCGTGAGCGGGAATCGAACCCGGGTGGCCAGGTTCGTAGCGCAGCGCGCTAACCACTACACTACCGCTCCCCACAATACAGATCTCACACACACCCCATAATCTTGCCGCGCGTTAATCCGGCGCTGCCTGAAGAGACCAACGTGTTGACAATTGTGGTGGGATCCGGCAGCCACACAGTTTTGCAATATAATTCCAAAATTTTTTTTTAATTTTAATTGGAACATTCATCCAAAGAAAAAAAAGTTATTCCTCGTGCCAGTTTGGATCACGGGATTTACCCGCAGGAGCATGTGGTAGCTTCATCATCCATTCGGGAATAATATGTACGGTATGCAAACTCCAGATGTTCTTAGACATTTCTGCGGTGTTTTTTTTTTGTGGAGTGGAGCGGCGGGCACAATGGATAACGCTCTGCTCTGTGAACCAGGCCACCTGAGTTTGATTCCCGGCTGCGGTGAGCATCTTCACCAACCCACGCTGACCAGCGTGGTGAAGCATGGTCATACAGCCGCTATGACCGAGACGGCATGGGGTGGCCTTCCTCCAAGAGTTGGATTTTGATAAAACGCTGTCAATTATTATCGCTAATACGGTATTATTATGGGAGAAACTGTATAGGCTGTGTTTTCATGCAAGCTGGTAAATAGTGTTATACACTATAAACTATTTTTTTTTATTTTACCAGGTAAGGCCCACTGGGCTATAAGGCTTTTTTTCAGAAGCAATGTGGCCACAAATGAACAAAGTGGCTGATCACGTCAAAATGTATAGCAGCCAAATACTTTACATTTATTTTTCTAACTGTGTCGGGGTAAAACCGGACCATGGGGAGAACATGCAAACTCCAAATATACAGGCGACTAAATGTATGTTTTAATTAAATTATCATTTTGTATTCATTTGGCTAAATCCCATCGGTAAGAATTGTATATGCAGAAATCAGTAATGTGATGACATTTCTCTGTAGCGAGGTCTGAGAAAGTGCAGCATCCCGAGCGAAGAGGCCACTTGAAGGGATCTTAAAAATAGCTGCGTAGTCACTCCTTCCGTAGGCTGTTCTCTGCCGCGCGGAGTGATACACTCTTTCCTGCGGGCATTCCCAATGGACCCTGCCTCTTATGAAATGACACCAATAGCACAAGTAGAATATAATATGGGGGGGGGGGAAGATAAGCTAATACTGTGTATATTTTTTGCAAGTGTACTCGGTGTGAGCGGTCACCTTCCGCTTGGATGTCATCGACAATGCTTTTGGAAAGTGATCCGTCATAAAAGGCATCGGGACCCTCTGCCGCAATCACCTGCAGCGTCTCCGCCAGCCTCTCGTCTCTCACAGTGCTGTTTACTTGCAGGATTTTCCCATGGCCATCACAGAACACATCGCTGTGGGTCAGATCAACAACGCAAATGAATACATCGCAAGAACGTGTAACAAACTCAAAAGTACGATTCTCCCAATGTGCCACATTCAGCCGGAGGAGATGAAAGAGCAGGCTTGTTAAAAGGATTATGTTTAACGCTGAGTGCAATGGTGCAACACAATGCACTTTAAGGTAATTACAGACCGCTGGTGTGTTCATATGAAAACCCGCAGCATTATCTCTGGTTTTTTTTTTGAACACCGCGGGTTGTGGGTGTGCACTGGGTTTGAGATGTATGTATGTTGAACTTCTTTCGCATCGTATGTAGCCAACCGCGCTAAAGGGAGTTGCAGGGGAAGGACAACAAACAACACAAAAAGCAGTTCTAAAGAAATACAAATGTCAATATAGATTTCAAAGTGCATAGCTCCAGTGGTTTTCGAATGTGTCAAAAGTAAAAGTGACTTCTTACTCAAAATGAGCATGCAGGCTCCTCCATAATCCAGGTTTTTTTTTGGGTTAGATCGCGTAAATATATAAATGCGTCATAAAAACCCGCCACCACCCGACACAGCCAACTAGTAAGGGTTGTCACGTAATAGTAAGGGTTGTCACGTGAACAGAACATGTCAATTCGTCACGAGTACAGCAACACCGGTGTGTTGGAGAGCCAAGCCAAAACATTTACAATGTGAGTACGACGTTTCGCCAGTAATTACAACTAGCTTCATCAGGCGACAGCCACATTTGTGAAGAAGTCTTACTGTTTCGTTCCTTATATAGAGGCGTAACTGTGATGACGTCACTTGTGCATTGTACACTGATGTATGCCTCTGTTTACAGACCTGCACAAGTGATGACAATTCCACATTCCCCGGACATGTATGAGTCCTTCCAAAGGAAAGCCACTATTGACTCACCCATAAAGTAGTACTCATTTAACTCAATCCCGGGGGGATGATGCACTGAGAGTTGGGTAGTGCTGGTGAATGTACATTCCGTAACGTCAGGGGGTAAGGTGGTGGGGGGGGGGGCTAGAGGGAACAAAGCCCGCTCCTGATGAAGTCAAGTTAATTTGATATTTGCTTCAACATGTAGTGCCCTTCTCGCACATATTCGCCACCTCTATACATTCTCAAAGTCTTGTAAAAAAAAACATATCTTGTTGCAATATTTAACTCCAGCAGCGGCTATTTCGTTGAGCTCCCACAGCATTAAAAATTAGTGTGCACATCTGCTTCAACTCAGTCGATTGGCTTCGCCTATAAGTGGTTCGGCCATAGTTGGAAGGGGTTGGATAAAATACAAAAATTCTATAATACAGAAATTTCAGCAGGGCCACGTGACCTCTAGTGGATAATAGGTGACTCTAGCGGCAAGATTAATCGAACAAAACTAGTTTTTTCTTTAACCAGGTAACGCCCACTGAGCTATATAGCTCAACGAAGTGACTCATCATGTGCAAATGTATAGCAGCCAAAATACTCTAACGCATGTTTCTAAATGTGGAGGGAAAAAACCCGAGGAGCTGGAGAAAAATCCACACGACCACAGGGAGAACATGCAAACTCCAAAGAGACAGGCGTTAGAGGTCGGGATCGAACCCACGACCTCCTGAATACCAGGCGAGGTAGTTCACATCTCGTCACAAGTTCACTCGCCACTTGCTCACTTGTGGTCTGCTCTAACGGATGGATCATAAGCGTGCGTACAGGATTGACAGCGACAGCAAAACAAGGGGAAAGAAACTGAAGTGTCTAAAGAAGCATGCAGTGGTGCATCCTCGGAATTATACTGAGAGACGTGGAGAGGAACACACACACACACATTCGAGAACGTACACATGTCAGGGTCAACTGTCCGCTGGTGGATGACGCTCTCAGCAAGCCAAGTCCATCCCTTATATTAATGCAATGTAACAACCTTGTCCATAAATACACTCCCAATCTTGTGCTTTGGACATCCTCTCGGCTACGTTTCCCCCTTGGGTTGCCCCACTCCATTAGCATTCTCGGCCACCAGCAATCATCCCTATTGTTAAGGCTACTTACGATGATGTCTGATTTGTATTTGTTCCCCGATTCAGGTGATCCTCTCTTCCTGCCTCTCAGTATCAATTCCCAGAAAACGTGCCTCCCGCCCCCCCCATGATTCTTCGTGAAACATTCAACTTTTGTTAAATTTTCTCTCTCAGTATCCATGTTTCTGATCCATGAAGTCACAGCTGGAAATCTGCACCCATCGGAATCGTTTTCGTGTACAGGGTGTGCTGCCTTTTCCCAACACAATTCAGTTTTTCAAAAGTACCGCAACCTACTCTCGCCCACCCCTTGAGTTCTCACTCTGCTGTGTGTGCAGGCTGTCTCTCTCTGCAACATCCATTTTGTTGAGCAAAAACTTGACCTTTATCTGCTCATTTATTCTTGAGCGCAACTTCCCTTACTGTTGCTTTTCCTCAATGCATCAGTGCAGCCTCCAAGTTCCAGTTTCTCTTCTAGTGCATGCCATCTTCCCCAATCTATTGCCGCTCCTTATTGCGCCATTATTTAATGTCGTTCAACCGGCTGATGCGCGGTTCTGCCACGTCCATCTTGAGCCTTCTCCTCGTCAAGTTTCAAGTTCACTTTGTTGAGCCCAAGTCGTATTCTTTCGTGTAGATTAATAGCAGAGGATTAAAGATGTAATTTAGTTTTGTTATCCACTCAATTGCATTTTCAGAAGCGGCATGGATCTCATCCATTCCCCCTTTAAAGCAGTGAAGACAGCAGCAGCGGTGGATTGTTTACGATGTGGTGGATGGTTTGGGATTCGTGGCCTCACTCGCAGGCCGCCGAATCTTTGATGCGCCATTTGTGCATCAGATGGCCGCATCAGCCATGCCGGGTCCTCCTGATTCGGTTGGTGGTCGACCGTTGGCGCAAACTAAGTTAGAACCGAAGAGACTGGGTCAGTCTTATTTGCAAGAGTGACCTGCATCACCAATGTCACTAAAGTCCTCCCAGCACCGTGCTTCATGGAACCCTGACGCCGCTCGTCCTTTTTACGCTCCCACAGCTTCTGTCTGTGGATTAATCCACGAGAGTCTACTGTTCACCATTGACATACATTCTTGCCACAGCTTAAACCCAACTTTGTAACAGGATCCTGTAATCATAGTGTTACCATAAGGAGGGGCTGGCTTCGATGGCTTGCCGGTGCTCCATGACGGCACTGGCGAGTGGGCCGGGCATTCGGAAGCCGTTCCTCGCCAGCGCGATGCTGGGCTGGAAGAGGCGCGCCCAAGGCAGGCGGCCGTGACGTCTGTGGGCTAGCGCATAACCTCGAATTTCACCGGGCACGGCTATAGCCAGCCCGCCTGCACGCAAGCACCCACCCACGCACGCACGCACACACCCACGCAACGCATGTATGCACATGCGCATGCAAGGACGCCAGAATGTTTCGCATGAGTATTTTGTGCATGGGAGGAAACTGGAGCATGAAAAGAGACAGTAATAATGTTTTAAATCTTTCACGACTGCAGGAATTCATATTCTTTGCGTCTTTCGGTAAAGTCACGTAGATTGGTTCAAAGAAAATAACAAAAAACTACGACGTTTCGATCGCAACACAAGTGGTCGTCATCAGGAAAAGGGGGTTAGCTTCTAAAGGCAAACTGTTTATAAAGGTTTGAAATGGGCGTAGCACAAATGTCAGCAGCATGGGCGGGGCAGCTAATGTTAATGTAAGATCAGTGAGCGGCCTCCATGGCGAGTGTGCTGAGGTGGCTATGTTAATGTGAGAGATTAGCATGTTGATGTAAGATCGGTGAGCGGCCTCCATGGCGAGTGTGCTGAGGTGGCTATGTTAATTTGAGAGATTAGCATGTTAATGTAAGATCGGTGAGCAGCCTCCATGGCGAGTGCGCTGAGGTGGCTATGTTAATGTGAGAGATTAGCATGTTAATGTAAGATCGGTGAGCAGCCTCCATGGCGAGTGCGCTGAGGTGGCTATGTTAATGTGACAGATTAGCATGTTAATGGAAGATCGCAGAGCCGCAACCTCTAGGTCGGCATGCGAAGGTGGCTGTGTAAGCGTGGGAAGTGTAACCTGTTAATGTAAAATTGGAGAGCCGAAAATAACAACTTTTGGGTTATGCCCATTTCAAACATTTATAAACATTAAAAGCTAATCCCCTTTTCCTGTTGACGACCGCTTGTGTTGCGATTGAAACGTCGTAGTTTTTTGTTATTTTCTTTGAACCTATCTACGTGACTTTACCGAACGACCCAAAGAATAAGAGAATAATAATAACTGGCCTTCACGTTAAAACATTCAGTGAGTCACAACATTATTTCACATTAACTATTAATAGCTTATTTGTGTGGGGCTAACACTCGAAAGTCCAGAGACATGATACACAAACCCATTTACTTGTGCTGCTATCTCCAACTAGTTTTAGAAGGCTCAAAAATCTGCTTGATCCACCAACCCTTTGCTTCGAAGTTCTAGATCAGAGGCTTGTGCCACCACACACTTGTAAAACAGTTCCTGGCACTCCGAAGTATAAGAAACAACCAGTGGGAATTCACATCTTTGCATAGATTTACCGATGCGCGACGAGCCGGCATCACCTCCAAACATGTCTTGAGTAGCATTCAGTGGAGCTCCCTCCCTGGCATTGATGGCCTCAACTGTGCCTGATGAAGCACAAGACGCACTCACACATATTGTGTCACTTGCTTTAAATACATTAGTTCACAAACATTGAGATGTATTGACATGCTTACCATTGTCGTATTTTGCATTGTTTTGGGCAATTATCTCAGTATGAGGTCTCACAAAGAAGACATTTAATGTTAGTGTTAAAAATACATACGCTTGCACAGTGCCGGATGAAGCTAGTGCTGGGCCTGTAGCATGATGTTATAAAGGGGCCATAAATAAAAAAAACCCCATAAATATTCGACCACAAATTTTTCACTTGCACAGTAAAGTAATTGCATTTTTTAATTTGCTATACAGCCAGATAGTACGACAAATCGCTAACCTCCTTGAACACCCAGTCGTTCATAAAAGTTGAAGGCAGTATAGTACTATAGTAATAGAGCAAGTGCAGAATCACTGAACCGGAATTGATAGCTTGAAAGAATTTTGCGCTGGGGCCCTTGAAAAGTGCGGGGCCCCGTAGCATTTGTGTAGCGACTTTTGCTCCTAGGATAATCTGGCACTGCGCTTGTACCGTCTCACTACTGAGGCCGTGACCACAGCCGTTGTAGAAGCATCGCCATGGATGAACGTTCACTGGCATGCAGTGCCCACTCTCTCGCGCTCTTTGCCCAGCCAATTTGTCTAAACGCTACTTTGTTGTGCACTTTCCGGTGTCCTGCCTCGCAACTCGTATTTGGCAAACCACTCGCCGGCTTTCTGACATGGCTGTGCCGAGTACCGGTGCTGGCGTTGTAGATGGTCAGGAAGAGTCCACCGCCTATACCCGTGCTGTGGGCACAGGTGAGCCCCACACACAGCAAGGCTGATATGGCAGCGTCCACTGCACTGCCACCCTCTTTGAGCACGTCCCTGCTCACCACAGCATATCGGCGGACAAACAATTGCTGCTGCTGCTTCTGTATGACGAGTGGGGTGCCACGGTGGCGAGACGTTAACTGCCTCGCCTGGTAAAACATGAAGGTCGTGGGTTCGGTCCCGACCCTGACGCCCGTGTGTTTGGAATGTGTGTTCTCCCCGTGGTCACGTGGATTTTTCTCCAGCTCCTCCGGTTTTTCCCTCCACATTTCGAAACATTCGTTACGGTATTTTGGCCGCTATAAATTTCCACGTGTCATGCCGCTTCATTGAGCTATCATTTTTCGGCCAGGTCGCTTCTGAAAAAGAGCTACATAGCTCAGTGGGCCTTGCCGGGTAATATAAAAAATAGTTTATTTTATAAATTAGTTTAGCTACCGAGTGTGCAGGTGGTGCCACTGCGTTGGGGCTCATGGGCCGGAAGGGCTCAGGTGCCGGACTAATTGCTAAATCTACTCTGATGTTTCAAAAAAGAATCTTCCTGAGCTGACTTACACTACATTAAATGTATAATTTAACACCGAATAATGTTTGTGCAATGTTTTACTCGTGGGGAAAGTTGTTTTGCTTTTATTCTGATTTCTGTTTTCTTCATTGTGTTACTTTGTGTCGTTTATTTTTGTCATGTTGGTGACCTGGCCAGGTCGCTCTTGCAAATGGGACTCATCGTGGTCTCACCTAGTTAAACAACATATTTAGATTTTAATGGGGGGTGGGGGGGGGGGACTTGACAGGGGGGCTCCATAACACAAGTTAGTACACATCACGCTGCAAGCGTTCGTAAAGGAAAGCTATCGATCGCCTTACTTGACGCCAACCGCACAATTGGAAAAAAACATCGAGCGCAGTGTCGAGAGCAGAGCAGACTTTGGACTCGCACCTTCCGATGTCAGAGCACAGCCCGGAGTCCGTGGTCACAACCGCGTTGAGGAATCGGTTCCTGGGACCCGAGGAGGATGCGGGAACCACGACGTGGCTAGGGCCTTGGTCCCCCGTGAGCGCGAAATAGAGGCCGCAGACGAGCGTGATGGCGATGAGAACCACTGCCAGGGCCTGGACCACCACACTCAGCTTCTGCATCTTCAGGTGCTCAGCGTGCTGCGCAGGGTTACCGTGGGATCCACGCACTCGTTCAGTCATTTGGGAAAGCAAATGACCGGCAGCGGAATAGAGAAAGTAAAGGTTAAAATGTCATGAAGGTGATTGATGGTGATGATGATGATGATAATGACGAAGTTCTGAACACATTGAGTACCTTCGGTAAAGTCACGTAGAATGAGAATAAAATAATAAAATAATAAAATAAAATAACGCAGTAAAATTCTCACGACGTTGTGGCCGAAACGTCGTGAGAATTTTATTGTGTTAATTTATTTTATTAATTTATTATTTTATTCTCATTCTACGTGACTTTACCGAAAGAACCAAAGAACATTGAGTACCATTTCCATTTTGACAACTGTTGTGTTTAGTTTGTTGTCCTTCCCTGCGCACCTAAGTTGGCTACGTATGGTGCAAAAGAAGTTCACCACATATGCATACATGTAACCACCACTCATTAATTTATTGAGAGGTGTTTGTTTTTCGACTCATGATTGGAAACGGATGATTGATGCAAAGATGAGGATTCCAGTAAAAATCTGCAAGAAATAAACACACGTTTCCCCTTCCCCCCCAAAAAATTGCAAGCTTGTGTTGTTGGTGGTGGTGGCCTGAGCTAGAGAACCTGAAAAAATATCCTTCTAGAGATGTTTGCTTGCGATTGCTCACATATTGATTGATGGCTTGTTTCGTTAAAATATACAACCATACTATTGATTGACTGAAATACATTTATCATCATCATCATCGTTGTAATTATACTATTGACTGATGTTTTTCTTGTGTGTCTCTCCATCATTGTTTTGAACTCCAGAACCATATCACAGTACAAGATGTCCTTCCTGTCTGCACGGCTGTATGTCGGCAGCTGAGCTAATTTGCATATTCATATGACGTTTGATTTCCACGAGACATCATTTATCGGAATTTCTCCTTCGGTAATAAAATATGAATGTTCAGCCCTTCTTTCAATGCACCACTAGATGAAGACCTGGACAATCTATGTCGGCCAATATCCTTTCTATAGTTATTTTTTTTACTAACCTGGTGATAAATACGTGTGTACAACACGATATTTTTTTTTATTTCTTTACAAAGTTCACAAATGTATCCGGATCAAGACGCAGTAGAAATGGGGTGGCCAACATGAACATTTCGATACCGTGATTTAAAAGTGATTCTCATTGTTTAGTTACTCGAGACAACGAAAGTTAATCTTGTAGAACAATAACGTGACAATTTCGGTAAAGTCACGTAGAAGGGAAACAATAAAATAATAAAAATATAAAACAATACAATTCTCACGACGTTTCGACTGCAGCACAAGCAATCATCATCAGGTGTGAAAACCACAGCAAGAAAATTTGAAAAAAGTGGCTTTTTTTTTCTTTCAAATTTTCTTGCTGTGGTTTTCACACCTGATGATGATTGCTTGTCTTGTAGTCGAAACGTCGTGATAATTTTATCGTTCTATATTTTTATTATTTTATTGTTTCCCTTCTACGTGACTTTACCGAAAGAACCAAGAATATGAATCCCTGCAGTCACGAAAGCTTTAAATCAAAACGTGACAATAATTAATTTGTTTAACTTCTTTGAGCCTCGAAGGCATGTTACAAGGAGCTTTCGTAGGAGTGTTCTCTCCATTCGCATTCTTTGTACGTTGCTCGTGTAATGTGCGGGAGGAAGCCGGAGAGGCTGAAGAAACCCCTCGACGAACGACCTCGATAATACAGAGCAGGCTGACCTAAACCTACTTGCTGTGCTGCCTCTGATGTGCGTCTCGATGTTCTGTTTGGTGGGTGACCCCGCGCGTGCTCCCTCTCTGCGTGATCCACCAACCCCCATCCCACCCCCCCGTGAGCAAGCCTCTGGATGCAGTCAACACCATCGGTAATAATATAAACTAACTTGAGACTTTTTTCCTGTAAGAGTAAACACAATTATCTCAAATTAACTTGCTTTTATACGTACTGGCAGTGTTACCCGCTCGGTATTGTATCCACCGCACGAGAGACGAATGATCAAAGGTGGTTGAAGAAAAAATAAAATAAACAATCATCCTGCGCTCATCCAAATCAGCCTGAAGTCTCGCTCTCAAATATGTATCGTCGCGCGGACCTTTCTCAATCCACTGCTGGATGAAAGCCTCCCCACCCCCACATTTGGCATGGGGGGGTTGAACTGGCCGCAGTGGGCGAGGATCGGTTTAGATATCACCCGCCACCGATGTGAGCCGTGGCACTCGATCGAACCAATATTGACACATAACCGCACAACGATGTCCTTACCTGATTTGCCGTTCGGTCAAAATATGTTCTTTGCATGAATTCTGATGAGGCTGTGACGGGTGTCACGATCCCCCAGGTGTAAGCTGTCACTTGCCAATGATGACTGTGATCTGTTGAGAACCCGTTTTAGGTTTGAGGGCTTACACTGAAGACTGGACGGATGCACTCGTACATTTGATTACCTCCGTCAGGCTTGGCAGTGATGGTTATCACTCATACCAGCTGTGTTTGCCGTTGAAGCTTGCCTGATTTGTGTTTTACTGCTCGCACCTCTGTGCATACACCATCACCCTGGGCCAAGGTGTAAATGACGTCAGGGCTTGATTGCATGTTAATCATGACGGTGCACATGGTAAAGTAGCGTGACCTTTATAAATTGCTATTATCTATAATATGCACCCACGCAAATATCGCAGAGAAAATTGTTGCATATCAGGAAATTGAATGTTGATTTTTGAACGAGGTGTGCAATACAAAACCCGCTTCGTGCATATTTTCATACACTTGGCCAGATTACATGACTGGATTGGATAATTAAAGTGGAGCATTTAAATATACAAGTTTCCCTCGCTTTACGTGGGTTCGGTTTGTGCGATTTCGCATGTATGCGGTTAACCTATTTCGACCACTTCTAATACGACTACTACTAACCATCGCGTCTACTACGACTACTACCACCACATCTACTACGACTACTACTAACCACCACATCTACTACGACTACTACTAACCACCACATCTACTACGACTACTACTAACCACCACATCTACTACAACTACTACTAACCACCGCATCTACTACTACTACTAACCACCGCATCTACTACTACTACTACTAACCACCGCATCTACTACGACTACTACTAACCACCGCATCTACTACTACTACTACTAACCACCGCATCTACCACTACTACTACTAACCACCGCATCTACTACTACTACTACTAACCACCGCATCTACTACTACTACTAACCACCGCATCTACTACTACTACTACTAACCACCGCATCTACTACTACTACTACTAACCACCGCATCTACTACTACTACTACTAACCACGCATCTACTACGACTACTACTAACCACCGCATCTACTACTACTACTACTAACCACCGCATCTACTACGACTACTACTAACCACCGCATCTACTACGACTACTACTAACCACCGCATCTACTACGACTACTACTAACCACCGCATCTACTACTACTACTACTAACCACCGCATCTACTACTACTACTACTAACCACCGCATCTACTACTACTACTACTAACCACCGCATCTACTACTACTACTACTACTAACCACCGCATCTACTACTACTACTACTAACCACCGCATCTACTACTACTACTACTAACCACCGCATCTACTACGACTACTACTACTAACCACCGCATCTACTACTACTACTACTAACCACCGCATCTACTACTACTACTACTAACCACCGCATCTACTACTACTACTACTAACCACCGCATCTACTACTACTACTACTAACCACCGCATCTACTACTACTACTACTAACCACCGCATCTACTACTACTACTACTACTAACCACCGCATCTACTACTACTACTACTAACCACTGCCTCTACTACTACTACTACTAACCACCGCATCTACTACTACTACTACTAACCACCGCATCTACTACTACTACTAACCACCGCATCTACTACTACTACTACTAACCACCGCATCTACTACTACTACTACTAACCACCGCATCTACTACTACTACTACTAACCACCGCATCTACTACTACTACTACTAACCACCGCATCTACTACTACTACTACTAACCACCGCATCTACTACTACTACTACTAACCACCGCATCTACTACGACTACTACTAACCACCGCATCTACTACGACTACTACTAACCACCGCATCTACTACTACTACTACTAACCACCGCATCTACTACGACTACTACTAACCACCGCATCTACTACGACTACTACTAACCACCGCATCTACTACGACTACTACTAACCACCGCATCTACTACTTACTACTACTAACCACCGCATCTACTACTACTACTACTAACCACCGCATCTACTACTACTACTACTAACCACCGCATCTACTACTACTACTACTACTAACCACCGCATCTACTACTACTACTACTAACCACCGCATCTACTACTACTACTACTAACACACCGCATCTACTACGACTACTACTACTAACCACCGCATCTACTACTACTACTACTAACCACCGCATCTACTACTACTACTACTAACCACCGCATCTACTACTACTACTACTAACCACCGCATCTACTACTACTACTACTAACCACCGCATCTACTACTACTACTACTAACCACCGCATCTACTACTACTACTACTACTACTACCCACCGCATCTACTACTACTACTACTAACCACTGCCTCTACTACTACTACTAACCACCGCATCTACTACTACTACTACTAACCACCGCATCTACTACTACTACTAACCACCGCATCTACTACTACTACTACTAACCACCGCATCTACTACTACTACTACTAACCACCGCATCTACTACTACTACTACTAACCACCGCATCTACTACTACTACTACTAACCACCGCATCTACTACTACTACTACTAACCACCGCATCTACTACGACTACTACTAACCACCGCATCTACTACTACTACTACTAACCACCGCATCTACTACGACTACTACTAACCACCGCATCTACTACGACTACTACTAACCACCGCATCTACTACGACTACTACTAACCACCGCATCTACTACTACTACTACTAACCACCGCATCTACTACTACTACTACTACTAACCACCGCATCTACTACTACTACTAC